TGGCTCAGGCGTCCGGCTGTCCACTTTGGGGGGGGGCTCTCTTCCGTCACGAGGAGCGAGCATCTACATAGATCTTTGTCTCCCGGCGTGTATCGGGAACGTCCATGCGGTGCGGCAAGCATCTTTGGTGCGATGCCAGTGATACCCGCGAGAAGCGCAGGTATTACTACAAGTGGTGGTACGTAGGTAGTAGTAGTAATGCAAACAGTTCCACCCTGGCTTCGTAGGTCGACATAAGGTAGCCTGGAAGATTGTATGTAAGGGATGAAAGTGAGACATGCAGCTCCAGGCTGTTGGAGGAGAGAGGGGAGAGAGGGGGGGCGTCGTCGAAGTCGAGGCCTGAGGCCAGAATAGCACTCCAACTTGTAGCCATGGATGTCTTGCTGCCTGCGGTTCCCAGCCTTTATTAATACTACATGGTGGAGGGAACATGGGTAGTACTACTCTTCTTGTTACCTGCAGCGTGTCGTCGCTGACACTTTGCACACATGCAATCCCTCCTTGGCTGCATCGTGGGCGACACCCTCCAACAGCAGGCGGTGCTCCCTAAGCTCCTCCAGGGTGATATCACCACTTGCACGTCCAACTGCCTCTCCAGCCGAATGCACACAGCCGTCATGCCATGCACCTGTGTCTCCCATATCACAGCCCCTGCCTCCCTCTGTCCTCGTACATAACTCGTTTTTGGGACACACGGAGACGCTCCAGGCGCCGGTGCTTGGCCATACCAGCGTCGATGTGTTCGCTATAGTACTTCTCTACCTACTCTCTTTCCTCTGATATTCTTTCATTTTCCCACATCGATATTCCCCTTTCTTTTCAGCATTCTCATTAATAGTCCACCCATCTGAATGACCAATATCTCGCATACGATAGACAAATACGCCCACATTGGGACAAATAGATCTTCTGTTCCAGACTCTGAACCATCTAGCCCGCTGCGGCTCTCGCGGATTCCCATCCTCCTCCCCTCTCCCCTCGTCAATTTCCCTGATTTGTCCGTTGCGGGAACGCAGCCGTGCTTGGACTGATACATCATACTACTACCATTCTGTTTGCAAGAATAACTGACACACGAGGAGAGACATGCAAAAAAGAGACAACAAAGAGGCGAAAGAGAACTGCGACATTCTCCCGCTCTAGAACTGGGTTTTTCTTCTTTCTTTGGGCTTCTGTCTCAGTTGTTGCCTTGCATGGGAGGGGGGGGGGGGGGGGGGGGGGGGACCAGACTCACTGGACGGCTTCCGCCGCTCCAAGCTGCTCACACCAGCAGTTGACCTGTCGAATGGGCATTTGCGCGTGTTTCCTTGTGTCTTACTTGCTGTCTTTCCGTCCCGGCTTTGATCTTCCTTGCTATCACTGGTAACCGAAACGAAGCTCCGAGACATGAGCAGAGCAAAGAGAGAAGAATGATGTTTTCTCCCCCCGCCTGGTTTGGTTCTAGACGGCAAGTACCTATTACCTAGGATGGTATCAGAACTTGTTAGAAGATGGAGGAGAGATCATGCGATGTTATTTTAAACGTCCCCTCACACATGGGTTTCGCCCCCTTTTGTTCTATCTGCGTACCTAGTATGAGCAGAGACAACTTGGCCTCCCCACGAATTCCGATGCGTTCTACACCCCGTGCTAGCACACAGGGATCAACCGATAGTGGGCGGCACATGGCAACATGACGGCAACTCCCGCATCGCCATGCCAATGCCTCATTTCCACGTCCTAGCCCATCTTTGTAGCCACGATGAGCCGTGTCTTCCCAGCCTCCCCAGCCTTTGCAATTGTGACACGCCCACCATGTTCCTCGTATGCAGACATGTTGGCCCACACTGATCTCGCACGCTTTCTTGAGCGTTGCAGCAGGTGGTGGGATTCTGCCCTTCTCACCATGGCCAATATAAGATATACCTCACTTCCAGGCACGGAGCACGGAATAATACATACAGACATGTCAAAGCCCTTTCCCTTGAAGCATCCATCCTTCAGAGCCAGCCACTGACCCCCCCTTTGGTAGGTCCCAAACGACACACACACCCGGGCACTTCATTATCAAAGACACAGTGTGACCTTACCAGAGAACGGGTCGCAATCTTTCACATGCTGTGCATCCTTTAACAAAAGCACCTCCTCGATAATGCCACGACAATGCGGAGTTGCAGCTCCGTGGGCAGCGCATGAATCGATTCGAACCCCCCTCCGTCGCGTCAACTATACCCATGTTCGTTTTTTTTTTTTTTTTTTTTTTTCCATGTCTCGATTTTGATTCGCGCAACACAAGAGAGTGATTTGATATGATTTGAGGCTTGCTTTTCGCGAGGCAATAGACTCAGTTGGCGCAGTTGGCGACATGCTCTCTGACACCCTTGTATGATCCATTGTCCGCCGCAGGGCTGGTTCCAATAACTCTCGTCTCTGTCAGTTAACACATTGTCCGCTGACATGTATGGCACTCTACAAAGTACGACAGCATATATCAGCTCAGCCTCGCCCTGCGACCTGCGTCATCACAATACAACCCATGAGGCGCAAACTTAGGGTCGTACAAGGTCAGTTCACGAGCTCAGACATGGAATCAACTGATATACAGCTAGCTACATGTAGGTAGTAGCTGGCCAGCACAGCAACACAATCTAAGGCACATGAGCTGCAGGGAGAATCGACGAAGCGTCACATCTCCCAGCAAGCAACTCACTGGGCCCGGCTCATATCACGCTTCCTTCACCTGCTGAGCCTGGGATGTCTTACATTGTCAATACTACTACTAGCACTGCTCGCAATGACCCGCTCCATGTGATTCACAGGGCATTGGTTGGAATCGGGGAGGTCATCATGTCGCATTTTGGTGCCCTACGGTAGTATGGGCTTGACTGATATCTGACTACTGACAAAAGGAGGGTGTTGCCGGCAGCGTTTGCTCAATCTGTCTCCAAGATCACCTGCGATGATAAACTGATATGCTCGGCAGTAATTCAAGAGAGGGTAGTTTTTTTCGACGACATGAGATGAGGTAGTTGTAAGGATTGTATACCTAAGCTGTAGTAGGTAGGTAGTAGCCTTCGACCATGTATTCAGCACGCAAGTCCCCAGCTACATGCCACAACACAGGTCCTTAGAAAGATATGTTTGCAAGATCGTCATGACCAGCGCACACATTAATTTGTAAATGTTCGAAAAGCTCGTGGCGAGTAGGATCTGTGTGATGGGGCTTCGATACCGTTGCTCAGATGGTAAAGAACGACCAATTGGAGAGCCTCACTTGGGCGCAGACGTCGATATCTACATTTGAGGCCATTAATGATATCGTATCAGTGAAAATCATACAAAGCAAACAAACCGCTCTCGTGTAGGCATATCATGCCTCCGATACCAATGTTGCCCCAAGCTGTCGCGCGATACCATTCCATTCAGCTTACATACAAGCACATCTCCTAAACTCCACACGCTGAAATCTACATGGTCGACCGAGCTGCAGTTAGTCGCCATGCTGTATCCATCACTAATACAACGACAGGAATTTACCCTCGTGTTTCCAGCTTAGGTGAAGCGGAACTCCTGCCGCGTATGATGACTGCATCTGGATGACAGTACGAACTGAGAGCGGCGCCTCTTCGGTAGTCTGTTCAACAACCCCCGAGTCGAAACTCCAAGCGCCTAGGCAATGCAGCGAAACCGAACCGTTCCTGTACGCCCTTCATGATTCTGGGGAACCCGGTTCACTGCATGATGGTGCCGATACAGTGTAACTGTAGGGTAAGGCAATCAGTGCCAGGGCCTCACCTCACTTGTGCCCGCTGCGCATGCGGTGGCCGTGCGAAGCTAAGAATCTGAAAGGACTGTACGCCGATGGCGCGGATGAGAATTGACAGCACCTGAGCATTGGCGATTGCCCAGTCATACAGCTGGCCGCGGATGGCTTCATTGTTTCTTTGCTGGCAGTCTACCGGATATACAGCTCCGCGCCCGTATTTCAGTTCTTCGATGCTCACAGTATTCGGAAACACTGCTCCGTGCCACCAGGCACAGACAAGGGGAGGCTAAGAGGGTTACATCAGTGTGATGCGGTGGTGCAGCAAAACCCGTCACCACAAAGTAGAGTTGACGCTAGAAGCCTCAGGAAGCTCAACCACTGGGTGAGGCTGCTTGTCGAGGCATAGGCAGGCAAAAACGAGAATCTCGCTGCCCCTTGAGCTCCCGTTCTTGAACCTGTCACTCTGGGAAAGGCATCGCTCACTCAGCCTGGCCTAGCTCTGACCCCTTCGACCCCAGCAGATGCAAGATCCGCAGAGAGAGAACGCCTAACTCCAGATCCCGTCTTTGAGACAGCAGCCGGATCGCCACTCGCTCGCCGCCCTGGACAGCCGGGGTGGAGCTGGTACGTATCCACATGCGCACGATCCCGATCGAGGTGAACGGGTGGCTCATGACTTCATCGAGGTCGTGGCCATGAATCGTTGAATCTGGCATCTGGGCATGGATCGAGGCCTCAGTCCTTGCTGTGGTACCCTGGTTTGCTTGTTGTCAGCCCTCACTTTGTCTCCGGTCTCACCCACTTCCCCTTTCGCTACCCATGCCTCCTGTGCGGCAAATCATACGCGCAACAAGCACATCACATTGGTTGCTGTCCTCATACTGATTGCCACAGCATCCATCAGCACCCGCACGCTCACATCACCCATATTGAGAAGCCCTCCGACATAAATGCCCCGACGAGAGGTGCTTCGTGCGCCTGACATATCCGACTCCCTCCTCTGCTCTTGCAAATCAGCACCGTGGCGCTCCTCGGTGGTCTCCGACGAATATCACCCATCTCACGACTAGCTTTGCATCAGCCGTTCGTCCTTGTTCGTTTCTCCCATGCAATGGCACCCAAGAGAAAGAAAGCCGACGCCACAGTGACCGATCCACAGCCTGAACCCAAAGTCAGGAGGAGTTCCAGAAGGGTCACGAGGGGTGCCAGCCAGCAGCAAGATGATTTTCGGCAGGAAAATTTGTCGGAAGAAGTCATGGGTGCAGTCGTCAGTCCAACAATTTCGCAGGCAGCGTTTGAGCGCACCATGAGAGAGCTCGGGGAGATGGGGATGAAGCTTCAGAGCGCAGTCAAGGTTCAGCGCTTGGCCGTAGAGACATCGGATCTATCCAAGTGCGACACCGAAAAGGTTCGAGAAGAGGCCTTCAAGCTCAGGCCGACTGTAAGGAGACAGCCAAAGACCGGCCGCGAAAAAAAGACCGAGACCGAAGGCGTAGGAGGACTCAACGTAGACGCTGGCTTAGACGCCGATGCGGAAGCCGGTGGTGATGCGTTCGAGGAAAAAGCAGATGCTGAAGTCGTCGAACGAAGCGCGAGGAGGGCGCCGCCTGTAAATAGCGACGTGCTACCTCTGCCGTGGAAAGGTCGACTAGGATATGTAAGTATTGATCTACATAAACCCCTTTTCAGCTACTGGGATGATCTTTGGTTGAGAACGTCGTCGTTCACAATCGCCGGAGCGCGTAGTAAAGCTGACGCATGGTCATATAGGCTTGTCTCAACACGTACCTCAGAGCGGCCAATACTCCCGTCTTTTCGTCTCGGACTTGCCGTATTGCATCGATAATCGAGCATAGGCATCCTCTGCAAGACCCAACACAGCCTGAGCATAGCACGAAGAACCGGCCTGACAGGACGCAGCCGCCAGATGTCCAGCGCGGTCTCAAATTCGTCCAGGATCTTGGTCTCGCAAATGCCAAAGATATTGTCAAGATGCTGCGGTGGAACGAAAAGTATGGCATCAGATTCATGCGACTTAGCAGCGAAATGTTTCCTTTTGCGAGCCACGAGGAACATGGCTACAAACTGGCTCCCTTCGCCGCCGACGTGTTGGCTGAAGCGGGTAGGGTAGCTGCTGAGCTTGGCCATCGTCTCACGACACACCCTGGTCAGTATACGCAGATTGCGAGCCCTCGCCGGGAAGTTGTAGACGCAGCCTTCAGGGACCTCGAATACCATCATGAGATGCTGTCGTTGCTGAAGCTGCCGGAGCAGTCTGATCGAGACGCCGTCATGATCCTGCATATGGGTGGTGTATATGGCGACAAGGCGGCCACTTTGGATCGCTTCCGCCAGAATTATGCCAAGCTGTCAGATGGAGTGAAGAGGCGGCTGGTTCTGGAAAACGACGACGTCTCCTGGAGCGTCCATGACTTGCTGCCCATCTGCGAGGAACTGAACATTCCCCTGGTGCTGGACTATCATCACCACAACATCGTCTTCGACGACAGTATTCGCGAGGGAACCCAGGATATCATAGGCCTGTACGACCGCATCGCCAAGACGTGGACGAGGAAGAAGATCAAGCAGAAGATGCATTACAGCGAGCCGACAGCAGAGGCCGTCACGCCAAGGGACCGACGCAAACACTCGGCACGCGTCAAGACTCTGCCGCCTTGTGCCCCAGACATGGACTTGATGATTGAGGCGAAAGACAAGGAGCAGGCCGTGTTCGAGCTCATGAGGGCGTTTAGACTCCCGGGATGGGACCTCTTCAACGACATCGTTCCCTACGAAAGGGACGACGAGCCGAAGAAGGAGACCAAAAGAGCCAAGAAGGCAGACAAGAACATCACTCCTGAGGAGAACGGAGGAATTCGCGCTGTAGAGACCATCAGCCCAGAAGAATGCGCCATGGGAGGTAAGCAGAATCGGGTTTATTGGCCGCCAGGCATGGAAGAGTGGCTGCGACCCAAGAAGAGGGAAGTCAACAAAAAGGTCAAGGTTGAAGATTAAGCGGACAATACCTCATCAGAACTGATCACATGGATCGCCATCTTGAAAAGAGAGAAGGCTGTTGATCACGCGATTTCCCTGGCAGAATGTAGCTGTACGAAAGAACTGACCGAGAGGGCGGTCCCGCGAGAACAGTAAGAAGAATCGGAAGAACCTCGCTTCTCATGTTGACAGATAAATGAAGGTAGCTCTTCAAGACGGATCAAACAGAGAGGCCATTATCTCAAGTCAGTTGTGTAATGATGTAGTAACTGCTTATGCTTTAATGGCTCTGTCATGGACGTTGGGCAGAGCACCTTGAGTGCTAAGAACACTAAGAACAGAGAGAGTGGAAGTTGAAGTTCAATACCTACCTAATCTCGTGATGGTGCCTCAGCTCCTGAGGAAGGAGCCTTCGAACGGTACCGAGGCCTTGCGCTAAACAAGGGTGCTCATCGAGTACTCCGTGCGAGCAAAATTTTTACGGCGCCTGTCGAGGACACATGCACTGTGATGATATGCCTGCCCTGCCTCTTGTGAAAGATTCTCTTTTCACGCCCAAAACACAGAACATTCCTTGATCTTCGTCCCTGATCCTCCTCATCCCATATTCTGCGCGCCTTTTATTTGGCTTTTACAATGTCTGCCACGGACTTTGACAGCAAAACAAAGGCATTCCTGGAGTGGTTCAAGGCGCTTCCCGGATCAACGTTCCATGAGCACATCGAAATCACTGATTTCCGCGAAAGAAATGCAGGCCGCGGTATAGGTTCGTATACCAATGGCTCTGCATGCAGTACAGATTGCTCACCAATGATATGGCAGTGGCCCTCCAGGACATCCCTGCTGAAGCGGTTCTGTTTACCGTACCAAGAAGCGGCATCCTCAGTTCTGAGACGTCCGAGCTGAAGGGAAAGCTCCCAGAGATCTTCCAGGAAACGGCCATGGAAGTGGATGACAAGCCACAGCAAGATCCCTGGAGCACGCTTATCATCGTCATGATGTACGAGTACTTCAAGGGGAGCGAGTCGAAATGGAAGCCGTACATTGACGTCCTTCCTTCGTCGTTCGAGACGCCCATGTTCTGGTCCGATGCCGAGCTTGATGAACTTCAGGCCAGCGCCACGCGATCAAAAGTCGGCAAAGCGAGTGCAGAGGAGATGTTCCAAGACAAGGTCCTGCCTGTCATCCGTGCAAACCAGCATCTTTTCCCAACCAGCCAGACCTACAGTGATGACGACCTCATCCAGCTGGCTCATCGCATGGGAAGCACAATCATGTCATACTCCTTCGACTTCCAGAACGAGGACGAGGAGGACGAGGATGAAACCGAAGAATGGGTCGAGGAGCGCGAGGCAAAGTCCACGATGGGCATGGTGCCCATGGCTGACATCCTCAATGCTGATGCCGAGTATAACGTACGATGCCATCCATTATGATACTGCCTGCCCTTTGCCGTGCAATCAACTGATCCCGCGCTATTTTATAGGCACATGTCAACTATGGAGATGACGCTCTTACAGTGACAGCATTACGAACCATCAAGGCCGGAGAAGAAATCTTCAACTATTACGGCCCGCACCCTAACTCAGAACTTCTCCGACGCTACGGTTACGTCACGCCGAAGCACTCTCGCTACGACGTTGTCGAACTTCCATGGACTCTGGTCGAGGAATCCGTGGCCGCTAGCCTGGGCTTGTCAAGTGAGCAGCTTGACAAAGCAGTAAGTCTTTCCATACGCTCCTCTATCCTCTCATTTTCCTATTTCTTTCATGGCACGGGCTGATATCAGATAAGCGAGAGTGCCTCGATTCAGATGAACTCGAGGACACATTTGTGCTAGAACGAGAAACAGAGGAGCCCAACCCGGACGGCACGTTGACTGGTTCGGCTAGATTTAGCGAGATACCAGAGGATCTCCGGGACCAGCTCAAATCGCTGCTCAAGGCCATTCGCAAGGCAGTTCCGTCCAGCGTTGTTGACAAGCGGAAACGCGACGAGATCCAGCATAACATACTCATCAGAGCACTTGATGCCCTTGCGTCACGATATCCAACATCCATCTCAGAAGACGAACGGATTCTTGCCGGCAACGACATCAGCGAGCGGCGTAGAGCCGCTGTTACAGTGAGGCTGGGGGAGAAGCGGTTGATCCAAGAGGCAAAAAACTACTTGCTCGGCCTCGTCTCAGATGCCGCCGGTGCAGACGAGTCCTCGGCGCCCACCAAGAAAGCCCGGCGGTCAGACTGATACGACGTCACTATTCCCACTCCTTTGCTTCCGCCATCAAGTCCTTCTAGCAACCACGGGCGGAATAAAATGATAACCGACGCAGAATGAGCCACCACTGGAACTTTGGGCGGCAAATGGAAAAAAAGGCACATCACATGCGTAAACAAGCGGCGAGCCTCACCTAGGATCCACAGTGGTCGCGAACCACACACAGCTTGTCAAACCACATACCTAGCAAGGCAACCAAGAATAAGGCAACCGCCCGTGATCTCGTCCAGGAGAACCCCCTATATCTCTCATCTCTGTCGTCTCTATGATCGTAAATATTTCACTCAATTACCTTTCTCCTTTCAATCATCAGGTGCGAAGCCTCTGTGGCCTCTCTCTATTCTGTTCGTCCTCGAGCATTGTTAGACCCTTAAAATGCACGTCAAATCCTCCATCGGTTTCATTGCCCACCACAGGAGTCGTGATATCACACATTGCATCTCATACGGTCGCCGATGATCGCCACAGGGCCCTCTTATGTTGTTCATTGGGGAGAAAGGCTTTGAACCTGTTGGGTAAGCCGACGGAAAATGCAGCAAGGTTTGTAACCCTTCACTAACAGTTCAATGAAGGCTTGGCCACGCTGCTCATTCACCGCTTGATCGGCGTCTTCGCCATGCCTATGCATCGCCATTGTATGTCAAGTCGCACGATGAATCATTGTGGCTTGTCGTGCTTCACGGAACCACCCACGACAAACGCAGATATTCGCATCGCTGCAGAGACGGCATGGGATACGAAGTACACCCCATCAGCCAGAGCGTGGCCGGAAGGGGCGCGTTTTGCCACCGTGTTCTGGCAAGTCGGCTTCTTCAAACCCATCGATGCCTTGAAGCCCCTCCTGCGCATTTGAATCGTTGACATCTTCACAAACAAAAAGGCATGTGAGGAAGCACTTCCGGGAACGGACAGTGCTCTACCCGACGTTTTTTTCCCACCAGTATCAGGCAAGAGGCTAATGCCAGTGTCCAGAGTTTGTGTGACCCTCCAATAGTACGGGGCCGCAGATCTTGTTGTCTTATAACTGGCTGTTCGGCTGCTGAAACCCCGACGTCTGGCAAGTCTGCTTTTACGGCCTTGTTGTCTCCCGATATACTGCTTTCTCTGCTTTTCCCTTTCCACAGACTGGGTAGACTTGCCGCCAGTCTTGGCTGGCACAAACAGTGTTACTCTGGCTGGGATATGGCGTCTTGTCGCATCGGCTGACAATGCGTCGATTGCTTCGAAGTGAGATTCTCACACGGTTCTTGCATTGCATACATTCCCCCCTCAGGCCCCCACACTTGGGAGTTGAGACCGGGATTGCTCAACGTGCATGATGGTGCTTTTCATAGGATACCATCAAGAAAACGGGGGCTATTTTCTCTCCGAGGAGGCCATGGTTGGGAGCCCCCCTTTCCGCAGTCTTATTACCAAACAGCACACGGCGCAATGAGCAGTGATAGGCTCGAGGGATCACGAGCCCAAGGCCATGGTCCCCTTTGCCCCGGCCCTCCAAAGCCTCCAGCTATTGGCTCAGGACCACCGGCGGTGGTGGTGGTGGCAGTGGTGGTGGTCAAGCTGCCTGAGACATTTTCTAAGCCCAGATCGGGGCAAAGAGACAAACGGGCCATGTTCTCCGACAGGAGTACCCAAAAGCCCGCTGGCAACCATCCGCCGGTGGCGTGGGAGTACAAGCAAGAGTGACATCCCAGCCTATGGCCCTGCGATTACCAAGGAGCAGGCAGTATGCTGAGCATCTTATGTCGGCCTATCATACTTATCCCGCTGCCTGCGCGAGCTCGAGACTGGGGTTGATAAAACGAGCGAGAGGCGTTGGTCCAGCTGCCGCTCCCGCGGTCGTGGGACACGCAGGTTGAGCCCAACAGACTCTTTGCAAGCGCAGAGGGCGTGGAGCGATGGCTGATAGAACAAAACAAAAGGGGGGACCTCGCATATCCAATGGTATTGAAGTCTGCTCTCACCGGTTCGGCAACGAGCGTTCACGAGACGCTACCACTCATGTATGTCGACGTCAACCTTCGTCCTCAGTCCTCCACGCAAATGAGGGTTTGAGCCGCAAAGTCCGCGACTTCGCGCGCAGAACACCATCTTTGTTTGGCCCGATCTGATACTAGTGGCCAACTGCTTTCATCGTGCTGTAACGTTGAATACGTAGCATCTCGGCCTAACTTGACCAGGAGCGAAAGCAGACTGTTGATAGCTGCTGGCCTTGGGCAGCGATGGCTGTGGCGTCTTGCGGAGGCTCTGGACAGCCGTGATGAGCAGTGCGGAGCTGATAATATGGGACTCTACGCCGGCTCTCGAGGCATCATATATCATCTCCCGCGAACAAGTCATGTTACCGGGCTGTCAAATTTTCTGAGCTCAACAGCCCCCCCTGAATCTGCTACAACGAGGCTTATATACTACTGAAAGCAGCAGTGGTTATCATGGCGGTAAGCATTGATATTCTTCGCAATGACACATGCTTCTGAGGTTTCGACCCTGCATGGCAGGGATGCCGGCGCCTCTATCCGAGTTATCGAATCGAATATACAGCATTCTAACTATCCGTTCTCTGCCATAGGCCAGAGGCACTCATAAGCATGCGGGGGGCAATAGCAAGCATAAAGTCAGCGCGAGCAGCAGCAATCTCCAGCTTAGCCACGATCCCAGAAGCTTTCTGTTTGTGATCAACGAACTCACTTTACACGATGACGACCGTCTCCATAGAGGAGACGACTGGTACAACCGCGTGCCGCCCTCTGAGCCCCGGTGCTTTGACCGCGAGATTACGGGCACCGTCATGAGATATCACAACGGGCAAGTTACGGAGGCTCGCGGCTACCAGTGGCTTCGAGGGGATTTCGACATCACTCGCAATGCTTGGCCTACTGGTTATCTGTACAGATACGACTCTGCCGATTCGCCGATGCTGACAGTTGACGGGAACTTTCAATGTGCGAGTGTGTACAAGCAGCTCGCAGTCTTTTCCTGCAACCCCCTACTCCCGATTGCCGTCCTCATCGGGGACCCTCTGTCCGCCAGCTCACTTGCCCGAGTCCCCTTGCTTTTCCATCATCCTGATCATCAGCCGGGTGTGTCGCATGCAGTCCATCCGGACAGCCGGCTGAGGGGAGGCGGAGTCATGTGCAAGTTCGTCGCGGGAGCAAGTCCTAGCTGGATGCCAAGCTTGGTGCCCAAGACGTACCGTAATCCGTACGAGCCGGGTCCGTCGCGTGGACTCTCGGGAGAGCTTCCCATTATACTTGGCCTAATGGCATTCAGCGAGGCCAGGTCCGAAGGAGAGGATATAGCAAGGCGTATATTCCTTGAGGACAATCGTTGGCGCAACGGAGAGTGGCGTCATGCTGCAACTCCCAAGGGATGTAAGTGGCCTTCGTACCCCTTTCCTATCCCCAAATCTCTACCTATTCTGCTTGATGGCTTTGACGGTTTGAGACACTAACCGGTGTTCTAGATGCCCGTTCTGCACTGGAGAATCCGCTCGGCTTCCTCATCACGGTTTTCTATGATCCGGAAAACGAAGAGTATTCGAACGAAGAGCGCCTTGATGACATGGAATTTGGGGACGTGATTGTTCGAGATAGCAGGCGCTAGTCCGAACACCCGGGGCGAGTTTCTGCCGGTTTTGTCCCCCTTTTCTTGTCATGATGTTCATTTTCTTTCCCGTTTGCGCTTCTCTTTTGTTTCTATTGATGTTGGTTTACGTTGATTTCAGTCGGTTCTTTGATTACTTCTTCTTCTCCCTTTCCTCCTCCCCCTTACTCAAAACACAGTTCTCGGTCGATCAAAGCTTGTCGACGTCGGGTACCCCATATGCTACAGTTTTCTTGCAACAACACACCGTGGATGCTCATCGCCTGCTGCGGTCCCTGGCACTGATGTCTCTTTTTCCTCTTCTTCCCTGTTTTTGTTAACAATGTTGCCTTCTTCATTTACCTACCTACCTTTGGCCTGGTTCACGTTCTACTCTACATCTTGCCTACATCATGATGTTTGTGACTCCTTGAAAGTTTATCAAACAATTTCAATCTATTTACTCTTTATTCATCCAGTTGCTCTCTCCCCCTCCAGTGATGACGGTCCATTTGGGGCCTTTCTATGGCGTTTAAAGCCCCCATTTCTCCCCCCTTTTTTTTGCTAGCAGATAATGCTAGCTACCTTATGCAGTGACGCATCCTCTCGCGCTTCTTGCACCAACCATGTAGTCCTGATAAATCGCTATACATTTGAACGAAAAAGACGAGAAGAAAGAAAGAACTTTACATGAAATATATACGGCTTCGTCGCTCCCCTCCCTTTCGCATCGTCTTTGGAATACTGGGTTGTAGGATGAATGACCCGCGCCGCGTGATTAATATACCTCGTCCCCGATACCTTTCCCACTTATTTATTGCCAATATCTTGATAAAGTCGTTCAGACTACATCTGGCAGCCGAACAGCAATGTCACCAGACTGTGTAATGTATCGGACCCATGGAAGCGAAGGGTATTGCAGCTATTGAAAAAACGTCCACATGTTAGCATACCGAGACAAAAGGGACGTGACAGCGTTGGAAAAAACAAGTTTCCTCCCCATGATCTTACCTTGGGCTCAGTAATCTTGAGATATCGGACCTGGATTCCACTCGTCGTAAAGTAGGGAATCTCAAACTTGACCTGGATCGGCCTCTTGGCGCCCTTGCCACCGATGCCGCCCATGCTGCCTCCGAAGCCGCCCGTCATGCCGCCGCCGTGCTCGTCGTCGCCCCTGACGCTGGGGAGGCCCAGCTCGGCGCGCATGAGGAACTCCTTGTTGCCGCCAAACTGCTTAATCTTCCAGACGATGGCGCTCTGCTCGGGGGCGTAGTGGACGGAGCCAATGTTGGTGCGGAAGCGCGGGGAGTCGGCGTCGTCGGGGACGGGGACGATGATCTCGACGTTGTTGGCCGTGCTTCGTCGCTTGAACTGGGCCTTGGCCTTGAGCATGTACTCGATGCGGGAGCCCGAGTGGGACTCGACGAGGCACTCGACCCAGATGAGGGGCTTGACCTGGGTGTTGAGGCGGTACGACATGAGCTCGAACTCGCCGTCGGGCGGGATGAAGGAGATTGTGCGGTCGTTTTCGAAGCGCGACAGCCGCACGCACTGGTGGAACTTGACGTCCTCCATCTCAATGGCCTTGCCGCGCGTGGACCGGCCCGTCGTCTCGAACATGACCTTGTCGTTGAGCCCCAGCCGCAGCTCGGGCATGCCGCTGAGGTAGCACTTCATCTTGATGGCGCCGAGGATCTCGCTGCGCAGCACGTTTCCGTTGGCGCTGACGAGCAGGTTGAGGCTCTCGACGACGTCGAGGAAGACTTCGTTCTTGCGGTAGCGGATGCCCTCGGATCGCCATGACACGGCGTTGGTGACGGCGATGGGCGGGCGGGCCTGGATCTCGAGCTTGTGCGACTCCTGGGTGATGTACTCTTGCAGGATCTTGGACTCGGTGGTCTGGGGGTAGCCAAAGTCCATCATCTCGTCGAGGAGCTCGTAGATGACGACGAAGTTGTCGCGGATGGATTCTTCCTCCAAGGCCTTGAAGTACTCGGTGAAGACCTCGACGACCTTGTGCAGGAAGAGAAGGATGCCCGCGGCATTGGTGTTGCGCTTCGTCAGCGCCAGGAGGTATAGGTTGTTGTGGCGGATGTACAGATACTGCGCGCGTTGTCAGACTGCGTGATCTTCTTGGTTTATAGGTATGGAAGGGCTGGCTTGAGGGGCCGCGTAAGGAAGTTGACGGACGTTGATTCCTTCGTGGGAGAAGCATGGCGGGACGGCTGAAGACTCTTCTTCGGCTTCTGACAGGAGGACGGGGAACTTTTCGACGGCGGACATGGGGATGTCACCCCTATAGTTTCGGGCGAGGAGGGTCTGGAGCGGTTCGTGTTAGATGGGACGTAGCAGGCTTAGCGATTGGGCATCGTGCCCCCAGATGGGGTTCACAGTACCTTGCCCTTGAGGTCTAGAAAGAAGAGTGCGGACGCCATGGCGACAACGGTGTCACGGTCTTATGAAGCAGAGGAAGAAGGACGCAACTGGCACCACCAGGAGAGACTGGCGGGGAGGAGGGGCAGTTCAGAGGGATAGATCCGGGGATTGGCGCGCCGGCCAGGGAGAAGCGAGGGCCAGAGAAGACGCTGGCATGCGCTGAAGAGGGCGGAGATTCGTTCTGGCGGGCTGCGGCGGTTCAGTGCAGGGTCATGATGGCGCGAGGCTGCAGCTGGTTCGCGATGTCTGGACGAGCTTCCCACTCAAACGGACAACTGGTTGCTCACCGCAGCCTGCGATAGGCTGGAGCATTCGCAGCAACAGGGGTGACTAAGCATGGCCGGCAGAACCCCGGCCATGGGTGGATATCAGACAATCTGGGACAAGCAGACGTCACGTGTCATGGAGCTTTGCTGTGTTCCTGAAGCCCCACTATCGAAAAAAAATCCAAGATCCAATATGAAGCTTGGATTTGGCTTTCTCTTCCTCTTTCTCTTCTTCTTTTCTTTCTTCTCTCCAACGCGCCCATTAGACAGTGCAACTCATCTTTCACCTGCGACCGCGTGGCATTCTGTCATGACAGCTGCAGAGCCGTGGATGAGTTAGCGATTTGGCGGTGCGGAGAAGAAGGAAACTTGTTTCTATACGGTTCATTAAGAGCTGCCCGCGTGTGTTTTCTGCTTTTGGCAGGATTTGATTGCTTGGGCGGCGTCAGAGGAGCCACACATTCCATCAGCGTTCCTTTGAGGCAATTTTTCGGAGCGAGACTGGACGAGACTGGATCGAGGCCGGCGCTCATTTTGGAGAGCGAGGAAGACGATGCCGATGCGTTGCTTGATGTCGCTGTTGAGCAACCCAACGCCCTCATACGAGTATTACGCCGGTCTCTGTGTTCACTGCTTGTGATGGCATCGAATGGGACGAGCCCAGAGCTGCGACGAAAAGCCATCCGCCTCTGGCCATCGCTTGCGCTGCGAGCTTGCCTGCCTACGCCTCAGCCAATAATTGCTCTGCTGTGGCGTCACAGCGCGGGAGACGGGCAGCTCGAGCCAAGTTGCCGAAAAGCACCACCACTTCTGAGATGACACGCAACACATGCCACGATCTAATTCTTCGTCCATGGCCTACAGTGCGGCATGTCGAATGCAACCAGGCGATGTAATTGGAAAAAAAGTGCATCATGTGATGGCTGTGAGCTAGCTGTTGAGCCGAGTAGCAGCAGGAAGAGGAAGCTGCTCGGAGCAATTTCAGCGAATTACAGGTCTTTGGCCATCTGAGACACAACCGTTGCCGCTGGTTAGGAAAGGACGTCGACGTGCCTGTGCGAGTGCCCGATGCATTGACTGACGAGTGCCTGAAGGAAGCCGGGAGGCGACCCGAATCGCGACAAGAGATGTGGTTGGCTGAAGAGTCCATGATGCCTTTGCATCTGTGTACTAGTATTACAGCTTGGACATGGAGAGTGTGTCCCAGGTCCCCCGCATCTGCAATCAGGTTTCCGTGACAAGCGCAGAGCCCGGTTCAGGCCATCGCCAGCGAAGCCCGTCTTACGGCAACGAAGCCGGCTTCTGCTTGTACTGTAGCAGTAATACAGTACGCTGCGATGCGACCATGGCTTTAAGCTTTGTTGGGGATCGTGGCTGGTGGCCGGGCTAGAGATGATGGTCACCGCGATTCGGAGATGCAAGGCAGCGTCCGGGGCTCAGGTGGTCGACGGGCTCAATGGTTTTCTCCTCACCTCCCCCACACAGCTGGCGTTTGTCTTGGTGAGAATTCTCGTGGCCATGTGAACAGCTATCGCCTCGTCTGGCAAGTGTTAGTGGCTCCAGATTACCCCTAATCCCCCACCGGGACCAAGGTGGACATTCCAATCAGGACGAGGGCTACCCTGCGAATGTCTGATGGTAGAATAATCAGGCATTATATCACCGCCCGCATGGACTGTCCTGGCTAATCTGTTTGCATGTGTTGTCGTACTGGAACTGCTCTCTCCATCTGTGGTGAGTTTCGGAGCGAAGAGCGTCAGCGGAGAGGCCAGTGGGGCTGTTGCAGGAAACGAGAGCACATGGATTTCAAAGGGTTCAAAGCAAAGATGAGAGCAAAGAGTTCTCTGTCTCGGTGGGGAAGCGAGACAGTTGGGGGGCAGGTTGGCAGGGAACAGGGGGAGCAGGACGAGCGTCGCATTGCATGTGATTGTGTGTGGTTTTGCAACCGCTCAGGCACGTGCTGGTAGCGGTACAAGTCATACGAGTGCTGTACATGCAACAGTTTCTGGGGGGGGGCGACGATGCACATGCCGAATCCAGCAATTGTTACAAAGGCAACATGATGCCTTGGTTCAGGGCTGATGCTGGATGTCTTTTTAGAGAGCGGCAAACTGTTCGTTTGAAGCATGGCAGAGGAAGCTCGTTTGTTAAGGTTGTCGTTGATGGAGAGAAGCATCACGGATGAAGTGCTCTACGACAGGTACCGGTACCTGGACCTGCACTCCCATCTCCAGCATCTCCACGGCCACGAGCTCAAAAGTGCCGGTGCTTGTAACCGCGCCCTCTGGCTCCGGTCCGATGCAGTCACCATACAAGTACCTACTACTACAGGTATGCGTTTAAAGCAACACACACACACACACACACACACATGCAAAAATGTAATCATGACAATGATGACGGGAATGCCAAGCCCATGGATCAGGGACTGACTGGTGGATGGTGCAAGTATCATGGCCCGGAGGTGGTGGCCTCTGCAAGGATGGCACAGGCTTTGTTTGTCTGGTGGTTGGCTGATGAATGCTCTCTCTCTTTTCTCCAACCAATGTCCGAGTGAGGTGGCAGTGAAATGTGCGTACCTCATACTGTGATGTCTGCAACAAGGAGTACGGAATCATATTCGGCGTCTTGTTCTGCTAGCCATACTAGGTACTTGATTATATGCATCTCAGCGGGAACCGGCAAAATCACTTCACATGCAATTATACCCATTGGCAACAGAAGAGGTACCGCTACCTCGGACATGCAGCACCCATCAGAGACATGATTCAGAATCACACCAAGGCCTGGAGCACCTCTCTGGCTCTCCAGGACCCTGCAGACCCAGACCCTGCAGACATGCCGGGCGCCTGACCTCACGAGGACCCTCACCAGCTGCGTACAGGTACCAGGACAAGCCGTGCACCAGCTCTGGCGTTGATGAGCGTGAAAAGGACTTGAAGGTGCTGTAATAATACCGATATACCCAACTCATGGCAGTCACACACACACACACACACACAACACACCATAGAAGGTAGCGCTGGTTTAGGACTATTTATTCCGCTACTTACCCCCTCCGTGATAGAGCTACTGTATCTAACGTTTTTCAGCTAGTACTGCTAGCAGACTTCCTAATATAGAAGGTACAGCGCTCTGCATATAAATTTATATAGTGTGCAAGGTACCTTACACCTAGGGCTGTATTCCTGCAGTAAGAAAAAAAAAAACACTAATGCTATAACACTACACTCCTAACTATAGGTAGCAAGTTAAAATAAAATATATAAAATATACTAAAATATAGCGTAAATATAGGTATTTTTATTTAAATAGCTACTCCTTTATAAAATTTATAATAGACTTATATAGTATTAGTAATCTAGGACCCTGCTAATACTGCTGCTTTCTTTATAGCCTATTTAGGTCTTTAGCCCTTATATAATCTAGCTAAGAACTTAAAAAAGGAAGCAGTTAGCTATAAAATAGCCTATTACTGCCGCTGCTACTATAAATTAATATAATTACTATTAGAATTAGTAGCTGCAATCCTAAGGCATTAAAAAAACGCAGTTAGTCTTTATGCCTAACTTTATAGCTAATGCTAATTCTAGTAAGAGGCTTAATACCCTTAAATTATAAAAGAATGCGCTTTATATAAAATCTAGTAGCTATAAAGCGCTAGAATATTCTGCAGATAGAATTTAAAGCTAGTAAGACAGGCATTTATATAATTATTATTAGATTTTATAATATTATTCCTAGCGCCTATTAGATTTCTTATTATATTACAGTCTGCAGTATTATAGCTAGCCTAGGGCTAAGGAGCCTTAAAAGCAAGACCTGCTATAATGCCTAATTTATAGTATTTTATAATTAGGCCTATAAGTAATAGCAGTATTTTAAGGCAGGCTTATTAATTAGGTTATTTTAAAGGCAGTATTTTTATAAAATAACTTACAGATTATAAATACAGCAGTATAAATCTAAATTAGCCTATTTTAATTAAAAAAAAGAACTAAAGGTTATAGCATTTATTAAGAACCTTTACTAAATTAAATAAAAGCAGCTAGTAGTTATTAAATAGTAATAGCAGCAGTAAATTAAATATATAAACTTAGCAGTCTTAGCTATTATAAAAAACCTTAAAATAAATAAAGTTATTAATTATATAGGCATATAGTAAGCTATACTAGCCTATAAATGTCTTAAAGCACTCTTTTAGCAGTTTTTTTATAAAAAAAAGCTATAATACCTTTACCTTTAAGTATTAATTATAAATTAAAAATAGTGCCTTTTAGAAAATGCAGTTAATTATATTATTAAAAAAAGGCTAATAAAAAAGATTATAAACTTAAGTTATTTTTAAACTTAACTTCTTTATAAATTATACCTTTATTATCTTTTATTAATTTTCTATTACCTAAAAGAGCTAATAAAGGTTATTATTTTATAATTAAAGAAAAGACTTAATATTAAAGTGTTATGCTTTATAAGGGGAAGTTATTTAATATTTATAATTATAATAGTTTTTTATAAATGCATAGGCCTATTATGCCTTTAACAGAATATAAGTGTTTAAAAAATAATATAAAAGCACTAAATTTATTAATAATTATATAAAAAAATAAGGAATTAGCTTACTAATCTAGGTAGTAAAGTCTATTTATATTTCCTTTTAAATATTATTAAATACCTTTAGTAATAATAAATATAAAAGCCTATACTAAGTAAGAAGGAAGTCTGCCTTTATATTTATAACTAACTGTATTAATAGTATAAAATTCTTATTAATAAAATCCTAAAGGCTTAGTATATTAGCAGCAGTAGCAGTAAAGTTATAGCTAGTCTAACACTTATAAATAGCTTTAAGGATATTTTTTAAAATATGCTAAATATATAGCTGCTGCTATAAGGTTAAGAAGATGCTAGAGATTGCTAAATACTTAGCAGTAGTAAAGTCTATAATAATAACCTATAAGATTAGTTTTACTAATAATACTAACTTCCTAAATATATAAAAGGCTAGGGCTAACTTTAAATTCCTTAAGACCTATATATAAAATTCCTTATTTTTAATATAGCTAAGGGTAAATACTAAAAGGAAGACTATGCCTAAATTAATAATACTATTAATCTTTAATAGCTTAAGACTATAGTAATTAGTATTATAAGTAGCGTTAAGCATTAGCATATTTAGTAATGCCTTTTATATCTTAAAATCGCAATTAATAATAATAAAAAGGCACTTTAATAATTCCTAAAAGTTATATTTATCTTTATAATAAAAATTATATTCTTTTAAATCTTTAATAAATGCCTAGGTAGCAGTGTATTTACTAAGTTAATAGCATAACTCTTATAATAATAGGTTTTAAATATTATATATTATAATAAAAAGCTTAAGCTCCTAGGCTATTAGCGCATATTAAGTTACTCTTACTATTAATCCTATTTTATTAGTTATTATAATACTAGCAAGATGCTTAAAAGTAAGGCTATAATACTTAAAAAAGGAAATAGCTAGCTTAAGATTATAATTATAAGTGCTGTAAATAATCTTTAGCGCCTAAAGGTAATTAAGTTTAACTTTTTAAATTAATTTAACTTAAAAAGGGCATCCAGTCTTATATATACTAGTTAGCTTTAAGCCATGCCCTTTAAAGGCATATATGCTTAAGCAAGTATAGGCAAGATTATATTAACAGGGCTTGCTATAATAATAATTTACTCTGCGTAAATAAATAACAGTAAAGCCTTTATCTCTTATATAGCTTTAAAAAGATTTAAATACTTCCTTATAGCTTTAAAATAGTTTAAGTTAGTGCAGTAGTTATAAAGATATTGCAGATTAAAAGTTAGGTAGTTATTATAATATTATGGCTTTAGTTACAGTTATGTTATTATAGTATTATAGCGTTTTTTTTATTAGTATATATTATTTTTTTTTTCCTACTGCAGGAATACAGCCCTAGGTATAAGGTACCTTGCATACTATATAAATTTATATATAGAGCGCTATACCTTCTATATTAGGAAGTCTGCTAGCAGTACTAGCTGAAAAACATTAGACACAGTAGCTCTATTACAGAGGGGGTAAGTAGCGGAATAAATAGTCCTGGTTTAGGGATCCCAACAAACCGATCGTCTAGCGGGTGAAGAAAGTCTGTTTACGAATGGCGATCATTCGTACTACTACTGATCGTAAGTGATCGATCAGAGGCAAATGGAAGCTGCGCCGAAGCAACACGAATTGATATTGCAGGGACTTGAATGTAGGTAGTAACAGAGAGACTTGGGTGGGGGAAGGATGATTTCAAGGCGTCATGTCTTGAGGTACAAGTACATCCAGCTACGACGATGCTTTGTTCAAACTGACTCGGCGCAAGTGGATGTGTCCGCCTCTGCCCTGGGTTTTCGCTATTTTCCTCGATTGAGCCCTTGTCTTGTTTGCCCTCTTGGTTGTCGTGTATCAATCTGCCTCATTGATTGTTATCGTAGGTGTAAGATATGTGTCTATCTCAGGCAGTCCCTGACCAGGCATCTACAATCTGATAAAATATCCCTCTGTCATCCGACTCTTGTCGGCGGGTTTCTGGCTCGCGAAACTGCCGTTGCGTCGCCTTATCGCCCTTTTATTGTCATCATCCTCATTCATCCATCCATCCATTCATTCATTCATTCATTCATTCATTCATCCATCATCCAACCTCCAAAAAAAAACCATCCACGTGCCCAGACCACCACTCTGCTGTGTCCGTGTCTGCGTTTAGGTACTGTACGTCTACGTCTATCCTACCTGCAGTGAGAGCCCAACAGAAGCAGTCACGGATATTACATACCTACCTACGCTGCAATAGCAGAGCCTTTTTGAAGCTATCCTCGTTCCCACCATCATCAGCATCTCTCTCTCTCTCTCTCTTTCTCTCTCCCTTCTTCTCTCCTCTCTTCTCCAACCGCTACCCGCACCGAAACCCAGCCACAACATTGCCTCCGGCGTTTATTCCCGCCATTGATCTTGACCCCTGCGTGCGTATGTGTGCGTACAGTACAGTAGTACTACTGTAGCCATCAGCCGTTTTCCCTTTTGCCGCCCCAAATTGCGCCGCTCCCCATACGAATACATACTACGTGCATATTCCCTTGCACTGTATGCGCAGCTGCGTGTGTACTTGCTTGGATTGATGGGCCGCACATGCAATCACATGCCATGCATCGCCAGACGCTCGCCAACCGTCAATCGCCTTCGGCCCCCCTCGGACCAGCAGCACTTGCACCACCGCTGCCGCCACGACCTCGCACTCGCCTGCCGCCCATCAGCGCAATCACGTCGATTCCCTCGATTGCTTCGACTCCCTCCATCGCCCCCGTTGCAGCATCGAGCGGCGCTGGTCTGCGGCCACTGAATGCGCCGTCATCAGCAGCATCATCGGCATTATCAGCAGCATCACCAGCATCATCATCATCAGCAGCAGCATCTTCATCAGCATCATCACCCTCGACGCTCCTCCCCAGTCCCCCCAATCCCTCGCAGCAGCGCCTCGCCTCCTCCTTCTCCTCCTCCTCCTCCTGCTCGCCCTCGTCCACCGCCGCCGCCTCGTCCATGCAAAACCATCGCCAGATCCCCAGCCCGTCCGACACCGACCGGCTCCCCCCGCTGGTGCACCATGACGGCGACAGCACCGTCTTGCCGTCGCTGAGCAGCATCACCGGCGACGTCGCCATGCGCGGCGGCGACGACCAGCACCGCCACTCGCAGCATCCTCACAACCCGCAGCATCTTCACGGCCTCCCCAGCATCCACAGCCCCCCGCCGCTGCACTCGAACCATTGGCCGTCGCCCTTCAATGGGCCGCTCAACAACTCGTATCGACAACCGCCGCCGCCGCCCTTCCACGCCCCCGACAGCCCGGCGACAGCCATGGACATGGACGGCTCTGCAAGCGTTGCCAGTGCGGCATCGCCATCGCCAGATCGCATCTACGACGGGACGCCGACGCCCAGCAGCCTCACGCTCGACGATCCAGACGTGCGGCTTGCAGCTGAGGCGCTGGGCGACCTGCGCGCCGGTGAGTGACGACACCACAGCGCATTGCTCAAACTGTCTCGTTATCCAGATTGTAGATAGATTACTGACGACCCTCTGCCTGCACAGACTTTGTATCATCGCCGCCCGACACCTCCTCGCTGCCGCCCATGAGCCCGCCCATTGCGCCCTTCCAGCTGCAGCAGACGAAGCCAAAGTCGCCCAAACCCGAGCCGCTCCTGTCTCTCCTCACAACCGCCCATCCCCTCGTCGCCTCCACCATTGGCGGCGCCAGTTCGGCCTACGGCGGCGCAAAGAACTTCTCCCCGCGATTCAAGACTGGCGCCGAGTATGTCGAGGGCTACTTGACCCCCATCGCCAACACCGTCAACTCCGTGGGTAGGGTCACGGGCGTCGAGGGCGGTGTTCGATGGTTCCTAGGCGCGGGCCGTCGCCATCCAGCACCCACCTCGGATCCCGACTCCAACGGCTCCAACAAGAGGCGGAGGACGGGCGAGGGCAGCAGCAGCAGCAGCGCCGCCAACGGCGATGTCAATGGGTCGCCTGTCATCAACGGCCTCGACGACTTGTCCTCGGCCGCATCAAAGACGCCTCGCCGCCTGTCGACCGCCAGCACGGTGGACACGCTGCCGGCCTACGATGACTAGCGGTCTCCCGCCTACTCGGAAACCGCGCCCGCAAGTCACAGACCCCCGAACAGCAGCCAGCCGTGGCAGACCCGCCTGATGATGTCCACGTCTGGGTTGAGCGTTGCCATGAGCGCCGAGAGCCTCCGCAGTCTCAAGTACTGCTTGCGCTGGCTTCGATGGACCAACGATCACATCGACCGGGCCATTCTCAACTTGAAGCACGCATTGGAGGAGTATGAAAAGGCAGAGAGGAAGGAACAGTCTGAAGGAGGGCCGTCCACCGAGAACCCAAGCGTGGCCGAAGCCATGGATGTGGATGGCGCGGACAAGGAGCAGAAGCCCAACCCGTCACGGAGCGAGATCGCCGCGCGCATCAACAGCCTCAAGGGCGACATTGTCAAGACGCTTCAGGACGTCATCAACAACGTGTCCAAGTACGCCGGCGGCGCGCTCCCCGAGAACGCGCGGGTGCTTGTTCGCCGCCACCTGACCAGCCTGCCTCAGCGCTTCCGCCTGGCGACCATGTCTGATAGGCAGTCGGAGAATGCCAACAGGGACGGCGACTCGGCGCTGCGTGACGGCGCGCAAAAGGTGCTGGTGCTGGCCAAGGAGGGCCTCGACATGGTGACGCAGGTCACGGGTGTCTTGGACGGCACGATTGTGAGCGCCGAGCAGTGGTGTGAGAGGATGGGCAAGAGGCGGACCGAGGACAGGGATGAGGAGCAGGAGGCGGCTTCGTCGAGGCAGCGAACCGAGTTTGGCAGCGACGTGAAGACGGCTTAGTTCGACACCAGAGCAGATGAAAAGGAGAGCACAGCAAGGCCATATGATGGAAGCCCACTGGACGCATGCGAGGTAGTGGATGAGGCAGGGAGAATCCCAAGAATATCTATCAACAACAGCCGGCAAGACGGCCCCGGGGGCGCGGAGACGACCAGGGACTGCAAAAGGAGACTGCAAAGGACGAGACAGGGCGACAACAGGACTTGATCTGGTCTCGGGTAAGGGCGTGATGGGACCATTTTTGGGACGACGACTTTTTTTTTTTTTTTTTTTTTTTTGCAAGCAAAGGCTGGAATGCTTACCACAACGGAAGATGCTCGCTGTTCTTTTTTTCTTTGTCTTTTGTTTCCATGATCGCAAACACAGAGTCCTTTGCCTATACGGCTCTTTTCCTTTATCATTTCGAGTATCGGGTCTGTTTCGATGGGGACCATCTAATCTACTAGGTCGTTGGGCAGTAGCCCAAGCGTTTTCCTCTTTTCTTTCTGCTCCTTTTTTTCTCTTACTCTTTGTATGTTTCTTCTGAGCGTTTGTTTGATCTCTTTTTTTGTCTGTATCTTGTTTCTATCATGGTTACCAAGTCTTCTGACAATTGAGAGCCTCCATCAAGGACCGATTTGTTTCATTTCTCGTCTTCTTTTCTTATTGATGTACCTAGTCGTTACGGAGGATCTCGAAGCCAAAAAGATGAGTGTATGTTTGTTGTATGTTGTGAGAATATGGGATGCGGGATGCATTGCCAGCAAGATAGCAATTGAACTTTTTTTTCCTTCACGGACGTCTATTGTCGTGTGCCTTGAGACACAACGTATCTATTGGGTTATATGCGTCTTGGAGGTGGTGATTCTAGGCTCCAAGGGATCATAGATACAGCTCCTAATCATGGTCGAAAGCATGACAATGCGGCGATGACGCTCTATATCCCGAGCCTATGAGATGGTATCGTGAGAGATGTCGAGATGGTTGCATGTCATGTGGAATCATGGCAAGGAGAGACTGTGTAAGTGGTGGGTGGTAAGGCACCTCATTTGCCGTCTTCACGTCCATGACAAATGTTACTCGCTAGGTAACCATTAAGATCATCGATCGTCTTGCATAGAAGTCTTGCCTCAGCGGTCATTAATACACAAGAAATACAGCTTCACACATCATGATGCTGAGGGAGACCATGTCCTGCTACAACCTCCCCAACTCCCGGACATGACTACCGATGTTGCTCACCAATCCATCTCACGAGACATCACGAATGAAACAGCTTACAAACAATAATGGGACGGAGCAAGCAATCTCACATCTATCCGTGTCAAAGCATCATCTTTAGAAGTAGGTAGATCTTAAGTCCATGGCGGAGATAAAAAGATCTTAGGTCCTTTACAGGGTAAGTTATTCCAGCCCAGCAGAAACTCGATGGCGGGACATCCCGTCTACAGCAGGACCTCGACTGCGTAGGTTCTTTTGTTACCCTGCGGCATCATCCGCTTTTCTGCAAGAAACAGGCTGGCTAACTCAGCTCCTCCACCCTCCCACACTTCTGGTTCAAGTCTTTCTTCTGCCAGGGGGTCGCAGCAAGATTTGCATACCTAGTACACCCCACAAGCATCTTAAACGTTAAATAAGTACTTTTGCCATAAAATCGCCACCAAGTCGTCATAGGCCTGATTTTTAATTAGCTGCAAGGCCTTATACCTTTATATATAATTTTCTATATAAAGAAACCTAAAGTTATTATTTTTTACTATAATAATAAAAACATTATAGTAGATAATAAGTATAAAGACTACTAGTAAGGTAAAAGGTAGTAAGTTAAGGTTATTTTACACTAGTTAAAAGCTATTATAATAGCATCTCTTAAAGTCTATAAGGATCCTAACTGCTATTAGCAGCTATAAAGCCTTACACTAGGTTTAACTATACTACTAGCCTAAAAGGTTAAAGCTTTATCTTCTAGCCTAATTTAATAAAGATATAATTTTTAAAGCCTTATATCTTTTAGTATTAGTATTAGTCTAATAACTTAGTATTATTTACTTATTAGCTCTTAGTATAAACCTTTATAAACTTTATATTTAAGGCCTTCTAACTAAAGCCTTTTAAGCTAAAGTCTTTAAGACCCTTATTATAACTATAATTAAGGCTAAAGTTAAAGCCTTTATTAAGATTATAATTAAGGCTGCTATTATAGTTAAAGCCTAAGGCAGCTACTATAGCTAATAACTATAAATAAGGCTAAATAGGCTATGCTGCTTAACTATAATAATAAGATTATTATATAGACCTTATAAGACTATATAACTTATATAATTATAAAAATTACTAAGCTGCTAAATATAATACCTTATTAAGTGCAGCTTGCTAAAGATAGCCTTATAATACTATAAAAAAGGCCCTGCAGTAAAGGCAAGCTGTTTAAGGACTAGCTTTATAGCCTTAATGCCTTTATAAAGGAAGACCTTATATACTATATAATTATATAGTAAGACTTATGCTTTTTTATTCTAGGCTTTAAGCTTATAGGTATAAGAGCTATTACTATAAGGCTTTAAGAACTTAGCTATACTTAAAAAAAAAGAAAAAAGAAAGTTCTCTTAAGCTTATAAATTTAGGCTGCTTATATTTAAATATACTACTAGCTCTTAAAGCTATAACCTAACTTAAAAGACTAGCTATATATCTTAATCTACTTTTTTAATAAAACCTAGGCGCTAAATAGTATAATTAGTATTAAGTAAGTTATAGTTTCTAAAATTAAAAATAAAGCTATCTTTAACCTCCTTTATTATTATAGCTAGGGCTAGATATTTTAAAGGTTAATCTATAGCCTATATAAAGGCTTATCCTACTTTTAAAAAAAAGGCTAAGAAATATTAGCTAACTAGTATTAAAAAATAGTATTACTATTAATTAAGTCCTTTCTTTAATAAATGCTACTAGGTATAGCTTTTATATATAATAATGCTTTAGTATATATAGCTAAATTAACTTAAAAGTAGCTTAAAGCTTATAAAATTAAGACTATTATATAAGCAGCCTATAGCCTAGACCTTAACCTTATAAAGAATATTTAGTTATAAATAAAGACCTAGATTAATTAAAATTATAATATAAATACCCTTATGCTTATATAGCTTTAGGCCGCTATATAGGCTGCCTAAAATGCAGTGCTATAGTTATTACTTATTAACCTAGCTATAGGGATGCTAGTATAGCTGCAATAGTATATTAACTATAATAGTTAGGCTATAGATTATTAAAGAGTCTAGATATATCTTTTCTTATAGTAAACGCTAGTTATTTTAAGTACCTATACTCTTGTAAAAATAGTAAATTAAATGGACCTGTGTGGGGCTTATACTTATTTAACGTTCAAGATGCTTGTGGGGTGTATATGGACATGGGGACAAGGTTGAGCTATTATTACATAATCCAACAAGTTGCGGAACATGTTCCGTCGACGAAGCTGTGACGCATGTGTTGGGTGTTTGACGTAAGGATAGTTACCGAGTAGTACTACCTTACCTTGGTTACCGAGCTATTACCTACTTACCTTATGTATGGACTTTTGTGTGTGTTGGAATTTGGGGCGGACAAAACGCTGGAGTTTGCCGCTTGCGGGGTGAGAGACCCAATTATGGCGTCAAAGCTCGGATAGAAGACAGGCCGAGAGAGAAGAAGCTCGGAGAATTGGTATGGAAGCTGTTGAAGATCGAGGACATATATATAAAGACTTTGGATTGCTGATGTAGAAACGAAGGAAGAATAGACGCAAGCTAAACAAGCAATTACTATACACGACACAACGAAGCCACCACTCACACGCCGACAACACAACACAACTGCAACTCAACTTACACACAACCATTTCCCATCTAAACAACTGACATCAATCCACAATGGCTCCCAAGAAGGTCCTCGTCGTTCTCACCTCCCACGACAAGATTGACAAGATCAACAAGCCCTCTGGCTGGTACCTGGTAAGCTGCACCTCACGAACACACAGTCCCAATCTCATCCTCCAACACAGCAACAAGCTCTAACATCAACAACACAGCCTGAGTTCGCCCACCCCTGGAAGGTCCTCTCGGACAAAAACGTCGAATTCACCGTCGTCTCCCCCAAAGGCGGCGCCGCGCCGCTGGACCCGTCCTCGGTCGAGCTCTTCAAGCAGGACCCCGTCTCCGTCAGCTTCCTCGAGAACCAAAAGAGCCTATGGGAAAACACGCTGCCGCTGAAGCAGTTCATCGGCCGCTCGGGCGACTTTGACGCGCTCTTCTACCCGGGCGGCCACGGCCCCATGTTCGACCTCGTCGACGACGCCGACTCCATCAAGCTGATTGAGGAGTTTTACAGCGCCGGCAAGGTCGTCGCCGCCGTGTGCCACGGCACCATCGCGCTGGTCAACGCCAAGCAGGGCAACGGCGAGCCGCTGCTCAAGGGCAAGGAGGTGACGGGCTTCACCAACGCCGAGGAGGAGGCCGTGCAGCTGACGAGCGCGATGCCGTTCCTGCTCGAGGACCGCGTCAAGGCTGTCGGGGCCAACTTTGTGCAGACGGATGCTTTTGGGAACAAGGTGGTTGTTGATGGGACGCTGATTACGGGGCAGAACCCGGCGTCGGCTACGGAGCTGGGCGAGGCGATTGCCAAGGCGATTGCGGCTTAGGGATAAGGCATTTTTGGATTGTTATAAGATGAGAAAATAACAATAATTGATTCCCCTTGATGCCTGGCAGTTGAATGTTCGTGAATACATTCCTATTGAGCTCAGGTCATATTGAAGTGAGAGCTGTGCTGCCATTTGATTGATGTCAAACGGGGGCTCAATGCAACAACTGTGAAGCTACCTACCTATGTAGTACCTACAGCTACAGCTACAGCACCGGCTCCCCACTAGAGCCGCTGGAAGATGCGCTGTAACACTTCTGCACTAACTGCTTTAGCGAGTGGGGCCTCGGGTTCAATCCGCCAGGCCAATATTGGACTTCCAGCCTTCTCTCTCCCCCACAATTAACTTGCAGACTTGCAACCTTCCCACCTGCAATCCTCAGCCTCATCACCATCCAACGCGAATTTCCCCCCCGAAACACCAGCGAATCTGCAGTTTCACCACAACAAGATAAATCGCAGCAGCAGCAGCTTTGCACTGCCGCCTAACCACCGCCGCCATGGCGAACGAAACGCCCAAGCTGCTCTGGAACACGGAAAATGTCAAAGACGTCGCCGAGTCGGTGGGCATCGGGTCCATGAGCGACGAGGCCCTCAAGGCCCTCACCCAGGACGTCGAGTATCGCATCGGCCAGGTCATCATCGAGGCCCTCCGCCTCATGCGCGCCGCCCGCCGCACGACCATGACGGTCAACGACGTGTCGCTGGCCCTCAAGGTCCTCGACGCCGAGCCTCTGTATGGCTACGACTCCACGCGGCCGCTGCGCTACGGCGAGGCAAGCTTGGGCCCGGGACAGCCGCTGTTCTACATTGAGGACGAGGAGGTGGATTTCGAGAAACTCATCAATGCGCCGCTGCCCAAAGTGCCGCGCGACATGAACTTTACCGGTAAGCTCCCCAGCTTGCCCCCTTGCCTATTTGCTCATGCACTATGGGGGTGTGGTACGCAGCCAAAGCTGACGCCCATCGTAGCACACTGGCTCGCCATTGAGGGCGTCCAACCTTCGATTCCGCAAAACCCGACCTCGGCCGAGCTTCGACCGCAAGACCTGCTACCCAAGGGCCCAGGCGCTAATCCCGCGCTGTCGGCCTTGGCTGGCAATGATACCGGCGCGGGTCAGCCCGCTGTTAAGCACATTGTGAGCAAGGAGCTCATCCTCTACTTCGACAAGATTCAGGCTGCTATACTCGATGACAACCCCGACGAGGAGGTTGTACGACTGCGTCAGGCTGCGCTCGGGTCTGTCCGAGACGACCCGGGTCTGCATCAGCTGGTTCCGTACTTTATCAACTTCATCATGGACAGAGTCACACATCAGCTTGACGACACATTCACCCTGAAGCAGATGATGGAGCTGACGAATGCGCTGATTGAGAACAAGAGCTTGTTCCTGGACCCGTATGCCAGCTCGCTCTCAGCACCTGTTCTTACGTGTCTCATGGCGAGGAAACTGGGCACGGACGAGGGGCAAGATGCCCTCAAGGAGCAGTACGATCTTCGACAACTAGCGGCGTCGCTGCTCGGCCGCATTGCTCGCAAATACTCGGCCTCCAACTCGTTGCTGCGGCCAAAACTCACGCGGACCTGTCTCAAGTACTTCTTGGACCCCACGAAGCCCCCTGCCGTGCTCTATGGTGCGATCCACGGCCTGCTGGAGGCGGGAGGAATGGAGGCGATCCGGGTCCTGGTTCTGCGCAATCTCAAGAGCTTCGACTCTGGGATCCTCCAGCCCCTCAAAGAAAAATCACAGGGCTCCATCGAATATGAGATGCTCGTGCAGGGAATCGTACAGGCCGTCGCCTCTCTCGCGCAGAGGAAGGACACTGCGGAAGGCCCTGACACGCAGATGAACGGAGTCAACGGTAACATTTCTGCCTCGGAGCTCTCCGATCTCAACGACTTCATTGGCCCCATTATTGGCCAGAAGATTGCCTCTTCTCGCAATCATTATCTCATCAAGACGATCCTCGATGCCCGGTTTTTGGAGTAACGAGCTGGTAAGCCATGGGGTACAGGTACTACAGCAGCATGAAAGGGCGTATGGCGTTTTGGGCTTGGCTGATATCCAGGGGAGCAAAAAAGGTCAACCCATGATATTGACACATGGTTTCAGATTGGTTGTATAGATTTTAATAGCATGTTTTATTTTCTGGACGATTAATAAACAGCCGACTGATGACCATTCAGTTCACAGACACCCACCATGTCCCATGTCTCCCTTTATCCCCCCTCTTTCCTCCAAGCCCTCCATCGGTTCTCCTGTTTACAAGCCAAAAGCCAGGTAGCCACCGCCGATGAGGCTCGAGATCCACAGCAGCTTCTCTCCCAGAATGATGTCCTTCTTGGCGAAGCCAACGCCCAGGTCGTAGACCAGATGCTTGATGCCGTTGATGAAGTGGAAAGTAAAAGGGAAGGCCAGGGCAAACTTGACGGCGCCCTGGAGGACAAAGGGCAGGGCGGCGAAGCCCGAGGCCAGCGCGGCGCTCTCGACGTGGAAGCCCAGCAGGGGCGAGACGAGGTAGGCGGTGAAGTAGACGTAGGCGGCGCCGGAGAGGGTGCAGCCGGTGATGCGGGTCCAGGCCGAGGCGCCGAACCAGGTCTGCTCCATCTTGTAGATGCCGAGATGGGGGGAGACGGGGCGGTTGAGGCGCTGGCTGGCGAGGACCTGCTGGCCCTCCTCGGGGGAGAGCTTCTGCGTTGTGATGGGGCGCTTGAGGGAGGGCGTTGAGAGGGAGGAGGAGGAGAAGCTGGTTGAGAGGGTGGCGGCGAGGAGGGATCGGGGGAGGGTCTGGCTGAAGAAGGGGGTGGATGCGGATGCGCCTGTTTGATACAATAGTTAGCAGACTGTTCGTTTCCGATATATGGCGATTCCTTTAGTCTCTGCTTTGGGGAGTGTCGTTGGGGGGAGTCGTTGGATGTGAGGCTATTCGCGAGTTGCATGTGAAGGCACAGACGAGACGAGACCAGAGGGAGAAAAATCATGACGTACTGCGCACGGCAGCGAGGCCGAGTCGGTGGGCGTTCATGGCGGCGATGTGTTTCCAGAGGAGGAGTGAGAAAATCTGGGCAAGACGCAGCTGCTTTGACTTGGGTGTTGTTCTTCTCGCCCCAGGCGCAAAAAAGAGAAGCTCTCGTCTTGTTTGGTCTCTCGGCTTCTTTCAGAACGGAGTTCCCGTTGTCGACGAGCTTCGGAACGGAAGTTGCGTTCGGTTCCTCGGTTTAGCGGGGCCAATCAGGGAGCTCCAATTCATCATCCCCAGATCACGTGTGAGCCACTTTCCCTTCCGTTCCTGTCATCACGTGCTTCTCCGATATGCTGCTGACTCATCTTTTGGGATGAGCTATGTCTTGGTGGAAATTTTGCGCTTCTGCTTTTTCCCTTCTCTTTTTTTTCTTCTCCAGATAGTCACGAATGTCCGCCGCGCGGTGTCTCGAATTTTGTGGGCATCGAATCACGGCATGGCTCGTTTTTGGGCTTGAGGACGTTTGGAGAGGAATATTTGATCCTTCGTTAATCTCGGCATTTGGTTGTCCTCCGTACCGGTGCCGTTTCATTCTGAGATCTACATTTACTTCTGATGAGCTTTTGTGTGCTTGATAGTGTGTGTGTGTGTGTGTGATGCGTAGGGTCTTGTTGCTGGAGGAGACTGGCTTATGGTGAATCAGTGTAGGGCGAGTCATGGTTCGTCGGTGCATTGAACGTTGAGCTTTGATGCTGTCTGGGCGATTAATTGCCTTTGAAGACGTGATTGTGGCGCATTTTGAATCGAAGGGGTTGGTCACCTTGGAGGAGCAGTCTCTGCACGTTTGCCGTTTGATGGCTTGACTGAAGGGATGAATGACGCTCTTTACTTCTTTCTTTGACTCGTCGCCGTGCCTTGTGCCATCTACGATGATTAGCACAAGAACCTCACGATTGCTGCTCTTTGTGGGCGCAATCAGGAAAGCAGAGTGTCTTCAGATTTGCTCATCATCTCAATCTCTGACTGTTGATCAAAGGCACACTATGTCCATGCTCGTATTACAACGCAAGCCTTTGCTCCCATATATCTGTTTTCATACATGATATCGACAAGACAAAAGTCTTCAGCAGTTGGTGGTTTTGACCCGACCAAGCCTCGAAATGCAACTCCCTTCTAGAACCCCAAGATCAACCACGATCGGTGTCACACTCGCTCCTCGCAAATCGAATCAGAAAGCTCCACGCTGAAAGGTGATGAGTTGTTGGCGGACGACTGCTTTTCTCATGCCATCTTCTTCTTTGCCATGATGTACGGCTTCATTGGCCATGTGGTTGTCGTCTACAAGGTGTGTCATGTTTTCTTTCTGGGAGGTAATCACGACAAAGCTTCAGGTAGACATGGAGTGGTTGTCACCAAGGGGCTACATTAGTATGTGACTTATAGATAGATACATATTGTAACAGGATATGGTCTCAAAGCTGTTTACATGATTCAACACTTTGCATGTTCTGGTCCTCGAGTTACATCACAATGTCCGCAGTGCAGCTGCATAGCTTCTCACATCAAGACGCTCAATCGTAACCCAGCAACTTCTTGAGATCTTCCTTCAGATCCTCAAGAGGCCGACCTGACCCAGGCTCCTGCTTGTGAGAGAAATCTCCATCATAGCGATTCTCTTCATCAAACAGCGCCGCAGTCCCCAACATGGCATAGGCCTTGGTAAAGAGCCGGTTCGTCACGCCATTCTTCGTATCTTGCTCCCACAGCGCAGTCGCCTCCTCCTTGTAGTCTTCAAGAGGGACGTCGACAACCTGCCATTCCCCAACAGGCGACATCTCGTCAAGCATAGCAATGAGCTCGTTCGTGCTGACGGCGTAGTCTGCAAAGTAAGCGACGCGATTGCGATACTTGTCCGGGCTCTGGAGAACAGCCACGATCGCCTCGCCGGCTGAAGCCACGCGGCTCACCGACACCTTTTGGTTGCCCGAGCCGAAGCGCGTAACGGTTCGCTTGTCCTTGTCGACCCAGAAGTAGCCCGTCTGGATGCCCCAGTCGAACCAGGCGCCCAGGACAATGGCCGTCCAGGTGAGAGTGCAGCCAGGTGCTGCTGTGAGGCTTTCAAGTTCCCTCTGTGCCTTGTGCTTGGGTTCGAAGATTTGTACTTCTGCGGCATGGGGTGAGAAGGAATCGGTGCTGAAGTCGGGCGTGATGAGGCGCTTGACGCCGGCGGCCAGAGCGGCGCGGACGATGACGCCTTGATGCGCGGCTGCGGCGGGGTTGAAGGCCTCGACAAGAGCGTCTTGGCCTTGGAGGACGTGTGTGAGCGTGTCCAGGTCATCGTAGGATGACTTCTTGATGGTGACGCCTTTGGGGTAGGTCGAGGTGGTGTCTGGGCGGGCGATGACGGTCACGACGAAGCCGGCGGAGAGTAACGCTGGGACAGCAACTTTGCCGACATTTCCGCTGGCCTGCAGAACCTGGATGAGTTCTTGGAATTTTGCGTGTATGAGGGAGAGAGAGAGAGAGACTTACACCAAGGACTGCGACGGTCTTTATTGTTGACATCTTGTAAGGGAGGTTGAATGGAGAGTTCCGAAGCTCGAATATTCCTCTGCTGTCAACAGCGTATAAAAGAGAACTATTGATTCGATGAACCGTAGAGCGGGAAACATTGTGTTCTTATAGATTTTGAGAAAAAACTGTCTTTATACTACCATGCCTTCAGATACTCGTCTTCTTCTCCCGATAAATCGACAAGGAGTCGTGACCAGGCAAACGCCTCCTGGATGGCACAGCCCCTGATTGGACGACATCCTCGTCAGGTCTCTCAAAACGGACTTGCACGGTGGCGCTAATGCATCGGCCGAACCCTGTCCATGCTTTATAATTCCCGGTTCCGCTGATTCTAGGAATGTTCAGCCTCTCTCTCTCTCTCTCGTAATTCCGCTTCAACTTCCGCCTTCATGAAGCTCTTACGAGTTCCTCAGTACCATAGAAGTATCTCTGAGGTCGTGCATTTACGTCTTTGAATCAACAATCTACCCATGTTCTACAAGCCTGTCGTCTGTATTCTGATAACGACCCAGCACCATGCAAGCATCGGCTTCTACATCGAATCTCATTGCTCTTGCTCCGCCGCAATTCCCAGTCTTTGAAAGAGCAGCTGGAGTTTGCCGCCAGTGCAGATTATCCAAGACCCGCTGCGACAAAGCCCTGCCCAGCTGTAACCGATGTCTGTCGTATGTAACCATTCATCTCCGTCATGGTCTGATCATGAGTTGTGCTTTACTGAGGTGTCGGTTTAGGAGAAAGGCTCATTGTGTTTATGGCCGTCAGATATCCACCAACAATCCCGCCGGCGGAGTTGCCCCTGAAGACAAAGAAGAGGCCCTGATACAGCCCCAGGGTGACAGAGCGTCTTGTATTCCTGGGGTACCTCTCGACACTTGCTACCAATTAGTCGGGACCATCTCCGTTGCGCTGCTCAGCGGCGTGGATGATGCCGAGCAAGACGCTTCTCTTCTCCGTAAGCTAATCAGATCGGCCGGACTGACTACCGCTTCCATCGTTCAGACATACACTAGGACTGTCCATGGTTGGTTCCCGGTTGTTTCCGATAGTCAACTGTCACATTTTCTTGATTCTCTGTACCTTGTTCACTGTCCCAGTCTTGATGGAGTGCTGCTTCTGGCCATGGCCCTCGTATGTCAACCGCCATGCCGACACCACGATCATGACATGCGCAGCGGTCTATACAAAGCTGTCAAGCAGTCTTTCATGCTCCTGCAGACAAGTGCGAAGCCTTTGATACAAGTGTTGCAGGCTGGGCTTTTGCTTTCACTGTTTGAGTATGGTCATGGCCTTGGTCACGAATCTGAGTTGACTGTAACTGCTTGTAGAGCGTTCTGTAACTCACACAACAAGCTTTGCGTTGCAGGGGACGATGGTGGCAGCGAGGCTGACATGGCGATTACTTGTCGGAAAGCAGTGGTCATCATGGCTTGGTATGTCCTATGTTATAACACGTTCTATGAGTGATGAGCTAAAGCAGACCTGGATATCATAGCCTACTAGACTTACCAACCCTGTCGACAGTTGAGCGAGCACCAAAAAGACAAAATCTAAATCCACCAAGGCCACAAGTTCATACGGATATTGATGACTTCGAAAAGATTTGTGGCTCATCATCCAACTTTGACGTGCTGTTCTATGTTACAGGAGTCGTCAGAGAGGCGAGCCAGTACATCATAGACGAGAAGGCGGCAAACTCTCATCCAGAGCGGTATTCAGTGATTGAAGCGCGTCTTCGAAATGTCTGTTACACTCTTATACGAGCCGCGGGACCCAATTCTCTCGCGTTTTGCGACAGCATTGCACTCGCGCTCGGGTACGTTATGACTGCTTCAAGCCTGCTATTTGCGTAAGACTAACTAGCCTGCGTCCAGCTTTCTATATGAACTCAACGCATTCCACTTGGCGAGATCACAGGCAACTGTCAGTACGACGGATAAACTCGCCATTGAATCGTCTCGCCGAATGGCAGTCGACATATGCAGATCCATGAACGACATTGTGCCAAAGAAGGGTGTCGAGGGCCTTTCTCTCATTGGGCTATCCGTAACGTGCCGAGCTGGGCAGTTACTGGCTGAATACGATGTGGGATTGTGTGAAGGAGGAGTGTTTACGGATGAGGACCTTGAAGCTCTGAGACGTGTGCAGCATGAATTCACGCAGAGATGGCGAATAGGTGGTGAGTACATGTATGTCCCTCATTGGCATCGGTCCTGCTGATGATGTTATCTAGCAACGTATGGGAACTTGATACTGTAGTAGTCCTAATAAGCCCATCTTCTTCAAGCCGAGAACTTGACGGGACCGTGTGAGCGCCCATCAAGCCCCAATGCGTCTCGGACCGTGCTCGCACACGTAGCCAGCCAATCCTTGATCTTGTCCCAGATCTTCTTGATCCCAGTCTTGAGCCACGAAATAACCCTGTTCAGCCAACCGAATACAGACTCCCAGGGGATAAAGTAAATAGACGCCGCCACCCCTGGAGCAACCAGCAATGCGGTTCCCGCGGAGATCGTGTCCACGGCTACTGCTGCAGCAGCCGAGAAGAGTGCAAACCCGACAAACTTGTACTGCACAAACATTCCACTGGAAGTCATCTTGATGTAGCCGGCGTGAGAAAGTTTAGCGGCCCTTGCCAGGATGCTGACAATGGCAGAAATAGGGGCTTTGAACGCGTCCCACCAGCTGCCTTCCATCTCCACGTTTTCCATCTTCTCAATGTTGGCGCGGATCTTCTCTTGGTCAAAGTCTGACATGGACGACGAATCGTCTGACAATCTGCCCAACTGGCCAATGTGGGAGCCGAGATTGAGTACAACGCCCGGCCCAAGCCAGAGTTTGGCTTCATGATGCATGGCTTCCCATCTTAGAATGGGCTGTCCGTGAAAGTTTGAGAAGCCATCGACATAGAGGTATCCTTCATGATTGAGTTCAGTTCCGCACCGGTATACCCTCAGATCCGTGATGTTGGAGCCGACGTTGAAGTACAACTGATCGACGAATCCGCTGACGATGATGATGAGGTTGTCGTATGACTCGGTCTTCTCGACGGCGGAAATGACTGCGCCGAGTCGAATATCGTCCGTCACTCTGATGGAGAGATCTAGATTTCGGAGTGTCAGCACTGGGGCACGGCTATAGCTTTGAAGGCTTCATTGAGCTCACTTTTGCACCGGCTCAAGGCCTTTTCTTGTCTCTTGTTATGGATTTTGTCTGTCAGGCCTTCAATGGCACCATGCCGGCAGACGAGTATCACGGATGTGTTGGGGACAAACTCGAACCGCCCGACATAATTGGCCAGCGCTTCAATTTCTTGAATCAAGTCCGAGGCCTTTCGCGGCCTGAGTTCGCCGAATGCAGAGATTTGTGTCATCCTTGAGGGGGCAGTGTGTAGATCGTAAAACATACAGAGGCGATTGTCATGCCTCGATGTTTTGCTCCTTGACGAGTCAAAGCTGGCTTTATGTTTGACTCGTGGGAATCGGGGTGGATGGCATCCTTGTATCATAGTTGAGAGGGAGAAGTGCAATGTTGTTGAGGCCGCGCTCAGGCATCAGGTACCAATGTCTCGAGTTCATCCCTTGCAGACCTGTCCAATGCCAGCTGACGAGCCACAGCATTGGCTTCAGTAGGGCTGCGCAAGTGATTACGAAAGTCATCAATGAAGCGGGGAAAGGCACGATATTCACCAGCCTTTTCTAAAGGACTTGTTTGATAAAAGTCAAGAGGACCTGTAGCGGGTAATGGCAGTAGACAGACATTCTGGCATCAATTTGGGAGGCCTACATAAGCTGGGTGGTCAAGTGGTCAACAGGAACTGGGAGGCTAACAAAAGTTGGGAGGTCTCCAGAAGGGAGAAGGGATGTCAGCATACATGTGTCGGTGAGTTTTGATGTTTAGGAGGCCAAAGCAAGGGAGAGCAGACTGCTGAAGCGAGGCGTGAGCAACGACTTGCAGTCTCGTATCCAAGCAAGGGCGTACATCACTTACTTTCGTATAATCTACAACACTGACCAGAAGACGAAAAAAGTTTAAAGAAAAAAACAAAAGAAAGAAAGAGAGAGAGAGAGAGAGAGCCACAGCAGAGGTAGGTAGCATCAAGGGACTATATGAAAGAGAACAACGCGCTATGGTGGATAGGAGTCAATGGAAAGTGAGCTTCCGCATCTCCAGGACAATCGATGTAGATAATCTGACAGACTTGAATTGATAAGACAACTGTTACAACGCCTTGCGCTTTGAATACAGGAACGAACCAGTCACTGCTGTGTTTGGCGTGATATCGAAAGAAGGCAATGTTTCTGATTGTATCCTGGGTTTTTTGCTTTGACATCCTCGCCGCCGCCGAGGTTGGCGATGATGGTAGGCATGCTAGGGATTGCAGCACTTGCAAATACAAGGGTTCCTAGCTCAGTAGGGATCAAGGGCGCCTTTTCTATACTAGAGATAATGAGTAGGAAGTCAAAGCCCTACTATTCTGCTGCAGATATGTAAGATGTGTACGCTGTCGGCGTCTGGGATTTTTCGCCATGGTTCAGCTTGTTTGCTCGTGCCATTGATGTCTGTAAATCAGGTAGATTATGGATGATGGCGGAACCTTCTTGTCGAATTTATTTCTTCTCTAGTCATAAAGGCAAAGGTCTTTATTCTCATTTATAGACTGAAGACATTTCACGCACTTGTGATGTTGGTGATTTCGTCCCGTACAGCATGAGAAACAGTCCGTCCATAGAGACAATTTTCACATTAACAGAGTCACTTTGCCAGCCGCAGAATCTTAAAGAAATAGTAGTTGAACTTGAGAGGAACTGTATAAATTTATCTGACTGAAACAAGAAAAAGCAATCCTCAAAGATAGCAATAACATCGTGCCTGGAGGCGGAGTCATCTCCTCACTGGGCCATTTCGGAGGCGTTTGTGAAATGTAAACAATGAACCAGGAAACACCTCTCGCTCTCAACAGATCAAAGAATTTTACTGAAAGAACAAAAGAAAATCACATGCTGAAAATGATGCCTCGTTCGCACTGGCAAGCACAAAGAGGAAGCCCAAGCGATTGCTTTAGCCGCCAAAAGAACCCTAGCCAGAAGGACGCATAAACGGAAGAAACCCCACGAGGTCCCATGACTTCTCCAGAGGCCGATCTGCCGGCCCGTTACCCATCTGGGCATCAAGCGGATAATGCCAATGCATCGTTTTTGACAGGAAAAGCGGTTGGTTTGCGGGGTATTCGACAGCCGAGCTGGGGGAAGCAGAAAGGAAGCGCGGGATGGAAGCGAAGAGGAGCGGCTTTGTTGCTCTTTTCATGCGAGCTGTGCGTCAACTACAGACTACAGCAGGACAGGTGCCACAATGACGCCGTACAACTGTCCGGACTCGGGCTCGAGACTCTTTTCCATCACATAATATCTCCATGAGCTGAATCGTGGCTGAGGAGGAGAGTTTGACGCGGCATGTTTCTACGTTCCCCCCGGCTAGCCTGTACTTACACACACACACTCAAAGCCTGAGGGTGTTCACGGACCGCATATGCCGTCTAAGCGCACACACCTTCTCGGCTTCTTCCTTGGCTTCACTCTGGTCTTTTTTCTTTGGCTTGTGATGCCGAGAATCTCGTTTGTCGTTTTGATTTGAGGGCGATGAGAGGGAGCTGAGTCGCGATGCCCTGCGATAAATCTTTTGTATTCGAGTGTGCGAGTCTATAATGTTGTACGCCGGCCAATCAACTATAGCGAGCCGCGTGGCGATCATGACCCTTGTTTGAAGTGGACAGAACTAGAAGCTGGCTGGCAAGGGGGATTGTCGAGATGTCGTCGCTTCAGAACTGTCAGTGCTCGAGCTTGAAGATTTGACTCAATACCAACGAGTCAGTTCATACAATCAGGAACCAATGCGGATACAGAGACAGAATCTGACTATCATCGCCACTTTCATCGTCCCAGAGCTCCAGAGCCAACAAACAGCATATGACAGCGGAACTTTCCCCCCCTCAACCCCAGATTAAATGCTCCGTTCTGCATAGTCAGTCACACGCATTGGCCTCTGGGCCCCCGTCATTGGCACCGTCTCACTGGCGGATCGCCGAGGCGCCGCATCGCAAAGGGGAGAAAAGACGGCACTCCAGTCCGGATCTGGAAGGTTGTTTCTTGTGATGCGGAGGAAGCGTGGCCCGAGAGGGTGTTGCAGGATGAGCGTTGACTCGTCAATTGGGCCTTGAGGGGCTGAGGATGGAGACAATACTAGATCTGTTGTCTGCTGCGGGCCTGGTTGATATCGTGGGGAAAGCGTGTGCTGCGTAAAGGAAGCATTCGTCAGGTCAGGACAGGTGAGGAGTATATAAAGAGTCTGGATTGACTCCGAGTTCTACTTCCTCTCGGCCATTCTCTGGTGTCTCTTGGAGCAAAAGCAGCCCTTCAGCCTCTCAGCATCTTCACTCGCAAAAAAACCCACTTACAAGATGCGGTCCTTGGCCATTCTCACCACCCTCCTCGCAGGCCATGCCTTTGCATACCCCAAGCCAGCCCCCCAGTCAGTCAATCGCAGGGACTGGCCTTCGATCAACGAGTTCCTCTCTGAGTTGGCCAAGGTGATGCCCATTGGCGACACCATCACGGCTGCCTGCGACCTCATTAGCGATGGTGAAGACGCCGCTGCTTCCCTCTTTGGCATCTCGGAGACGGAAAACGATCCTTGCGGCGACGTGACAGTCTTGTTTGCTCGAGGCACTTGCGATCCTGGAAACGTCGGCGTGCTTGTCGGCCCTTGGTTCTTTGATTCTCTGCAGACGGCGCTTGGTAGCAGGACCTTGGGCGTCAAGGGAGTTCCGTATCCTGCGAGCGTGCAGGACTTCCTGTCGGGCTCCGTTCAGAATGGCATCAACATGTAAGTCTCTCCCATCATGACGGTACTTATCCATTACAATGTCAACCAAGCCAGATACTGACTCTTGATGTTTAAAAAAGGGCCAACCAGATCAAGTCTGTCCTCCAGAGCTGCCCCAACACCAAGCTCGTCCTCGGCGGCTACTCCCAGGGAAGCATGGTCGTCCACAACGCGGCGAGCAACCTCGACGCCGCGACAATGTCAAAGATCAGCGCCGTGGTGCTCTTTGGCGACCCTTACTACGGCAAGCCCGTGGCTAACTTTGACGCGGCTAAGACGCTGGTTGTGTGCCATGATGGAGACAACATTTGCCAGGGTGGTGACATTATCTTGTTGCCGCATTTGACGTATGCCGAAGATGCGGATACGGCTGCTGCTTTTGTGGTGCCTCTTGTTTCTTGAAGTCTTGGAGAGGGTTACGGAAGAGGTTGTGAGAGTCAAAGTATGGAGAATGGGCGAACATAAAAAAAAGGGATCAATGATTGTATATAGCGAAAGCCACTGAACATATTGTATATAAGCAAGCGTTATGAGATACATCAATCATGTTTTGACATATTTCTCTGCCAATAGTGTACAATGTGTAGACTTAAGCAAACTCGAATCAATTCATCGCTCATCTACAAGAAACATACAAGATTGTTTCTCATGTGTCTTTATAAAGACAGTGACCGTCCACCTCTCAAGTCCGATAACTTATGCATCATCAAAGTTTCTTACTTGCGGCCGATAAGCTCAAGGTAGTGTTCAACAACAGAGACTGTCATCTCTTCAAAAGACTTGAACTTAAAGCCAAACTCCTTCTCAGCCTTTGTCGAATCGATATGCACCGGGATCGAAACAGGCCGGGGAACGGACTCGAACTTAAAGATGCCGTCGGCATAAGCCTCCGGGAAGTGCCTCTTCACAATCTCAAAAGTCTCAGCCCAGTCGATGGATTCAGTGGGATGAGCACAAGCGAGATAGTCCTGGTTCCCCTTGACGTTCGGCCCCAGGGCAAGGACATGCATCTTTGCAACATCGTCGACGTGGACGGCGACGCCGGGAAGAGGATCACGGGGCACGCCCAGGAGAGGGTCCATGATGATGCCGTTGGTGCCCTTGGAGATGTTGGCGGGGTCGGTGACGGTGTCGTCGCGGCCGATGACGAAGACGGGGAGGATGTTGACGACGGAGAAGGCGGGCTTCTTCTCGGCGATGAACTTTTCCGTGGCCTGGAAGGCGAGGGCTTTGGAGGCGACATAGGCGGCGATGCTGGAGGCAAAGGGGCCTTCCGTGTTGGAGGCACGGGTTTGTTCTGTTGACGAGCGGTAAGTCAGAATTGACCCCTATTTCTGGAGGCATAACAGGAAGAGGAAGGAGGATTTAGCTAGCTGCATATGCTGGGAAGAAAGACATACCGTTGACCTTGACTCCCGAGGCCAGGGCCTCGAAAGAGGCAATGGAAAGGACAGATGCGGTGATGACAATCTTTTCGATCCCAGAGACCTTGATTGCAGACTCCAGGATGCCAACCGTGCCCTGGACGGCGGGCCGGATGATCTCAGCCTGGCATGCCTCATCACCTTCGACCGTCGGGGAGGCTAGGGGTGAAGCAACGTGAACGACATATTTGACGCCCTTGACAGCTTCATCGTAGGCACCTGGAACAATGATGTTGGGGACAATGATGCTCTCGACTTGTGAGAGGTAAGGCGCAAGAGGCTTGAGGCTCGAGATGCGTTCGAAGCCGGCCTGGGTACGGACGGCGGCGCGGACATTGTAGCCAGCCTTGACGAGTTCGACGAGGGTCCTGAAGCCAATCATGCCAGTGGCACCAGTGAGCTAAATAGGGGACGTGGTTGTTAGTTGGCGAGGGATCGGGTGGAGCATTTGTGTGTATATCCGTGTTGCTCCGGCTCAAGACGGGGACTTACCAGGACAAGATCGCCAGCCATTGTGATGGTTCTATATGGGAACTTTAGGTGTTTAAGGTTGATTGGTTCGCTTTTCAGCTTGTGTTCTGGATGAGGATGATTGCTATATTGGGAGAGAAGCCGGAGTGAATCTGAAGAGGGAGATGGGGATGCTCAACCTCGCCGGTTGGCCCAATCTTTATATCTCCATCCTCGTCAGGATTATCATCGACAGTATAGCCGACTCCGCGTGACAGTGACTGTAGAAGGATTGATTATACACCAGGCGCTACACCTAAAATGTACCTTGATTTGTAACATAGCTATGAGTTATAATTATTCTTCTCTTTATCATGGAGTGAATGATGCTGGGGTCCGTGGAGGCTGGTGGTTTGATGGCGAGCAATGCGGTTCCCATCATCTTCTAGAATGAACCATCATCACAAGGTAAATGTCATTTACGGCTTAACGTTCTGGAATTTTGCACATGATTAGTATTTCCCAGGTCTGCCCTGGCTCTCCTTACAAATTATACACGCCTCCACATGGTGTTGAGGCTGAAGTGCGCAAGTCCCGGCTGCGGTCTTATCGAAGCGCCGCAACACCGCAAACACCGCAGCGGGCTTCAACCCCTTGAACTGCCACCCTTGATTCATCAATGGGGCCACATTAGATTTGACCGCAGATGTTGCAAATACGGAGAATCGAGTCCCACAATCGCGTGAAAAGATGCATCAAGTGGCGCCCTTGAAGGCTGGACATTACGAAGCAGAGTCATCATCTCGAATACTTGTCTCGTGTCCTTGGGGACCAGTCATTGCCTGTTGTAACTTTGGCTTTTGACGACTGCTCCTCAATGATCTGCAATGCGCAAGCTTTTCGAGAGGCCACCACTACTATCTAAATCGGGTATAATCTAGATCCAGGTATGCATCTAGTGAGTATATCAAGGCCGAGGAGCAAAGAGGAGTGGACGGGACGAAGCGCCACCGGAGGCTTTAGGTCGCCCAGCTGAACACCTGTAAGACATAAGGCTGTCCAATGTGCGTGCTCTGAGGATGAGGATGTCCGTAATACGTGTAATGTGCTCGACAGGGCACAATAGGATCTGGATCGGCAGCGTTGCATTTTTGATCAAGGGATTTCTCTGTGCTTTATGAGATGCATAGGTACATGTATGCTTATATCATGTTGTTTAATGACCGAATCAAGCGAGTCAGTAGTTGGTACTCTTACTCTTCACATTGTCAATTAGAAGCCGTGGTGTCTGGTAGTTGGCGGAAGAACCGCCTCTTATTCCACTGATATGGGCAGTGCAATGCCCGGAGAAAGCCCTCCCCCACCGGAGATGGACCAGATGGTCGTCCAAATTCCAACTAGCTTCGTGTCTGAATAGTTTCCTTATTTCTGTACACGCCAATCATGTGTAGGCGGGCAGTAAACACCATGTCAAAAGTCCGCAATAAGCCCCGTGCTTTAAAACACCGGCTCTCCTCCAATCACCTCGGGATGCCCGGCAGAAACATACCCTGTTCTTACTTTGGAGAACTGTCCTTGAGCGGATGCAGCCAGGCGACTCGTCCAGTAAACGGCTCATCTGCATCCAAAAAGTCAAAGGCCAACCGTTTCCTCCAGACCGGCGTCTGCACCATATTGGTCATGATGTAGTCCGCAAAATTCGGAACCGTCAAGAAGCGGCCCAGGATATAGTACCACCAGTTTCCCCAGGCCTGTATTCGTGCCGTGTGAGCAGATAGAGAGGCATCAAAGGCCAGGTCATCCCATCGCTCAGCTTGATGAGTCTTATACATGGCCTCCAGGTCAGAGACGCTGGGGTTCTTCGAGGCGCCCGAAGAAGCAACCAATCGTCGTAAGTTGTTGACCAGCGACACAACATCTTGGATTCCGCTCTGGTAGCCCACTCCCGCGTTGGGACAGACTTTGTGTATGGAGTCTCCCACGAGGGCGATCCGGCCCCAGCCCCAGTTGTTGCAGGTGCCCTCCTGCAGATCCGACATGCCGGCCGTCATTCTCTCGGCCAAGACGTCCTTCACCCTGAGGCTGTCCGTGATGGGATAGTCGGCAAATCTGTCCGCCATGGCTTCGAGGTCCTTGTCGCTGTAGGTCGTCCGCGCAGTTGTCGGCTGCGGAAGCTTTTCGTACAAGAATATCCAGCCACGCTCGTTGCCGGTCACGAACATGATGGACTTGTCCTTGCTCTGCGTCTCAAAAGCTGCCCCTGGTTCGATTGGCCTCTTGAAACTCGCCCACATACATCTGTACGACGTTGTAAATGGTGTTTCTGGATCCCATGTGGCACTGGGCCTTGTCTCTAGTGCGAGTCTTCTCATGATATGGCGAGTTCTGCTGTGCACGCCGTCTGCGCCAATGGCCATGCTTCCCTCATATTGGCTGCCGTCGTCGCAAAAGACTTTGACTATGTTCTCCTGCGACTGGATATCGGTGACCTTTTTGCCTAGTAGGACTTTGGGCTTGACTTCTGCGGGTAATTGATCGTACAGAGACTGCACAAGCTCTGCCCTGTGGAAGACGAGCGGACGGGTGCCGAAGCTGAGAATTGCGTCCACGATAAGTGTCAAAGTACGTCAGAATAAAAGGGTATCAGAGGCCGCTTACTTTCTTTTGCACTCATCGAATACATTATAGGCCTTAAATCGGTAGCCGTCTCGTGTGAAAGTATGCCGGAGGATCACTTCTGAGGCAAGGCCTCGCAGCTCGTTCAACAAGCCAAGCTGGTGAAGGATTCGCAAGCCGGGCGGCAATAGAGCCAAACAAGCTCCGACATCGACGGTGACTGTGTTGTTGCCTTCGAGGACGACAAAGTCTATGCCCGCTTTGTAGAGAGCGTGTGCAGCGATTAATCCCACGGGGCCTTTTTCAAGGAGTCAGCCAATTGCCATGAGTATGCTGGGTACAGGGCTTGCAAACCGCCGCCAACTACGATCACTTTGAAGTCACTAGTTGTCATGATGTTCAAGTTTTCCAGGTTGCCGCTCATCTCAGTGAGAGTAATGAGCGGTCTATGATGAACGAGGTTTTGGCATGAATGATGAACTTTTGAGTAGGTTGGGGCAAAACTTTAGATATATAGCTACAACAGCCATGATCGAAGGGAGATTTGATAGCGCATAGGCCTCCGACTCTGTGGAACAAAGGGATGCTGTTTGATTATACGCTGGGGTTACGGCACATGCATGCTCCGAGACATTGGCCTCAACACTGCATCTGGACAGGCAGAAAGCATTTTCGTGTCGAGTCACACCGAGTAAGAAACCAGTTTGGCCGTCCACATTGCTGCCACATTACTGCCACATTCTATTTGCCTCTTCATCACTAAACCTTTGCAAGAGTCATGGAGAATCATGACGACGCTCAAGTAGAGAGGGACGGGTTAATAGCCCTGTAAAGACCAAACAACCTAAAATATCACACCAAGTGTACGGGAGTACTGTGGTCAAGTGTTGAGCTACGCTACTCGAGCAGAAGTTGGATTCACTAAAGAAAAATGGAATGAAACATAGAACACCATTGTACTTGACAGGAGATTATCAGCCAATCTTCACAGGGCTCAAGGGGAGTTCGATTTCCAGACATTCTGGGAGCTTGTCACCGTGTAACCGTATGACACGCCAACAATCCCAGCAACATCAACCAAGGCCGGCTGCTCCATTGGCAAGAGTCTGCGAGAAGCGCAAAAGAGATCGAATTCTAGGTGTGATGTGGCGAATTTTAAGCCTGACTGAAACATACAAGAGAGAATAGAGTTCTTGTCGCTGCAAACGTGTAGGGGTAACACACTGGTGAACAAAGCACGATGGGCGACGACATCTGGTCGTCATATCTGGGCTTTGGAGATAGATACTAGGTAGGTAGACACTGCCAACCCGTGTCTTATAAAAAAAAAAAAAGAATATACAGGTACTGAGTCCAAGCCGCATGTGTCTATCTGCACTGTTGCATTGTTCTTTCCCGGAACTTAGATGAGAGTGGAGAGCTGTCTGGGAACAAAGTCCGGGACGGGGCGATGGTCATTAAACGCATGCAAGGGGTAAGTGGCCGGAAGGAAAGTACTTTGAGCCCAGAGGATATAAGCTGTTGCAGCTATTGTGAGACGTTTTCGTCTAGAATCACATTAGAATCATGTACACTTCCAACAGGATCCGTGGCTAAAAAGGAACATGACTGTTAGCACTTGATAAGATGTTTGGTGTAGCGCAACGTCCCTCTTATCCATGTGTTGAACACAAGCGGTTTCGTCATGTCGGCTTTTCGTCACAGCAGACGGGTATCGTGGGGTATCAGCGGGATAATATTAGGATTGATCTGTAAAGGCGTCTTGGGATGGGTTGGTTGATCTGTCTTGGGGGACCGTGTAAGTGAAGCCCGTGCAAGCACCCGCTCCACGGCATACACCAGATCCGTGCAGCTTTATCCCAATGCTCCCGGACGTCATGCATAATGTCATGTGTCTCTCAAGGAACCGGTGGCACGGCATTGTAAGGGCAATGCACTCCGGCTACAAGTATTACCGGGCGATAAGCCCAACTCGCGACGTCTTTCCAGACGCACAGAGGCAGACATTCCAAGGGCGAGCTATTCAGGATTAGTATCGCATTTGTGACATCTACATGTCCTTTTTTTCATGGTTCTTCCATAATACTCATCTTTTTGCGCTTAACCTTCTACTTGTCTTACGAGCCATTGACCTCTTTATCGCACAATAGCTTGGCGATTCCATACTATGCATAGTAGTGACTGGAGAGCGCCACGCTTGACTGCATCATGTGATGGTCATGCCATATAATGACTTGAGAGCGCTGGGGGTTGGATCACCAAGGAGACTTCATGAGAGATAGCGTATAAGGTATCATTTGTATGTATCATTAATGACAGACGTAGAGCAGAGTGCAGCTGTGGTATCAAAACGACCGAATCTATCCATTACCTCATTATCCATTATTCATTGCCTCCCATCCCGTTCACAACCTCATTATACACGGGCGTCCATCCATACACTTCCAATTTCCCCATTTGATCTCCTGTGTAATGGGTATCTTTCTATCCGCAAAAGTACTCGTCGTGTTGTCGAGGTTTATTGACTGGTTCGGATTGTCATTGTGTTGTTGTAGCAGATGAACCATGCGAGCGCGGGGATCAGGAACTCGCAAAGAAAGTAGAAGTGGTCTCCGTTCATCTATGCATGTCTATTGTTATTTAGACAGAGTTGTCAGAGGGGCGGCCGGCAGAAATCTCCTTGTTGTGAGCAGCAGCAACGGGGGTAGCATACTCGGCGCGGAGCAGGAGCATCTCAACCAGGGTGTTGCAGAGGAGGAAGAAGCTGTAGAGATGCCATGTTAGAGCCATATTCTTCTTCTTCTCTCTCTCTCCCATATACATAGCAAATTACTTGTAGGCACTTACAATGCGATAAAGTTGAAGGATTCAATGGCCTTCTTGCGGCTGCAGTGGCCCTCGCCAGGCTGGCCGAAGCTGCACTTGTCGCTGCTCCAGTCCTGCGCGGAGAAGATGAAAGAGGTGAGCCAGAGGTAGGAGAAGATGAGGTTGAGAGGGGCCAGGTGGCCGCGGTATCTGCCAACGAGGGGCAAGACGGCACCAACGAGCCAGAAGCCCAGAGTTATGGTGGCCTAGTTGTTGCATGCGTTAGTATTATGTGCTTCGACGGAGCTGAGGAGAGCCAAGGTATGGGGTGTGTTTGATGTGGTGCTTGGGAGGACATACGATGACTTCCTGGTAGACAATGTTCACGCCGCGGTAGTCGTACTTGTCGAGGAACCAGGATACGAGGCCGGTGACGATGGCTGATGAGGCCAGGATCATCAGGTGGTTGAAGAAGGCGATGAATCGCAGGGTAGCGTGCGTCAAGTTGGCGAACATTGTGGCGGTGTTATTGTATGTACAAGCGGTCGTTTGAGCTTTGGGGGTATCAAAGTATTACACAGATGGTGGTGTTTTTTCCCAAGAGAGTATCAAATCAAGGGTATGCTTCTGATTCAAGCTGGTGCCTGTCTGTTCAAGCGGATGGATGCTGAAGCCGATGCTTTGGAGCTGGACAAGATCCATGACACGCTGAGCGAACAAGCTCATTTATACTCATCTCATGAAGCAGCCGTCACCACGATAACTCCCGCCATCCATTCGGATAATCATGTCATCTGATGTTTTCTTTCTCCCGCATGAAGAAAAACATCGAAAAACTTCGAACAGAGCGGCCAAGCTGCAAGCGACGTCATAGCAGGCCACTTCTCGCGATGCCGACGATTCACAAAAACGGTGCAGGGCATCGCATGGGACCATCTGCCGGCTTCCCGGGAGCTCCGGCAGTCGAATCGAACGCATCTCCACCGGTCTCAATGCGACCCACCAGGACCAGCTCGATTCTGTGCTCTTCTGGGGGTCACTGAGGATTGTCTCTTATTGGGGATTCGTTGCTTGGGTTACATTTGGGCTGCGAAGGGGTTTTTGGGCTTCATAGTAGATAGTAGTACATCAGGTATATTGATGATGCTTCTGTTGCGTCTTAGCCGAGGGTACATACATACGCTGGTGCGCTGAAGGGCTCGGCTGGGTGAATAGCTGGAGGGGAAGGGATTCGATGAAACGATGAAGAGAAGACTCTCGAACTGGATGTGTGTGAAAAGAGAAAGACACGCATGTTCCATTGGCTCGGCACATTTCGGAATTGCGATTGCTGTTACATACAGAGGACTGGGCGAGCTTGAAGAGACTTACGCCTGACATTGATTTTTCATCAATCAAAGTATGGCATCTTGATCTCGCCCGGAATTATCTAGCTCAATGTTGACTTACAAGAAACCACTCATCACCGATTCCCGTTCGTCTGTGGGTAATAGATTTCCCTTGTATCGGAACTCGCCGCCTGAAAATTGTAGCCAGAGTTTGCCGAGTGAAATCATGGAAATGCTCCCGTCACTCGGCCTGGTTTGCCGGGCCGGAATCGTCTCGTTCTAGCTTTTTCCAGGTAGGGTGAGGTAGGGTGAGGTTCGGTGATGGCTCGGATATGCCACCAGTTCCAAGCCTCATTCCCGGCACATCAGCCAATGTAGCAGAACTGCCGAGGATACGTTGATGGAAGCTGTTGCAAGTCTGTGACCTCATCGTGCTGTCTGGTAATTGTTATATCGTGGTGTTTGTGGTACATAGTGACAAAAGGGTATTGGAGGAGTTCCCTTTCGCAGTCACCTCAGGTGCCTACCCAGGGTGCCCCTGGACACAGCATCCCCCCAGTCTTCTGATGGTTCTTGAAGCTCGGCTATCGTGATTCCTGGTGGGGTGCAAGTCCACTCATGGCGATCGTATGTATGTAGTAGTGGCAACGGTCATCGGCTTTCTTTCCATCGGCTTCCCATGCCAGTGACATTCTGGCGAGAGGCTTACAATAACGAGCCATTAATGGCTCTTTTTGCCTCTGACGGGTTGCATCTCAGTCATCACAGGTAGTCGTGCATTTGATGGAGGGTGAAGCGATTCCGCTGGTTCCGGGTCAACCTCAACTGCACCTTGCAATATGGAGGCAAGCAGGCGGAATAACCAGCCAATCGACTGGTTCTTTGTCACAAATGCCACATACAGGTTCATTCATGATGAGATCATTGACTTCTTCTGGTGATAGCGATAAACTTTTGGCGGAGGCTGCTGGGAGCTGTCACTTTCATGGCCTAGAGAATCCATCAGCACGCCCAGGAACATGTAAGGCACTGTCGTGACTGCAAACGACGGCATGGTGACTGGGTTGAGTTATTCGCATATGGAGTCGCAAATCCTAGAAGAGGAGAGAGCTCACATACGACTTGATCGACGACGGTCAGTTTAAGCATAAGACGGGAGGCTTGTGCCACAAAGTCAATATCATCGCCACCAACATCACCAAGGCTTGCGATTGCTGCTCCATTGGACATTGATGCATCGGCCTGAAGGAATATTATAGCCCAAGTGATTAGCAATAAGTGAACCAATAGGCATGGTGAAGGTTGCATTGGGCCTGTGTGAAAGAGGAGGAATTGGTCTGTCCAGCTCAGTGCTCGTCAACGCCAGCGATCAAACACACCTTGTTTCTCCCCCCCTGATCCAACACCAATTGCATGGCCAACCATATCCTTTAACAGCCCAGTATGTATATAATGGTAGAGAAGCCCTGCGTTTTGAGTTTCCCGGTCATGCCTGGAGCGGGAGAGCTGCAGCTCGGGTCTACCCAGAGGAGAAACTGTCCGATCGACACGATATACGAGACCCGTTGCAGTTGACGGATCCGTTCTGCTGGAGGGGACTTCCCAGTCAATGAGTACATACAAAGATCTGCTCCGCCTGTTATCCGCCTCCCCGCTTTGCAACGGCCTTTTTAACAGCGATAGATCGTCCCAGCTTGCTATAATGTGAAGTTCGTCGGGCAATATGGGTAGGATCTAAAAGCCACATCAAATCTTTGGTCTTAAATACGATGTGAAGATGGATCTTTATACTCGTAAGGACACAATAAATGAGCCCTTGCTTGCTCAAAACATGGCAATCGAGATTTTCCAATCCGTCGTGAAATACATTATTCATCAGATGCATCGCAACAAGCAGCTGTCCACTATGCAAAAGGCAGATAGGCTGCAATAAGACCGCCCCAGCCACCCTTGTTATCCGCACTGAGCGCAGCCGCTTGACCATTGACAGTCACCATGTTCTTGACCAAGTGCGTTCCGAGATTGTAAATCTTCAACCGCTTGGGCTGACCTTCGATGGAGACGATGTTGTCTTGAGCATAGGGGCCCGAAACACCGTTGAGGCCGTTGAAGAACTGTCAAGACTCATCAGCACCGGATCGCTGGAAATTGTCAATAGTAAACAAATCTCACCTGCCAGAAACCCAATCCGTAAAAGGTCATGTCGCTTCCGCCGACGACGCGGAGAGACCAGCCCATGAGGCACTGCAGCGCGCTTCCATCGCAGTTGGAGTAGTCGGGATCCGAGTAACGGGCGTCAGGTCTGGGAAGTGTGTAAGTCACCATCTATACAAAGAAGACACGATAATCTTCTGGGTACTTACGTCCAAGGCGCGGGAGCTGCAGGAGCAGGCTGCCAGTACACCGTCTCCGTCTGCGCCATCAGAGCGTGAACGTTCTGCGCACCCACAAACTGATACTGGTACAGCACGAAATGCTCAAACGCAGTGCCAACCAGCCAGGTTCCGCGCTTGGACTCAACAAGGAGGCCTCGTCCGACAGCAACAGACTGGCTGGTCCCGTTCGTGGCGCCGCTCAAGCCGTCCAGATCGCGGTTGACCGACCAGCCCCAGACGCTCTCCATGTACGTCTGGCTGTTGGACTTGAGATGCATAAACAAGAAGGCGGCCTTGCACTGATCAATGGGCGACTGAGGATACGAGCGGCACTTGGTCTCGACGGCTGAGCCGATTGTGCCGCCGGCGCGGAAGTGCGTGTCCCAGAGACCGACGTCGCCGGGCCTGAAGCCGGAAGCGTTGTTCTCGACGAGGATGGCACCGGGGAGGACGTCGGCCACGTCGAATGCAATGTCGGTCACTTCGAGGATGCCGCGGGAGCCCGTCTCGCCCATCTTGAAGACGACTTGCGGGTTCTTTTCGTCTTCGAATGCCTTTCCATATGCTATCAGTGCAGAGGTTGAGTCAGTCGTCTTTCTCCTCTGCTGGCTTCGAAGGTTAGATACATACCGCTGATGGTGGACCAGACCTCGCCGACAATCCTCGATCCAACCGGGACGTGGATGGTGCCGCTGACACGGTAGTTTCCAGCAGGGAAGTACGTGATCCGTCGGTTGGCATTCGCCTTGAGCGCGGCATTGATGGCCTTTGTGGCATCCGTCTTGCCGTCACCCTTGGCGCCAAAGTCGTGAACACTGGAGAAGCAGCCGGAGCTGTACTGCTCGTACTGAGGACGTGACTTTGCCCAGTAAGTACCGCTCGAGTCGACGAGGGCTTGGGGCCGTGACAGCGAGCCGCTGGTCTCGAGGTACTTGCCGGTCGTCTCGTCCTTGTACACAGTTCCTTGGATGTAAGACTTGATCGTGGTAGAACGGGTTGATCCTGACACAAGAGAAGCGCCTTGGGTGTCGGCAACAACGTGTCCAACACGGTTGATCTTGAGGTTCTCGATGATGAGAGCTCCGTCTGCATTCTTTGTGTGTTGGGAAACGACGACTTTGTCGGTGGAGGTGGCTTCTGAGTCGATGAGAATGACGGATCCGACGGAGTTGTTGGGCGGAGCTGTGAAGTTGACTCCGACGTTGACGTTGTTGAACTTGACGCCCTGGAGAGACAGCGTGAAGATGTGGTCAATCTGGATGCCCGTCTTGACGTTGTTGAACGTCAAAGCGCGCATCGCGTACTGCTGGTTGTTCAGCCGAATCTATTGCAGGCCAGATGAGTTAGCAACCAGCCGACCGTACAAACATGTTCAATCAGGGTGAAAGCTTACACCGATGTTTCCTCCAGTGAACTCCAAGTCGCCCATAAAGGTAGCAGAGCCGCCGCCGCCGCCAGTTGTTCCGTTGAAAACAACACCCTGGTGCATACTGTTCTCGGCCATCTTCATGTGGTTGAAGCTCAGCGTCACGGCCTGGGCGGACGGCCAGTTGACGCACGCCACAGACGACTTGACATCGACACTGGTGGTGTCAAACACAAAGTTGCGGACTTGGTAGTACAGGTTGATGGTCGTGGGGAACGGCGAAGTGGTGGGAGAGGGGAACGTGTCGAGGAGATAGAGGCCGGAGAAGTTCTTGTCGGCCTTGAGGACGGGCCTGTCCAGCGGGTTGCCGACGAGCTGAGTGAAGATGTAGCTGTTGAGCGTGCGCGAGATCTTGTATGTGCCAGAGGGGAAGTAGATGAGGGCTGGCTTGAGAGTCTTTGCGGGAGGATCTCCTGGGCCGCATCCCCAGAGGCAGCGTCCGCCAGCTGAAGATGATGTCTCTTAGTCACTGGTATGTTTGCATCAGGCTTCCAAACCGAACATAACGTACCGTCAATCGCAGCTTGAATTGCCGCAGTATCGTCTGTTTTACCATCGCCCTTTGCACCAAAGTCCTTGACGTTGCGGTACACGGTGTATGAGGAGTCGTTGAGGAATGGAGAGATGCCAGTATGCTTGATCGTCTCCATCCAAAAGTCCTGCTTGCGAAGGACTGGATGGCATTGGCCGAAAGTAAGGTCGAGATCCACGGACACATCCAGACCTCGATCAACGAGACTGTTGACTTGGTCAGCATCATTCTGCTGCCATAACAAAGGGCTATCGCAAACTCACGCCTCTGGAGCAACTTCAATGGCAGCGGCATTCACTGCCGACGCGGCCCCAACGAGCCATGTCAACAACTGGCTTGCTCGAACCATGATTCTGCCGTTCCTGCTCTCTGATTCTGATAGAGCAGAAGAGTAATTGAGACACTCTCAGCGAATCTTAACAATCTATTACCCCTGGGAGATGCGGAGAAGCTGACCGATTTATACATGTGTGTACATGTAGTCTTGCTATCCGATTGACAACATAGTAATAACCTTGATTCAAAATCCGGGGCATGATCCGCAAACCAAAATCCGTCATGTTACATCTCCTACGACCATCTTGAAGTCTTGTCCGAGATTCTTGACCTTCCCCAGTGTCTGGACAGCCAATCGGGATGCCGTCCGAAGATGCTCAAGGGCAGCTTCGGCAGCTCTGGTTGGTGGAAGATTTACAATCTGGGGTACCGGCGGTATTGAGAGCCGGCCCGAATGGCCTTGAAGAAACGATGACGATCGATTTCGTTGGATGAAGGCGGACTGAGTGAAGCATCGAGAGACAATTGCGCTGTGATTCCCGTAGATTCTGCCAGACCTGTGGGGAGAGTTGTCGTGGTTCTGCAGCCTGGAGTCAGGTGAGAGAACAAATGTAGTGTAGATGCAAGGTTCAGCTGGGGTGACGTTGAGCTCTGGTAACCGTAGTTACGACTGGATTGACCAATTATAGATTAAAGAACTAGTTGCCGCATTCTTAGATCAAAGGATTTAAGCTGCTGTAAATGGCTAGCAGTGAATGGTATGATTGTCCTTGGTTGCTCACTTCAGACACGGCTCTTTCGAAGCTGATCTCGTGATTGGGAAGGATGCTTGCTCAGCTTTGACCCCCCCCCCCCCCCCCCAGTGAGAAGGTCGGGAAATCTTGCCTTGTCTGATGACATGATTGGGGAACCCGAGCGTGAAGAACACATAGTAGGTTAACATTGGTTGGATCTGGTCAAGAGGAGATTGGCAATCTAAGTCGAGAACATGGAGGAGGCCCTTGATCCTGGTTGTTGTTACCTAAATATAATCCCACGGCAGCTTCTTGCGGCCTGAAGCATGCGCCGTGCGGACGAGGTCATTTCCTACAAGCCTCAAAAAGACACAGGAAGACGGGCGTCAACCAATGAATGAATGGCAAAAAGGAAAACGAAGCAAAAAAAGGAACCGACTTAATCTCAATCGATGGATTATGTAGGAAAAGCCCGATGCGGGGGTCGAACCCGCAACCTTGAGATTGCATCAGAACGTGTTCTCGATTAAGAGTCTCACGCTCTACCGATTGAGCTAACCGGGCTTCTTGAACGCTCTTCGCTCCCGGGCATTACCCGGAGGAAGTCGCCAATCACGATCCTCGATTGAGCCCTAGCCGGCTTGTTGACAACTTCTTTGCACTTGAGCCTTATGAGGTCTTCACCAAACCCAAAGTCCATTCCATGCCTCCAGCTGCACGATTATCTTGTCTAACGTCAACAACCGCCTTGCCCATGCAACAAGCATCCTCACTTCTGCTCCGTCATCGGGGGCAGATCTCACGATGCCGAGACAAGACCCTGCATACGCTCTAACGCCATGCGCGCTCTGTCAGTTTGACCTTGTCTCTGGCGATGAAATCCTGATCGGTACGACTCAGTGCTATCGAAGACTGAAATGGAATCCGGACGATGAGCAGGTCCAACTCGTTCTCCGAAAATTCATCCGCATATCCATTGTCAGGGAAGCTCGCTTTCCAAATTTGGGGGGGTTCAAATGCTATCATGCAGGCTGCCTCGACATCACAGGCCTTGAAGACGGGATGCCGCTTCTGCTCTTCGTCGAGGCGATGAGATACCGGCGCCCACCAAGCTTGCTGCAGAAGGAGACCCGCCGCGAGCATCTGACGGTGTGCCTGAGCACCGAACTGTCAAAGCACTTTGCTCTCCAAGGGACACATCTACCACTGGAGCTCTGGAACCAGATCGCTCAGCATCTGTTGCCGCTTTACGCAACGGCGAACGCGCGATCTCTATGGAAACATTCTGAACCAGAGCCTGTATGCATAGCAAGGGATATATGGTGTGAATATGCCGAGTTTGAGGGTATCCGATACGTCGCCAAGCTCTCAAACACCCACTCGAATGGTGGGGAGCTAATCTATCGGCCTTTCGGGGAGACGATGAAGTACATATTCACCGGAGAGAATCACCTTGGCGTTATGGAAGTCTTGATTTCTACCACATCGGACATATCCCAGATTGGTGAGGTGCCGGGCATGTGGTGGCGTAGAGTGCATATTGAGGAGGGACATGATGCACTGCGCGCAGAGAGCGACGTACTTGACCCTGTGCCGGCCTTTTGCAAATATACCCCGACTAACCGTCCCTCTAGGGTCTCAAACTTCGCCACTTATCTGGATTATCTCGAAGTACCGTGGCGTGAAGCATACCTTGCCCCCATGGGATGAGATTCGGGAGCCTGAGTGTTGAGTTGCCGGAGAAGGACCCGCGTTGCCGCGCTACATGTCATCGATCATTTGCAACCAGCCATCAATGACTGGCTACTCAGTTCTCTGGGCAGGCTGTATCGTCACTCTTCACGCTTATCACGGCATCGAAGACCTGGGTTGCTATTGATCGGCTGCAAAGGGAAGCTGGCTATATATGCCATTCAAGGTAAGGTATTCGGCTACCGCCAGATATATCTGATGTGTTAATTATCCAGGAAACGACATTGCTTCCCTTCTGACAAGCTATCTAACTATCGTTACCAATGACAGGAGAATCGCCAAAAGTGCTGGATAGTAAAAGACATGATAAGTGGCTCTATCCATCTCAACCGAATCCGAAGCCGATATCCTATACGCAAGAACGCACGACGATAGTTGTTGCAGCACGCATATCGGTATCACCAAGATATCTTGAGCCATCTTTGCCCCTCCGACAACCAATACCCCTAAGCTGAAGGCGATGATGAATATCGATGTGCCAGCTCGCAATACCTTCAAGCCCTTATCGCAGAGCAACATTGGGAGGGTCTTTCTATCGCTCTTTCGGTCTCCTTCGAGATCGTAGAACTCTTGAATGTGGATAGTCGCCATGAGCCAGAAGAAGACGATGGCGTCAATGCAGATATTGTTGCCCTGAACTGAAGGTCCGTTGGCCAATAGGACTTGATTGAGAAGTCGTGAAAGAATGAAGTAGGAGACGGCCGCGAAGTAGTTGCGCATGAACCAAGAATACCATCGTGGCCATACATAGCACACCCAGATCAGTATCTGAAAGTGAAGCAGATGTAGTGCCGCCCAAAGACCAAAGGAGTAGTAGATGATGACGGGTCCAAGTGTCCATGTCAAGATCCATCGAGCTTTGGCTTGATCGAGACTGATGAGTCCCGCCGGGATCGGGCGGTATGGCTTGTTCAGATAATCTTCAAGCGGAGAAGAGGCCTGGTTCGCAATGTCAAAGATGTAGTTGCAGAGAAAGCCAATCATGACAACCTTGAACGTCGAGACAGCGGTTTCTGTCATCGACATAGGCGACAGGATGGCTCTGGTAAGGAGACCGCTTATGGAGATGAAGGCAAAGCCCCCAGCATTGGATTTGAGTAAACGCATAGTGACGTCCATCTCATGCTGAGTCTTGAGGAGTAATGACGATGAAATCGCTTTCAGGATGGCTACATGCTTCGATAGCGTTTTGCTCTTCTTTTGTAGAGGACCGGTCTTGATAGGAAGTCTGGAGTTATAGAATGCCATTGTGGATTTCTGAGAAGATACCGTCGCAATGCTGTTTCAATGAAGGAGCTGTTCTTGTTGTCAGATGAAGAGCAGAAATCAGAGCAGAATTCAGAGCTTAAATAGTAATGTTTTTTCTCGATATCGAAGTTCAGATAGCTTACAGCATTTCAGCCAAGACGAATCCAGAGCTCTTAGTCCGGTCACCTTGCAGAAATCTCTGAAACCACCGACTTCACCACAGTCGCACTTCAAAAATCGTCGAAAATATACGAACTTTTCAGCTGTCTAAGGTTTGTTTGAGTCAGGACAACTACCCTCCCGAGCTCCATTTGGAAATTCATATTGCAGACTGATGGTTGATGCCTAGAAAAACGACTCATGGGGTAAATCCCATTGGTTGCTGCGCAAAAGACAACGCATATAGAGCGGTACCTCTGCTCGGGCATTGGCTTTTCAGCTCTGTTATATGTTCGCTTTATGGACTTGTGGCTCATAAAGTCTAAGGATGTTTCATCTTCATACAAAAACTTGCGATTTAAGCCTTGCTTCTACACTATTATGGTGTCAACAAGGTGAGACCTCGGTGATATTACGGAGGCTACAGCTTTGCGAAAGGCTCGATTGTGGCCGGCTGTGTCCTTGTCGTCAGCAGCTAACCTGTCAACACCGCCCATATTCATGTGGAGTATCAAAGAGTGAGTGTACGAGCAAGATGAAGCAGTGTCTACCAAGTGGTGGTCGATCATTATCTACAGTTAAATGCAGACTTCGCCGGCCATTCCGTACTTCTCGGCGACACTATGGAGTATGTAAAGAGGCCTCGGCGATGCCGTGACAAGGCTGTGTTCGAGGGGGGAGACACAAATAAAAAATTGAAGTTACACACTTCACGGTTCTGAATCGCTGCAGAAACATGCAGCAACAACAGAGGTATTCTGTTGGTTCCAGCCTTTGTAACTCTTCGCGACCAGATTATTTGAACACTCAAGGGCTAAAATGGACAGCTAGAAAGATTGGCCCACATCCACTTCCCTTTGTCGATGGATGTAGGCATATATCCGAGTTGATAGGTAACAGATATGTGTGCAAATTCCGGCCATATCTTGGGGCGAGCTGATGATATGATACAACTGCGTTCATAGGTTAGGTAGTTCCGGTTGAACAGGAAAGCTAAGCGAAGTCGATATGGGGCATTCCATTATTATTCTCAAAGCGGTTTGCCGCCAAGACTCGAGGACTATGCATTTGTACTATGCAGGGCTATAGCAGAACTATGTCCTACATATACCTACCTTAGGTTTCCAGGCATTAGAGAAGATACTACCTACCTAGTCGGTAGATGCATGTAGCAGTGTCGAGTGTTGCGCGAGACAAATCCATCCAGACCATCAGCGCCAATGCTTACGTTGAAAGGGCGTCCGTTGATAGGTGGTACATAGGTAACATTGGAAGAAGTGGGTAGTCAGTCCTTGTAGGTCTGTGATAACAAACTCCATAGAGCGCGAGCACGCCACGGCAGAATATCTGGCCCCTGACTTGGCCCGCTTCGACTACATGGATTCAGATATTTGTTGTTCCATGTTCAATGCTACTCTATGACGTTAATACAAGCCTCCAAATTGATATAAAGCCCTCAAAATTGACGCTTTGCGGCACAAATCAAACCTCAATCACCTTTGTGCAGATGAGTTCTCTGAACAAGAAAGAGGAACAGGGCTCACTTACACCAGAGGAAAACAAGACATAAAACGTCACGAATTTCGCAATGTCAGATGAATATGTCGCAAATCATGTTCGAAATCTGGTCGCTATGATGGGGTTTGATATGCGGAAGAGCTTGAGGGATCGTGATTTGGAGCTTGAGGCCAAGGTGATGGACAAACTCATGGAATTGGGGCTCTCATCGACGGATTCGAAGAAACCTCTGGAGCGGTTTCTCAAAAGTGGCTGCCTGCTTGCCTCGCTTTACTACAGGCATCATCCCACGGATGTAAAGGTGCGTATGAAGCTTGCGCCTTCAGGAGAAGACCTCTAATGCTCACATGCAAAGGTCTACACAGCAATCCACGCTATTCTGCTGTTGGGGGTCGACGATTATTTTTCGGATGTTTCTTTGACTCGCACGTTCGCACATAAATTCGGGACACGCAAAGCTCAAGGCCATCCGCTCCTGGATTGTGTAGCGCGTCTCCTGAGAGACGAGACTCCGAAGATCTTTGGACCCTTTACAACGAACATGATCATCACTTCAACCCTCGATGGAATCAATGGCTTCTCATTAGAAGCTACGTTTCCACGAGGTTTTCTCAGGGCGATGCCTGGATTTTCATGCTGGTTGAGGTCTTGTACTGGGTGGTCGGCCGCCTATGCATGTTTTATATTCCCCAACACGAAGTTTCCGGAGTCTGAATACCTTGGCCGTTATGTGCAGATCATGCCCAATCTACGCGATATAATCTGTTACGTGAACGACATACTTTCCTTTTACAAAGAAAGGGTTGTCGCCAAAGAAGGCTGCTTCATATCGAATCTTGCGCAGGAGAAGTCGATGGATGACTATTCGACTCTAGCATTGGTGTGCGATTATGTACTGTCTCTGGATAAGGAGATCCGGGAGTTTCTGGCTGAGGATGAAATAATTTTAGGCGCATACGCTGATTTTATGCTTGGCTATATGGAGTGGCACTTCCAGGTGGAAAGATATCGCTTGAATGAGCTGGGCTTGACTCTGAAGTCGTAGACTGTGGGAAAGCTCGGGTTACGCCATGGCCAAGAACAAGTTTATGGGATGAGGTGGCAAGATATGGATTTAGATCTGTTTTACAACACCTCAGTAGGATGCCGACAACATTATATTCTTGACGAACCGCCCTCCTTCGATTACAAGCAGCGACAAGATGTTGGTAGTAATCCTAGTACTACCAAATGTCTCTGTCGGCCAACCAAAAAAAAGCAAACAAAAGTCTGTGTGAGGTCAAACTGCGTCCGGGCGGTCCTCGCCCATCAGGCCGATTACTGGTTGGAATGGATGCACGCTCGGGGCCACGAGGGTCGAATTTTTCCTGAAGACACATATTCTCAGCCTACTCCTCCAAAAGATACGTCCCACTCACGCAAAACACGATGAAGATGGAGATTATAGATTCTTTCGAAGTCCTCAAGAAGATTGATGGCAAGTTCGACATGTACGTCAAAGTCATAGTCCGACAGGGAGGCGAATACTACATTGGCAAATGGAGAGACCGCAAGCACCTGCCAGACGACTTCTCTCAGCTGGAAGACGTCAGAATTATTCCGACAAAGGATCGAGGACCGGCGATGAACCCCCAATGGACGACTGCACAATCTGAGGGCGACTTTTACGTCAAAAAACCCAGCCTTCAGGATCACGTGGATCCTGAGCTAGAAAACCGAGTCGAGCACGAAATCAAGATGTGCGAACTGATCAAGAGAGATCCTCATCCTAACCTGGCGTCTTACTATGGCTGTGTGGTCAAGGAGGGAAAAGTGATGGGGATCTGCTTCAAGAAGTACCAGAGAACACTCTTGGAGACAGTCAACCCGGGCAGACTGTCCAAGCGACACTTTATGGAGAGCGGCCGACCACTTGTCAGGAACCACATGAAAGGCTGGCTCGAAAGCCTTCGCAGCGCTGTGATCCATCTGCACTCGTTGGGGCTCGTCCACAACGACATCACACCGGCGAACATTATGTTGGACGAAGCTGATTCTCCGGTCCTCATTGATTTTGGCGGACTGTGTCGGGTGGGGGAATCGCTGAGGACAGTCAAGAGGACTTATGGATGGTATGACGAAGCGGTAACTGAAGCGACCAAGCAGGCTGATCTGGATGCTCTTGCGGAGATTGAGGCCTTGTTATTCGCAACTCCAGATGGTCTGAAGTTCTCTGGGTGAAAATTGGTGTGGACCGAGATCTATGGTGTCGGTTTCTGAACGCGCGAGCGGTGAGATGTCAGCTTAAAAAAAAGAAAAAGAATCTGTATCTTGAGTAATGAAAATTTCTGTTCAAGCACTTCGTTCGTCAGCGGCTGAGTTGGCTGTATGGGTGCAAATTTGGTATCAGCACGCTGAGCTTGGCGGCCTTGAACGCTCTGAAGGCTGTCGATGGCTTCTCAACCGATGAGTTTTGCGTTCTGCGTGTTAATAGTCCGTGGGGTTTCTGGAGTCCCAAGAAGTGAAAGTGATTCATTGAAGATGTAAATCAAGATTCTTGAACCAGAGCTTGACGACAGCCCTCAAGGTCCTCGCTTCCCAAGTTGCTGACTAACCTCATACAAGTACCTCCTTCGAAATCACCAACCAGGCCAGCCTCTGGTAAGGTACACTCAACATCCTCGCGACCAAGCAACTCTTCCTCGTCAAATCATCACCATGGCTGCCCCTGCAGTCTCGACAACACTGCTTCCAGCCGATAAGCTCGTCGAGAGTGCTGGTTCAATCCTCTTCCGACTGTCAACCCGCGAAATCTGCATCCTCCACCATCTCCAGCTGGACCAATACGTGCTTCCTAAAGGCCGTCGCAATCTCGACGAGTCTCGTCAGGCTGCTGCGCTTCGCGAAACAACAGAAGAGACTGGACTGCCGTGTTACCTGCTGCCTGTCGATTTAGTTTGCCGTGTCACTCCCGCCATCCAGAACGAAGACCTGCCAGACGAACCACGCCTGTTTAAAGGCGCCTGTGAACCGATTGCTATGCAACAGAGACGGATCGGCAATGTGACAAAGTTGATCTGGTGGTATGTGGCTGCTGTCAGCGAGGGCGAGCCGCTCCGTCAACATGAAGAGCACAAGTTTGAGGTGCACTTCTGCAGCTACGATGAGGCTGTGCAGAAGTTGACGTTCAAGGATGACTGTGACCTGGTCAAGATGGCAATCCGGCTTGTTGAGGCAACTACAGGTGATCGGTGATTGAGGTTAACCCTTTGAAATTTTGTAAAATCATGTACGATTGACCTTCTATAGTCTACGATATTCTTTGGTCTGATTGCTGACAGCCTCTCACGAAGCTTAGAATCGCATGTAGACGAGTTCTATATTGCGCGCTACAACTCCCAATCTTCATCTATAGGTACTCATGACTTAGGTACTCTTTGTATGCGTTTCCCAGTACATGTTTGAGCCGTGGTTGCTGATTGCACGCAGTATCATTTAGACTGAGATGAAAGATTAAGGGCTTGTAGATTTCTATGAACAGGTATCTATCATAGTTAAGCTAGGTAGGTGTTGTTAAATAGGTATCTCTCAGACGTATTATGCTACCATCAGATTTTGCACATTTTACATAAGAAAGTGTGCTGCGGCAATGACTGTCCCCATGAAGCTACATGTAAGAGTCTCCCAAGATAGCAATCTTGTCTTCATCGCTGCGTTCGCCGGCACGGTTGGAATGCTTTGGCTCAGCAACTATCGAGACTTGTCAGTACATGTAGTCATTCCCTCTGTCATCAATACCCTCACAGTCAACGTACCTTGTCAATAGTATGCACCACTCCATTCTCAATGACCGAGTCGCCTCCTAGGATTTTCGCGCCGTTCAAGTAGGCGACATTGTCTCTGACGACCACGGTGATGTTGGTTCCGCCGAGAGTGCGAAACACCTGGCCGTTCTCCAGCCACGGCGAGTAGAGCGGGAGTCCCGAGCTCACAATGACATGCTCCTTGATGATTTGAGCGAGCTGCGTCTTGGTGAGTGTGCTGGCGAGATTGAACACTGAGTCGCTAGGTGCCAGGACGGTGATGGATGCAGTGTTTTGCAGAGCCGAGACTAGGTCTGCGCTTTGCAGTGCTGCTCCGAATTTCGTCTCCCCCAAGGACTGAAGGGTAGTTGAGAGATTCCTTGGCAGGGTGAGGACTCCATCAATTGGCCGAATGACGCCATGGTCGAAGGGGATATCATCGCCTGTGACCCTGACATACTTGCCGAGTCCCGTGAAGACAAACGGCAGCGAGGCAGAGGGGATATATCTTTGAACAAGTGTCTGGTTGTGCCCGGCACCAAGACGCACTGATTGATCCTGGTACAGCGTCTCGTAGACGGCGCCAAGATCCGTTTCTCGCTTTCTTATGATGGTGGATAACGTGTTGTTGCCAGTCGAGGAAACGTGTGTTGGATAGGTCACATATCCGAAGTTGTAACTGGCAGCGTTTCTCCTCGCAATGGTATCGTCCGCGCGACGAGCGACTGTGACGTTTACGGAGGAACTTGTAAAGGCATTGTTGCTTGGGGCATACACAACAATGCCCGGCCGTAGGTCCACTGGCTCGCTGGCTTGGAGCCGCTGGGCATACTCGGTGAAGCCGTTCGCCTGGAGGACTGACAGGAGCGATTGTGGCGACTGTGCAAGAACTGCCGAAGCGGCAGTTAGACAAAAGAGTGAGACAATGTGTTGCTTGAGCATGGCTGCAGCGGGATGGACTTGGGAAGGGAGGAGCGGGAAGATGGTGATCTGTTACGTGCGCATATAGCGTCGTGGTGGCTCACCGTCTTGTCTTTTAAACCCAGCCCCGGCAGATGAAAGCTCAAGTCATGGAGAAAACAATGGCATATTGAGGATTCTCAAACCAAACAATGGGATGTCCATAGCCTTCCACAGATGCCGCGGACATAAATCGCTACAGACGCATGCTACTACTCCGTTCGTTCATCGGACAGGGGTCTATGCGGCTGACTGCAGTGCGGCTGAAGACTTTCATTTGTAAGCTACAGCCTGCATACTTCACCAGTGGCATTTACCTATCACCGCAAAGTTCGGTGATGCCTTCTCTTGGCAAGCTGTCGTGGGATAAGGTTATTCGGCATGCTTGCCTTTATCACATGCAGGCCATAACAGCCGTATGCAATGACCCACCGACCATGCCGGGCCATGGAAGAAATCAACAACCGAGATGTGTGGAAGAATTTGACTGGTCATATATTCATATCTTGGCCTCGGTGTTGAGATCCTCAACTGAGGCGGGCATGGGTGTTTGGGCTTTTTTTATTGGAAGGTCTGCGGTTGCCATTATTAGTTCTATGCCTCATCAACAACGCTCTCTTTCAGGCAGCTATCAGACATCCGATGGGCATGCTTTCGGGCAGCCATTGATCAAGAAGGCATCCACTCAACAGACATCAAAGCAAAATCCAACACATTAACAGAAAGCTTTGAGAGTTTGCAGCACAACTGCTCTTGCAGACAACCGGGGTAAGGAACGCCTGTCTAGATATCTCTTGGCCATATCACATTTCACCTTCCGAACATCCATCCTGGTATAGCAATCGTCCGATTGAGGCGCCGCAACAATAGAAAGAGAGGAGAAAGGATTGAGGAGAAAACTCGGAAGTCAGATATCATTCCCCGAAAGCCTCGTTTGTTACGTGTTTGTCGCCGACTTGGCGAGGAAGACACGCACACTTGTGTAGAAGTCCATTCCTCACTGCTTAGTGGGAGTATTCAGCTCGAAACTTTTCAGTGCAAGCGTCCAAGAATAGTAGGAAAGTCACCCACCTGCATATTTCCAACAGGCCTCCTGCGTCCAATGAACACACGCAGTTATATAGATATCGAATGATTTGCACATCAAATTACGGGCTTGCTGCCTAGAGCTGCAAACGTCGTCTTCAACCACGGAAACAGAGCTCGAGAGTCCGGTCCATGAGTCAGAAGCGACGAATTGTATCAGGACAAGTGGAGTGTTTGATTGCATAGACGCATTGCATGAAGTCCCAAGGCATAGCGTCTGCTTTATGGTTGTTGTACTAATGCAAGCAGAAGTCGTAGCCCCAAACCCTGGACATTGAGTCTACAAGATGCCTACTCTGCGGATGTTGTCAGGAGCCTCAACGCATGATTCATTTTTACAGTATAGAAGGTTGCTCGGGTATTTAAAGACTTGATCAGGGGCGTACGATGGTCCGTAGAACGAGAGATCTTCACGACATTCAAGCCTATCTAGTGATTCCGTTCAAGCTCAATCAAGATGGCTGATGTCTACACGCCACTGGTGGACGGAACCTATCTGCTTCACCGTCCCTTTTACCTGCCAACCAAAGACGGTCCCGTCTGGGCAATTGCCTTCACCACCAATGGGGGCACTCTTCTCACAGCGGGCATTTCGGTGGTTCTCACCTTGATCTTCATGTCTCTGTGGAACCTCATATGCTTCATCGCCATGTTGTTCCCTGGGACAGTTTCTCGGCGACGACACCTTGCTCTCGTAACGCTCTGGAACTCCAACGACTCTTGGTTCGCGTTCAAGGAGCTCGCAAGCTACGCCTTCCACTTTCACAAATCAAAGCCTGATTTTGCCTATGGTCTCTTGTTGGCTGTCCTGGCTCTGATGGTCTTCGGTGGCAGCATGACTCTGGGCATCATCGGACCCTCCCTCATACAAATCGGCACTGTGGCGCCTGTGCGGCCGAGCTCAGTCTATTACCCGCATCTTGGTACCGACAACACTGCCGTTCTTTCATACTACGGCGTTCTTGCTCCGGCAAACCTACGTGCACTGGGCAGCATAGAAGCTTCCAAGGTAACGAAGAGAAAAGACGTGAACCTGCCTGACTCAAACCTGGACCCTATCGGCAAAACAGAAAGCGGCGAAGACATCTATCAGTATCTCTACGATTATACCCTCACTGGAGTTGATTTTGGCCTCCAGCAAGGGTCTGCTCTTTCGTTGACGGTCAATGGCTCATGCACGACCGAGTACGGATGGTTCGTGAACTCCACAGGTGCAGCAAGCAATGAAGACTTATATAACCTATGGAGGATCTCCGGTCAAAACTTCTCGGTTCCAGTCAATCAAGATACCGTACAAGATGCCCCCAAGGCGAGCTTCATACCTCATCCGGAGGCAGAACAACAGCACTTGGAGAGCGGCAACACGTCTTTTGCCATTATCGTTTGGGCGGCCAGGAGAGCCAGCATCAAACAGGGGGATGATCCTTGGTACAAGACAGAGCGTCGCACCGCAAACTTTCCGGCGCCCTTTGACGCCCAGTTCTGGATGAAGCGAGGACGACCAGCGCTCTCATGCTGGCAAAAAGACACCTGGCGCTACGGCTCCCAGGAGGTCAAGACCGTGGACGATCTCCCAAATGTCAAGGGCATCAAGGTGAAACCCGCTCTGCTCAAGCTGCTGGCGGAAGCTTTGAGAGCCCCAGTGCTCACACGGGTTGGCAATGCCAGCGGTGACTCGGCACTCAAGTCTGCCATCACCAGTTCCAGGGGCGTCATCAATGCAGAGACGTCGAAAATTCGGTATGATTTAGAGCGCCTGGTTCTGGCGAGCTATGTGTTTACTCGCAATGTCCTTCTTGACACTACGATGTTTTCGAGGCCAGATGGACTGGACAACATTATGGAGGACGGGAAGGGACAGCCAGCCGATGGCGCTGGTGACTTTGTCCTCTCAAGCCCCAACTTCCAAACATTCTCAATGGTCGGCCTGATTGTTTTGTTCGTCATGCTGGTTACTCTCCTCATCGTGCAGGCAGCTTTGGACGCTATTCTTTTGCGTCACACCGATAATAAGGAGAAGGATAAAGTGAAAGGCAGGCTGATGCTCTTCAAAGCATTGCCGGCAGCTCAGCTCTTCCGCCGCATCTACGAGCCTACAGGTGCAAAGCAGCAAGATGTTCACTGGCCATGTGCTTCGCATTATTCTTCGCACGAGGATCAGACAAAGTTCGAGTGGGACATTTGCGGAAAAGGGGACATTCACTGCAACGGACATATTCATCGCGGTAGCACAACAACCAAAATCGAGACAACCGAAGACAAAAGAGAGACCAAAGAAACAGCCGACAGCCATGGATCGACGACAAAAAAGGAAGAAACGAGGGTGGAGGAGAGCCTAATCGAGACTCCTTTGTAGCTGATTGGTTATCTCTCTATTGTTGACTGGGGCGCGGCGGCGGTGGGCGGTAGGGGATCCGGGAGGAGAGGATGGAGATGAGAGAGGAGATTTGGTGCGTTGGGTGTACTCGGATGTTGGGACTCAAGTGTAGGTAACCCAAGATCGATACTCTGTGTACTAGGTACCTAGGTAGGTACCTAGCCGAATATTTCACTTTTTGACGGATATTTGCCGTTCATCAAAGTTACTAGTAGTTGTTTCCCGGGTAGTTCTGCCGCGTAGTTTCACTATGAATACGATGAAGGATTTGAGCGAGGAGTCTTCTCCTAGGTTGGTGTATCGTGACGTGAGCCTGTAGGAAAAACCCGCGCTCAACCCCCAAAAGTTCCTCTCAGGTACGTGAACTCGTCTACGGATTTGACCGCTTGTGGTCTAAGGTACAATAGCTGCCGGTCAACGCTGTGGTTGAAGGGATGGCATCACCAATGTACTTCTCATTGGTTTGCGGAGATGCTGGCCACATGCGCAATTACATACCTATGTCAGAACTCTCTAGTACCAATAACGAAGAGCCGAATTGACATAAGGTACATGTATGAATTGACTCAGTCCAGGAAACGCGTGATATGTGGCCTTCAGTACCATGAGCTCTTGTTCCGCACAAATGCCTTGCCTTTTGTCCTCGGTACATCGTTTTGTGCGGAGCACCAGCGTCTGTCGTACTCTCTGAACAATATGCTTTCACATGGCCGTACGCTTGAGTCGGTTCTCTATGCAAGGGCATCAGGACCTGATTCTTATGCCCCGGATCCTGTGCAATCCGTCTACGCGATTAAGGTAGTACTAGTATTGAGCACTACTAGGTAGGCGCCATCTCCAGTTATAGCCGGTTCTCCCGCTGATGAAACCCACCAGATCGCCTCGTCTAACGACATTCCGTGCTAGCCCACGACCACGATGTCTCAGATATTTCCTCTGCGATCCAATGGAGTCACATCTGTCGAGGTAGCGCATCGAGCACGTGGGTCGCTTAGCTTAGCGCACCAGATACCGCGCTAGCGCAACCACACCCCTGTAAGCCCCCCTGGAGGCACCTTCCGCAGATATAAATACAGCGCGCGCTCCCTCCCCAAACCTCACCACCTCCGGGCCTTCCCTTGCACCGCGAACAAGTCTGGGCCAAGGGTATATAAGGTCAATTAACTCTCTCTTCTACCGCGGGGTGGTCAAGGGGGATATCACGGTTCTCGAGAAGAGGGCCCCTTCAAGGACGGAACGCGTTCGGCCCCCGGGCTACCTCGCTTTTCTTTTTTCTTTTTTGCCTTTTTGATATTGCGCGGAATAATTTGCTTAATGCCCCTCGAGTCATTTCCGTGTATTTTTGGAGAATATAATTGCGTGGATGAGCCTGCAGAGGCGTGGTTGTTCATTTCGAGTTCCGATTCGGTGAGGCCGCGCCAAATGCAGGTTCGCATCAACCCGCGATGCACGCACGCGGTCAGATGTCATGCGGTGTTTACGTGCAGCGTCGAAATTGGGGTTTCGAGATTCGTGATGTGAGAGCTACTTGTTCACGCAAAAGAGAGCCGCGAGCTTGGGAAGAAGCCAGCGTCAGATTTATGGACGGGAAGTCCCTCGTAAGAATACATCCTACCTGTGGTGATTCCGCCCATTTGGCCCAAATGCATCAGACAAACGAGCCTCAATGCGCGCATGTCTGTGAAGGTACCAAATAGATAACTTATTATCAGCGACACTGACAGATCCTAAACTCGTCGCCAACAGTTAAGCTTACACCGATACACACGATCCCCCTTCTCAGCTATACTACCTAAGTCAAATCTTGATTTTTGCACAGCGTTTCGGCTACTAGCAGACATGGCTTGTTACGGCTTCGTTGCTGATTAAGATATTAGGTACTACATTCATAACAGTTCTCAGCCCGATTTGAAGGCAACGACTTCCGTGACAAATACTTCGGGGTAACATAGACCTGGCGTTTAGGCGCCTGCAGAGATACACACTCTCCCTGATTTTGGCCTCGACCCATCTTCAGCTGCTAGAATCTCCATGGCTGCCAACCTCGCCCAAAAGAAATGATATCCTCTTTCACGATGCCACTGAAGAGGGGGCTCCCATAAGACTGGACGACCCCCATATCAGTCAACGTATGACGGGCTTCATTACAGATAACGACCCCACATCTACGGGCAAGCATTCCCGTCATGTCGCCCTCGAGCATTTGGGCATCATGCTGTTGGAGCTTTGCTTTGGTCAGACCATAGATGACCAGCCATGGAGAAAGGCACTGCCGGCCGGTGGGAACGACACGGAGAAGACATGCTACGATATATTAGCAGCTCGCGAATGGTTGGGTCATGTGAACGATGAAGCAGGCCCTGCTTATGCCGACGCCGTCTCATGGTGCCTCCTCGGCAATCGATGTACGCCGGAGGAAAAGTGGAGGCAGGAAATGCTGCGCAAAGTAATACATCCTCTGAAGCAGACTCGTGAATTTCTGGCGAACGGGGGGATAGTGGCATAACTGGTTGGGTGGTTTTGTAAGGGCACTGGGCAGTGGGCTAAGTCATGAGCCATGACTGACCGTTAATACAGCTGTCAAGCTCGATCTAAGTCTCACGGGCAAATACATACGAGAGGATTTAGGTTTCAATGAGATGTGGTGGGATCTACAGACCAAGAGCACTCAATCCATTATTCTCCGAATGTTAAATCAAGTGTAGTACGTGTAACTACGACGGCGATGCAGATAGTCTTTATTGAATGGTCTGGTTACTTAAGTCAGCAATGATGGGCGAAGGAAGCCCAACTCTAGGCATGAAAGCCGGCTTCTCTTGGGAGGCAGCTTTCGAATGCTGTTTGACTATTAGAATTCCCATTCAATGTCTACAGAAAAAGCTCACTGTAACAATACTAGATGTATTTAGGCAAGTGATGGTTGAAATACGTGTTGACAATCACTTAATTTGTCTGCTGATGCTTGGCATACATGCGTGGACGGCTGTTATTGCTCCGCCCTCCGCACAATTGCCACTGCCTTTTCCATTCAACTAACTGGCCCATTATCGGCTCGTGGTTTTCTTACAAGGTCGAGCCACGATCGGAGTAATTATCACGCCTTTTCAAGTATAAGTTTAGGGCATAATGAAGAAGGGCTTGGAGGGGGGGGGGGGGGGGGGGGGTGTGTGTGTTGCCAGTGTAATTGACTATTTAAGCCTCCTCACCATTGTGAATGCGAGACTTTACTCATACTATCTCTTTGTCTTTCATCATACCTTTCTATGCCCTAGAAATTGCTTGAACTCATTATCTCCAACCAAACAGGTCACAAACACAGCGAAAATGCGGTCTGCTTCTTGGGCGCTCACTCTCCTCTTCCCCGTATGGGCAACGGCGGAGAAATGGACTCTCTGGAACTCCCTGACATGCGAGCAGCAGCTCGAGGAATATGACGGTCTCTCATTTTCGCGATTTGCCGTCTACAACGACCACATCGACTGCTTCGACTTCGCGGACAACGTCGTGGCCAACGCAGTCGCCCAGACAAAGGACAGCTTCTGCCAGGTGTACACCAGCACCGGCTGCAATGGCGACGAGGTCCAGCTTTCTTGCACTGCCGACAACCTCTTTGATCCTCAATACTGCTGCACCGACACCACTGAGGGCATCAGGTCAGCCAGATGCTGGGCCCTGTAGATATGGAATGGGGGGAATTATGTGCAAGCTTGGGGGCGACAAGGGGAGGTGGTTCACTTGAGTGCGGGCGTCCTAGACTCCATGATCCTGGATGGTTCATCTACCCCAAGATAGAGCAGACGGGAAAACTGGTAAATACTGTTGAAGGCTTGTTTCAAGTTTCCCCTGGATAGACTACATTCGACGGGTATATACGTACTTGGACACAATTCGCGGTAAAGGCGGAAGCGGTAGCAACGATAAGATGTGACGTCCCAGACCTGTATATATGAAGCTACCCTAAATCCACATTGAGCTCTCTAATCATTTTCTGTCTATCTTGATAATGAGCAAGAATTGTGTACATAACGTATAAAGGTTAGTCTATTGCATTGTGTATGCCACAAAGCCCAAGCTCCTCTAGATCTCTGCACATAACGGATGACCCTCACAAGACCAGATGACTGAGTTCAACAGCATGCCAAGACCACCTTCACACTTCGTCCCACGGCGCGCTATTGGCAAGCGGCTGGTCATTCTCTTCATCGAAAATGTCAAAGCCCAAGTGACGACTCGGATCAAGAAAGCGGACCGGGCCACGCTCAGAAGCCAGCTGGTCTACAGTACGGAAGTCTTGGTCCGAAATTCTCGTCAGGTCGAGGTTTTGCTTCATGTGGGTAAGCTGCACAGACTTCGGCACCGCTGGGATACCCTTTTGCACTGTCCAGGATAAGCAGACCTAGGCATTTTGCCAATCCATTAGTCTCATGCCGAACGTATGGTGTAATAGACGATGCCACCGTACCTGTGCTGGCGAAATCCCGCACCTGGTTGCAATCTCGTTGATCTGCGATCGCGGTTAGACGTTTCTCTCACAAGGTTTCTGCATTTGTGTGCGAAACCAACCTTGTCATCGGCCGTTGGGAATGGCTTGTCAGAGCCCAGAACTACTCCAACCGGACGTCCGCCAAGCGGCTGATGAGCCATGAGAATAATTCCATGCTTAGACGAGAACTCAAACAGCTCTTGCTGCGGAAAGTACCTGTATAGAAGTTCAGGTCAACAACAAAGGAAACATGAATAGCCAGATAGTGAACGCGACTTACGGATGAATCTCGACCTGGTTCACCACGGGGATGATTCTAGCCGTACTCAGAATCCTCTTCGTCTTGAGGATATTGAAATTGGAGAGACCTGTTTTGAAGAAATTAGAATGGCTTTCTGCTATAAAGGTACTGATTAGAGGGCGAACCAATTGAACCCGCGAGCCCCAGATCGACGAGCTTCTCCATGGCCTGCCAGGTTTCTGGGTACCTTCTGGACAGATCATAGTCTATGACTGGCTAAGTCATGTAAGCCTATTGCACTCAATTATTAGTATCGGGTTATTACTTGCCTTTCAGTTGCCGCTGTGATGTCTAATCGTTTCGTTCTGTTCGCCGGCCTTGTAAGCATGAGGGACTTTGCAATGTTAGTAACACTCTTCCTATGACAGGTCCTGGATTGAGAGACGCACAATGCATCAAATACAGATCAACTATCACATCACATGTCAGTCAGAGGCATCTATCTGTTGGAAGAAACTGTCGAGAACTACCATAGTCCAACTGCAAATCTTTCAGTGTCACCTCGAGAGCCCTTTGGACGTCGGAAGGCTTGTGCCATGTTTGTGCGCTGTCGATGGTAATCAGCAAAACGTGGGACTATGAGAAGTGCTGGAGGGTTGTGACAAACAGCTTGGAAGTCACGAAAATCTCATTTCGAGGGATGCCGATCTCCTTGATAGCCTCTCCGATTTCCCTTTCGTTTCCATACGCGCTAGCACCATCGATGTGTCTGTAGCCGAGTTGTAGCGCTGTCTTCACAGCCTCCTTCACCTTCGAGTTGCCCTCATCGCCTTGAAATGTGCCGAGGCCAATGGCAGGGAGACTATGGCCATTGTTGACCGCTCTACTCTACGTAAGAAAATTCTCTGCAATGTCAGATGTTTGGAAAGCTCACTTATTTGCCGCAGGAGATTCGACCTGCATGCTGCGGCACTGTACCCGGACCAAGAGTGGTATCTTCGCTGGTAAGCTCACGGCGCTCATGAACACTTGTAACAGCTCATTGTTTTCTGATTGTATGACAGGGCAATAGACGGAATTAAAAGACTAGTCGAGGCATATTCTTAAGGGTATGCAGCTGGCGGGCAATCTTTCTCACTTTGATAGCCGGGGCCTCGTGTGGCCGAAGTCCTCGCGATTCAAGCGAAAGCTTGTATATCTGCTGGCATAGAGCCACCGCTTGGGACAGTTGGCAGTGTGGGAAGTCTTTTACATGTAACTTCTTTATTTGAACAGAGAATGCATAGTATCCAGTCAAGAATTGATGGCTTGAAGGGCTATCATTACGATGTGAGGTTGAGCTCTCGACCACCAGTAGGTCTACACTTGAACTCGTTCGAACCGCCCACTTTCTTTCATGTGACCAATCATGGCAAATTGGTGAAAGAAATGTATTCAAAGATTGATCACGAGGGTACTACTAGGGGCAACTCTCGTGGCGCAGCCAAAAAGACAAAGCGCTTTGTTTGCAGAACCCTCAAGTTGTACTTATAGAGCAGCCTTCTCTAAGTCAATGACAGCCAAGAAGAGTGTCAGTTACTTCTTGCTCATTGCGGGCAAGAAGTCATTTTACCGAATCGCCGCACAATTATCTAAAGATTGAGATTTCCCACCATCAGCTTCATCGCTCTGAGCCCTGTCCTTTCATAGAAGACTTCGGAGACGCCTGAATCTAGAAGACCATGGATGCTACCAGGGAAGATCCGACAGAAGTACGCGAGAGATATACCAGAAAGTTTCAGTCAATCCAGGTGAACAAGAGAGGCATTAAAGTTGCCCAGTCGATATGGACCTGGATCATCTTGGCCCGCCGTCCACTTACACTCGAAGAGCTGCGCAGCGCTGTCGAGCTTGATCTCAAATCAAAGCTCCTGGACCTGAAGAAAACACTTTCCGAGATATGCGGAGACCTTGTCACCATTCACCCTAAAGACAGAGTCAATGTTAAAAACGAGATAGTTCGCGAAATACTTCTTGATCGAAAGGTCAACTCTGAATTCCCAGTTGATGAGGCACATGGCCACACTCGGATTGCAGTCACTCTACTCAACCTACTCTCTGACAGCACTCTTCGCCGACTTCCAATGAATGCTTCAGTAGATCCAGCATTCATGGCATCTTGCGACTCATCGCTGGTGGATTACGCGGCAACATTCTTCGCGGAACACGTCTCTTATTGCCCAGCAGCAGAGGACAGCGTCATGAAAGGACTGTGCGCATTTCTGGGATTCAACGTCTACTTCTGGCGCGAATATGTTGCGAACAATGGCAATGAAGGTGTCATCACGCAGACCGCACACCGTCTGCGCCACTACGCTGCTCGTCGAGCGGAAGTCATTCCAACAGATGATTCCATCTGTATCGTCAAAGAATGGGCGAACAAGCAAGTCGCATAAATATCTCACCGCACCTGCTCGTAACACCAGCTTCTTTGCAGCAGCTGCCTTCCTGTGTGGTCCTCTTGATCGCTACAGTCCTGGTCATGATAAAGACAGCAACACTCACCTGCTACCCCTTTACCACGTTGATGGGCCAAACGACCTAATCCACGCCACCACCTCCAGCTCTAACAGACCAAGTTCCTGATATTCGCTCCCAAGAGTCTCGTCTCTGGGATCATGCAGCGTCTGTGATGCCTTGCATTGGAGGACGACTGCCAACGTCTCATAGAGTTCCGACGAGCAGTGAAGCACATAGCGAGGCTCACGAGCCATGCGGGGACGCGGGGAAGTGGGCAGAATAGGTGTTCCCGCCCCTCACTCCGGAGAGGAGAAGAACGCCGTTCATTCGGGTCGATGATGCTGCTCACGTGTTAGTCAGTTGGTCGGCATGGAAGTTGGTTATCACTACGATTGGCTTTGCTGTGGGTGTAAAGAATGTTGGACGCGTCTGAAACGAGCCATGCGAAGGCATTGGGCATGACCGAGAACAGTGCCTGAGGGACTGTAGGAAAGCTGTGAGCTGATTGAGCCGTGGTGTTACTGCCCTTCAAGAAGCTTTGCTTAACCCTATGAGCAAACGAGTTGCGGTCATAGTTACCATGACAATGGCCGTTGAGCATGGATTGGCTCTTGGTGACTCTTGTATTATGTACACCGCCATCAATCGAGATTCTTCTACATGGAATGAGCGGGACAGCCTTCCTCCAACTTCTTGTACTGTCAACTCGTCACGAGTGTGCTCACCGCCGAGGGTCCTCCAACACTTAGAGCAAAAATACATTAGCATGGAATGCCATATTGCCTAGGTGTACATCCCTACTCAACCTGACCTGTCAGCCGGTTTATTCCCTGTTGTAGATCCGGTCTTCCGTTTCTCCTCCTTTTATCCCACAGGCTAAAATGGGTCGTCCATGGCTCAAGCCTCCATCCCCCAGATCTCAGCAAATGCCGATCGAGACACTTGACTCCGCACACATACAAGATTCACTAGCTACTGGCTGCGAAATTGTTTTAAGTATGAGGGACTTCATTGCTCTTCCCGTCGGGTTTGATACCCAAATTGAGCGTCCAAAAGAGACAGTCTGTGCAAGTACCTTACACTTAAGAAATGGGAGCCAACATGACGCTTCTACAAGCATCTTCAGCAGACACATCTGCCGGGTGTTGAAGTGATATCCCTGCTGAAGAAAAGGTGTTGGGAGTATTCAAATGCGGAGTCAAACGAAAAGACCTTCCATTGGCCGAAACCGATGAATTCCCAGGAGAGCCATGCAGTTGTGTAGTAATTCATGCACCAGGTGTTGATCGTGAACGTCAATGGCAATATTAGGCTATATGCACTCCCAGGGAGTTCACAGAGCATGGCATCCTACATGTCATCATTAACAGCTGTGTAAAGCATCATAAGCTGCTATAAAAGTCAACCATCTTTTTCTCCATTTCCTGTGAGACTCATATCATGGCCAGACCATCCAGATATCACAGCGAACGCAGAGAATCACAATGCGGTCCATTCTGGTGATTCCAAGCTTCGTAGCAGTACTCAACGCCTTCTCCCTGTTTCCCAAACCCCATGATGACTTCAAGTATCTCATCACCTTTGGAGACAGCTACACCGACAACGGCCGCCTAGGCTACTATGGCTCTCATCAAGCCCACGGACCGCCTCCGGGCGTGATGCCCCCCGAGGCCAACGTCACGGCCAGCGGAGGCCTGCAATGGCCTCAATACGTCGAAGCCAGCACTGGCGCAACCCTCTACGACTACGCCATCGCCGGAGCGACGTGCGACAACAACAACGTGGAACGATGGGCAGCATTCATGAATGCCAACTATCCATCCATCATCACTGATGAGATCCCCTCGTTCAAGGCAGATCGCAAGACGAAGCTGTACAGGGGCGTTACCTCGGCAAACACGGTGTATGCCCTGTGGATAGGGACAAACGACCTGAGCTATACAGGCATCCTCAGCGACTCGCAAGTGAAGGGAACAAACATCACCACATACATCGACTGTCTTTGGAACGTCTTTGACGCGATCCACGCTGCTGGCGGTCGCCGCTTCGTCATCCTCAACAATAATGCTCTGCAGCTTACGGGGCTGTACCGTCCGTTGTCAGACGGAGGAGCGGGCGACAATCAGTTCTGGCAGAACAAGACGCTCTACAACCAGACCGAATACGCCCAGAAGATGCTCGAGTACACGACTTCGTCAAATACAATGATCGACTACGGTGTGCCGTTCCATTTGCTCGTCAAGAATCGCTGGCCGGGATCCAAGGTTGCGGTGTATGACATACACAGCCTCATCATGGACATTTACAACCAGCCCAGCCGCTATTTGGAGCCTCCGCATAATGTCGTGGGCTATTATAAGCATTGTGACGTGAATGGAACAAACTGTTTGTATGGGCCGGGACGCCTCGATTCCTATCTTTGGTAGGTCTTTTCGCTCGGTGTTGTCAAGCGACTGGGAACTGACTCGGCGATAGGTATGATGAGTTGCATCCTTCAAACATAACAGGCAAGTCTCCATATTGTGATACAATATGCAGTTCTAACCTTGGTATAATAGCCTCATATATAGCGCGCGAGTTTCTAAACGTCGTCTCTGGCCGTTCCAAGTATGGCACTTATTGGGAGCACTGGTAGATGAACAACGACAACACATGTAACGAGACAATGACTTTTATTCTAGCTAAAAGCTGAGACATTCTAAATGAATTCTTCTATTTACTCTCTAGAATCCCACTGCTCGCCGTTTCTGTTCCGCTTTCATTATCTTCACTCACTCTTCTGATTCCCCTCAATCCACGGTACACCAGCAGTATTTGCTTTCGACCGTCAATGATCGGATAGAACCCAGCAATCAGCATTGTGCACCAGACCCAAATGATGGCGACAACAATCCAAGCGACAAAGAAGCCTTTGGAGAAGACGTAGTGAGAAGCATACATGGGAAGCGGCCTGCCAGCAAAGCGTGCGTGTTAGCACTATTACAATAGAACATTCAAGTTCTCAAAGATCTCGACTCACCAGAATACCCAATGGCCCAAGAACGTTGCTGCTGCCCAGAAAGCAGCAATCTTCCCCCATTTCCGAAACTTGGCGGCGTCCTCCAAGTAGCCCGACTCAGTTACTGCAGGGGACTTGGAGTCACCAGCAGCTTGAGGATCAGAGGAGCCGCTTGTCCTGCCAAATGCCAGCCGCTCCTTTCGGAAGTCTGCCCAGTCGTAATTGGCCGGCCTAACGAGCGAGATGACGATGGAATAAAGCCCAGGGCTTAGCGCTGATGCCACCGTTCCGTAGACGCAGGGCACGGTTTGTCCGGTTGAAGCCACGGTGACTTCGCCATACAAAGTGTGTGCCGTGCCGAGCCAGACCGAGATGCCCGTGGCCATGCCCAAGAGTGGAGAGATGACGGCGGCAGCTCGAGACTGTCGCTTCCAGAGAATGGTGAAGACGGTAGGGAAGATTCCGGGACATGTCAGGACGCCGAGCATGTACAGCGTCCACCCGAGGTTCACGTTTCCGTAGAAGAGAGCTGTTGAGAATGCCGCGGAAAACAGCCCGAAGAAGACGACGCCTATGTGGCTCCATCGAATGGCGTCTCTGTCTGTTGCCGCCTTGTTAAAGTATTGTCGATAGATGTCAAAGCTGATGATGGAAGAAACCGATATGACCTGAGCACTAATAGTCGATGTAACAGCCATGAAGGTGATCAACAGGACTGCAACAGCTCCTCCCTTGCCCGCAATGGCAAAGGCAGCATAGGGCATGACAAGGCCGTTGGAGACTTCGTCTGAAGTCATCCTTCGGGGGAACGTGGGGAAGCGTGGTGTGTTTTCTAGGCCGAGAGCTGAGAAGCTCATCAGAGTGCCGAGACACCAGGGGATTGCAAAGTAAGCAATGCCGCCGATGATGTATCCGGGGACGACTGCTTGAGGAGCAGCACTAAAGGCTTTTGCGAAGAAGCCAGTGTCCATGATTACGAGACCAAAGTTGGCCAGGATGTGGATTATGCCAAAGAGGATGGCCTAAATCAATGCTTGTTATTAGTCTAGAGATCAGACAAGACGATGGAATGGAAAGTACTGACATTCTTGCTGGTCATTGTCACGTAGGAGCCATCATGGTTGCCAGGCACGGGATGGGCCTTGCCAGCCTGAACAACGAGCTCATAAAGGCCACCCGGAGAGCCAATCTCCGGAACAGTAAAAGTCTTGATCGTGAAGAAGCAGATGATGACCGTGATGACGAACGTGTGGAAGTAGTCGGTCAAGAAGGTTGCCTTGATGCCGCCAACAAAGGTGTAGAGAATGACACCAACGGGAAGCAAAAATGTTGCCGCGATCTCATGCATCCCGGTGCTGTTTGGGTATAAGTTAACACGGATACTCAGACAACTTAGTTACTGTATGACTTACAGCGCTGATATGGCTGCACTTGCTCCGAGGAGCATATTGGCAATGGCAATAATGTTGTTGATCAAGCACAGCGCAATCCACACAACATGTCCCGCAATGCCATATCGTACCCTCACAATCTCGAGCAAGGTGTGAGCCTCCGGTACCCGCAGCTTGCATGCTATGCCCAGCAGGGCAAAGAAGACAATCATGGGAGAGCACCTGACAAAGAGGTATCGTATCAGTTACCAACCAACAACTGAGTAGTACTTGTTATGGCAGAGAGGACTTACCCAGCAGCAAACCAGAACGGTCCCGCAACCCCAAAGTTGTAGCCCACAAGCGTGCTTCCCAGCATGGCCGTGCTCCAGAGCCAGGATGATACCACGGCTGAAGCCGTCAGCCCCGTCCCGACAGAGCGGTTCGCCGTCATGAACATCTCTGTCGTCCTGTTGTCTTCACCAACCGTCTTCTTCAGCAGGTGTGTCGCAAACATCATGATGAATGCAATCAGGAAGCCAATCCCAATGACGACAACATAGCCTGCCACCTGCGGTAGAGGCGGACTGACGGTAGCACCGCCATTGGCTGCCGCTCTCTCAAGGTGAAGCTGAAGCATGGTGGTGTAAGTCAGGATCTATGGAGTTTGTTAACAAACCACCCAGCCAATCCACGAACCACCAAGTCCATCTCTTCAAGTCTTCATCCATCGATTTATAAAATCACTTGTCTTTAGGCTTTCCATCAACTATCTTCTTCACCTCCCATCCCGATAGTCAGCCCTAAGCTGCCGAACCGGGTCAGTTGTAGTGATGCATCATTTAGCTCCGATGACGCGAGAGCTCAATTGCTGGGATCTTCAACCTTAGTCCAGCACGGCAATTCTGCCGATTTGCGACTCCATATCCTACAGATTTCGAGACTGCGGGATCGGAGATGTCAAATTCATCTCACATGCTTATTCCCAGATGCAACTGAGTGAGCTGATTGTGATGAGCTTCGGTTCGTCGTCTCTTAGTGTGAATAGAGAGACATTCTCATCACCCTGGGAATGTCACTGTTGATATTGCGCAATCCGAGCTGCACTTGACGTCGTCTCATGGATAAAGTGCGCAGATGCTACCTCGTCCAATGATGAGTATATGCCACAGCATATAAAGCAACTGTGACTTTGGTTGCTGCAGCGTTACACGAGCGTTATCATATGCAAGTCACCGCCCCGCGTGCTTGGTTCCCGCCCTCTTCGTCAGCAGCTCTCCAAGCATCTTGCGGAATACCATATCAATCGCAGCTCAGTCACCCAAGATGGCATCTACCGATAGTTCGACAGATGGTGTCCCCAAGAAGAAGCTTATTCTCAATGCCTTCGTCGAGTCCTGCAGCGGTCATCAGTCCCCGGGCCTCTGGAGGCACCCGCAGGACCGTTCGGCCAACTTCAACAACATCCAGCACTGGGTGGAGCTGGCTCAGTTGCTAGAGCGGGCTCACTTCCATGGCATATTCATTGCTGATGTGCTGGTAAGACGACTGATGTAGACCTTGAGAAGCCTGGGCTAACACGTTCGTTCACCAGGGCCCTTATGATGTTTACAAAGGACCTCAGAACCCAGATCCGGCCATCATCTCAGGAGCACAGATACCTGTGAACGAGCCGCTGGTTCTCGTTCCGGCAATGGCCGCAGCCACCAAGAACATTGGCTTCGGTGTCACCATTGCCACTACCTATGAGCAGCCCTACCACCTTGCCCGTCGTCTTAGCACAGTCGACCATCTGTCCGGTGGTAGAGTTGGCTGGAACATTGTGACCGGCTATCTCGACTCCGCTGCGAGGAACCTTGGCCTCACAGAGCAGCCCCCTCATGATGAGCGGTATGCCATTGCGGATGAATACGTCGATGCCATCTACAAGCTTTGGTAAGTACAAGCATCCATTCAGATACTGGACGTCGGATGGCTGCTTCAGAATGACTGATTAAGCCTACAGGCAAGGATCATGGAGAGATGATGCTGTAAAGCTCGACGCCGAAAGGGGCATCTTCACAGACCCCTCCCTAGTCAGGCCCATCAACCACAAAGGCAAATACTACACCGTCCCGGGACCCCATATCTGCCAACCATCTCCCCAGCGCACCCCTGTCATCATGCAAGCCGGGACATCCAAAGCCGGCAAAGCATTCTCGGCCAAGAACGCAGAAGCAATCTTTGTAGCTGGTCACAGTCCCTCCGTCATAGCCAAAAACATTGCCGAGATTCGAGCCGCGGCCCGTGACGAGTACGGCCGAGACCCCAGCACCATCAAGTTCTTGGCCATGCTCTGCCCCATCATTGGAAAGACCCAGGAAGAAGCTGAGGCAAAGTATCAGGATTACATCCAATATGGCTCTGAAGATGGTGCTTTGGCGCTGTTTGGAGGCTGGACAGGTATTGATCTCGCCCAGTACGACGACGACCAAGAGCTTCGCCACGTAGAATCCAACGCCATTCGCTCCGCTGTGGAAGCCTGGTCCAAGGCATCGCCGTCAGTCCCCAAATGGACGAAGCGCGCTGTGGCAAAGCACATCCAAGTCGGTGGCCTTGGAGCCACTGTAATTGGAACGCCGGAGAAGGTGGCTGATGAGATGGAGCGGTGGGTCAGAGAAGCCGACGTTGACGGGTTCAACATTGCGTATGCTCTGATGCCGCAGACGTTCCAGGACGTGATTGAACTGCTTCTTCCGGTGCTGAGGCAACGGGGGCTATTCTGGGATGGATATGCCGTTGATGGAGGAACATACCGGGAGAACCTGTACGGGAAGAAGGGGCTGGCGCGGCCACCAGCGGACCATCCGGCTGCTAAATACCATTGGAAGGCAGACTCCAGTTAGGAGCTGTCACACGTGATATATCAAACAAATAATTCAAGTTGTTACAAATGTGTTATGACTTCAATATTGGTGTTATCAACCATATCAAAGTCCGATGAGATAATATCGTCGCTCGCGTTCCACGACATGCACGAGACAGCCACGTCTGTCCATCACCTTCAACATCCTAGCATATACCGATGCAGTGTTTCTGAAATTCGGATTTCTATCAAGCTTGGTAAGCGGATGTTAGACGAGGGTTCCATTGATGAGCTTGCCCTATACCCTGCTTGGGGCAGGTCATCGGGGCCAAGAACGATAAGATCCTACTCGTTTGTCGCTGGTACTCGAGATGGGCTGTTGTAGAGTCTCAGTGCGTTGCTCCATGTACAAGTTCCCAGAAGCAGGTCGCAACTTGGGGCATGGAAGGCAGTATTTACAGCCTTAATTGCTTCAACATACCTATGTAAGCCCAGTATTCAGACAACATATAGAGGCAAATTGCAACAAGCCACTAGAGTAAGTTGCGATCATATTGTGGCTCGCTATTAGACATCAGCAAAAAGGGTGGAATATAATTTCTTGTACCTCTGAAGCAAAATCCATCAAGTGTCTGATAAGCAGCAATGAACTTTTCGTCTTCCCGATTGGCATGATACGCGTGAAAGCACTGATAAAACAAACGTGGCGACATACATCAACCCGCCAATCTTCTATGCAAATAGCAACTCCGCGATAAGGCGTTTCATGCAGCTACATGTATCTATCAGCCAATACAACAAAAAGCTGACATTACAGTCCATGACCTGCATCGTGCCATCACCCAAGTCGATCACGACATCCAAATCGCACGTGATAATCACACGGCTTCTCAAAGACGTGATAATCCTCCCCCTTCTCTGAATCTTCACAAACCCCTCATTGCAGCTCTCTTCAACAAAGATAAACAGCTCCATACTATCTGGTGTATTTCAGCCAATATGGGCGGAGGAAATAAAATCAAGTCGGTGGCGGTCATTGGCGCGGGAGCTGCAGGTAATAAATCAATCAATCAATCGATCAACAGCGGACATAAGCATGAAGCATGACGGTGTCAGAAGGCTGAATTACTAATGCGGGCACACGTATGTAGGAGCGGTAACGGCGGCGGCGCTGAAAGCCGAGGAAGTGTTTGACTATATCCGAGTCTTCGAGAGACGAGAGTCTGCAGGGGGAACATGGTAAGACGGGCTTGAAGTCATTCATATCGTCATATGAAGCACATGGGAAGTCTGGAAGCTCATCATCCGTAACCCAATCTCAGGATATACGATGCAGCGGTTCAGCCCAATATCCTCGTCAGACCTGGGGCCTTGCCGGCCGAGACCGATCCTCCTCTCGAGATCCCCCAGCATCTCCCTGCAATTACTCAGCCCAACGAGCAAGAGAGATTCTCCAAAACACCAATCTACAGCTCACTAACGTGAGTTTCACATGCGACGGACTCAGCCATTGTTCTTGTTATATACTGACAAAAACACAAGTACAAATGTGCCGGAGATTGCCATGTCATTCTCAGACATTCGCTTCCCATATGGCCCATTTGCACCTCACCACATCCCTCGCCAATACATTGAAAACTACTTTGCACTGCACAAGACGGATTCCTTCCTAGTTCTCAACACGACTGTCGAAGATGTTTCCAAGCTCAACCACCCTTCCAATGACGGCTCAACACAGTGGAAGCTGACCCTCCGGAAACACGATGCCCTTCGTAACGTCGACATCTGGTGGGAGGAGACATTTGATGCCCTGATCCTGGCAAATGGCCACTACTCTGTGCCGACTGTAAGTTTGTCACACATTTCGGCCTACAGTCCACAAAGACTGTGCTTACTCGCGCCCAGATACCCCAAGTCAAGGGCCTGGAGGAATACATCCAAAAGTATCCCGGCCGCATAATCCACTCCAAAACATATAGATCGCCCAGCATCTACAAGAACAATCGAGTGCTCATCATCGGCAACTCAGCATCCGGAACAGATCTCAGCCGTGAGCTCGTTTCAACAGCCCAGCTCCCCGTCTACCAATCAAGGAGATCCAAAATCTGGTGGGAGGGAGACTCGCCCCCAGCAGGCATCGAATGGAAGCCCGTGATATCAGAATATCTCCCCAACAACGGCAGGATCCTCTTTGAAGACGGCACATACCTGGACGACATCGACACAGTCATCTACTGCACTGGTTACAAGCCATCCTATCCGTTTTGGAACGCAAAGAAGAACGGCCAGCCTCTCTGGGACGACAGAAAAGGACAGCTGGTGAAAAGCTATTGGCACACATTCTTCCAAGAGTACTCAAACCTCGGAATCGTGGGCTTGCCCCGCGTCTTGACATTCCGAAGCTTCGAGTATCAAGCCATTGCTCTCGCCCGCCTATTTGCAAACCGCAACCCAGTCCCTCTACCTCCGGTATCAGAGCAGCAAGCCTGGGCAGACGCAAGAGAAGAGCTTACACGAAGAGAGCATCGCAAGTTCCACGACATTTCATGGGACGATGGCGAAACGCGCGAATGGCTGCAAGGCTTCCTCAAGCTGTCTGGGCTGGGGACCCTGACTGGCCAAGGAAGGATCCCACCGCCGCTGACAAAGGAGATGATCTGGGCTATTGAGAACCTCAAGAAATACAAACCAGGGGGTGATGATGGCAGGAAGGACGCGGACGGCCAACGAGCAGACAACCATGGCTGGGTTGTTGTTGAGAGTAGAAAGCGGGATGTTCTCGGTTTCATCTGAAAGACACGGGCAATTTTCTTCAAGGCACTAATGTCTGTATTATTCGCTTCAATCTATCTGATATTCAGGGCAAAACCTCTTCGCTAGAAAGCATCCTCTTGAAACCCAACCGTGTCCATTTACCGCTAATTGCTGTTCTAAACGCCTTCATCGATATCAGTGTCCGCGGAATTGCCAGAGTCTTCTAGAACAAGCAAATGTACGCGTCGCGCAATTTCCTTCTTCGCCAACTCATCCTGAACATGGTAGGTTTCGAATCCGTAACGGTAGACCAAGCTCTCGAGTATACTCATGTCCGCAACTGAGAAATACGTGGCCAACGCCCGAATGACAGACTTCCTCATGTAGTTGCTGGGCGCCGGAAATGGTTGCTCTTGATAGTACCGGGCCCAAACACGGGACCAGTTCTCGCGTCTCAGGTCCTTGATGCGGATGAGGGCAATGAGGAAGTGAAAGTAGAGGAACTTTGCGTCAGGCCGGTTCTCGCCCAAGAACGAAAGCTCCCTGCCGTCTATATCCTTGCCGTACTCCCACCCCATGCTGTCCTGGGTCATGGATCGGGGGTCATTCTCGTCGGGGCATATGACGTCCAGTCTCCATCGCGTAATCGTGCCATCGAAGCAACGGCTGGCCGGTACAATGACAAACCTGTACTCCTTCAGCCAGCGGTGGAAGCCCGGCCGCAGCAGCAATGTGTTGGCAGGCGACTGTACCGACGTGATGCCGGACCTAAAGACAAGCTCCGCCAGCTTGTTCGCATCCATGCCAAAGGGGACAATCTCCGTTGGCTTCGGAGGCTTTGGATACCACGTCCCGGTAATGTGACACCAGCCCTGGTCTTTGCCTCTCCCGTAACACCGCGGGTCGGCAGAATAGTACTCGAGCACTTCCAATTCCCAGAAAAATGGTCGCTTTCGACTCTCCTGGCCCTCGTTCTCCGTATACAGCGCCACCATCTTCTTCCTGATGCCTATCGTTTCACCGGATTGCCTATCCAGAGACGGATCCTCAGTTTGAAGCCTTTGCTGCAAGTTGCGCCAGAGATCGCCCCCAGCCAGGGCAAAGCGCCAAATCTGCGAAGCCAGAACCGACTCCATGTTCTTCTGCGACGTCAGTCCGGCAGCCAGTTCCCGTAGGATGAGCTGGCGCTCCAGCAGGATCTCCTCCTGCCGGGTTCTCGCCAGATCGATGCCAAGCATCGCCTGAAGGTACTTGTACTGCAGGCCTTCGTCTTTGTGTTCCTCGGATTCGTAGTTGCTCTCTGCGTACAGCTCTCCCAGATGACACTCGAGTCCTCTCATGATGGTGCGGACTCGGCTTATTCGCTCCAGCAAGACATCCCGGGGAGCCGTTCGGGCAGTCGGGGGATAGGCGGCCGGCTGTCCCTCAGAGGAGTCTCTCGCATCCGTGTCCTCCATCGCTGCCGCCGGTGCCGCGTGCGTGCGTAGAGAGTCCGGATTTGCGTTCGTAGAGACCGTACCGTGTAGCGGTAGCCTGGTCTGATCTTTCTCGGTTTGAGTCCTCGGAAATGGACTAGATGGAGGGAGTTTTTATAGGTGTTCAGGGCAGTGCTGTTTGTGTTTGCTCTTCCCCTCTGAGGCACTGAGCAGAGTTTACGAGCCGGGCTGAGAAGGAAAGAGAAATGCAAGAGATAGAAGGGAACAACCGGCTCCCTCTTTATACCGCAAGGACAAGGCACCAGCCTTATGGACTGCATAGGTAGAGGTGCAATTCAACGTACCTACCTATCCAACTTGGTAGGGTCAACAATGGCGGTTCAGATAACAGTCATACGCAACCCTTCGAGTCAGCAGCGGAGGCGAGATCGCTACGGGCAGAAGCCGCGAAGCATAAATACAAGGCTCAACAAGGTTCAAGCCAGATCGTCTTAGTTGTGTAGGTACCTAGGTAGTCTAAGTCAAGCCTCCAAACAACAAACCATGCCGAGAAGGGAGACCTCGCTTAGCCCATCTGATATGGCTGAGAGCAAACTCGGTTCGAAGGGTTGTCACCTCTGGACTGGGTTTCTGCAACTGGCAACCATACTACGGATTCATTCTCGCTATACAAGAGAGTAATTGAGACCCTTGTAGACACAGAGAGAGGAGTCTTGATTTCTGCAAGTCGTAAAAAGTCAACATAAAAGACTCAGGTAACGCATCGATTGTCCGGCCCAAACTGTTGTGACGGCAGTTAAGTCCTCTGTTGCGGAGGCTGTACACTTTATCATCCAACCGAAGCTGCCGTAGCATTGCCATGTTCCACCGCTTCTATAGTTGACTCTTGCCCGTTCGTTGCTCTTTCTAGAAGAGTGGCTGCACCTCAGATAAGTATGTCAGTGTAGTAGGGAATCCGGTGGCTACCGGTATCAGTGTCACGACGCTCGCCCAGATCTGTCCACCAGCTCACAGATGAGCACCATTACTAGCTGGGATGCTCAGATGCCCCTGGGTCAGACCACCTGCAGGTGAAGCTCTGATTGCCTCATGATGTTTCAAGATCATCGATGTCGCACAAACATACATAAGTGATTGGTGAGGTGCGTTTCACCTCGTTCGAGTCAAATGTCTACATGCTCTTTTATTACACATGGTAGCTCTCATACAACTGGGGTCTGTTATGAACAAGCTGCTACATTTATAGAGAATCCCAGAAGCCGAAGGTGAGTATCGTTCTTGCCGGGTTCATCATCATCGAGTTGCGATGGCTCAATTGCTCTGGTACAAACACATGCATCTCCGCCTAGGTCACGGTACTTTACTGTTACCTGAGTAACCATGGATCTATGCTTCGCTTTCCGTGTGTATTCATACATGCATGATAAATTTGGAAACTTTTCAAAGCTCTGCAGCTTCTCATACCCGAGACAGGACTCACTCTGCTCCCAAAACAAGTCACTAGAAAACCCCGAATGTCGAGTCTGAAGAATATAGAGAGAGAAGATGTCCTCAAAATCTCCAGCTTCTCATAATATTGGCTTCTCTTTTCCGCTCATTTTGCTACAATAATTTGACTGATGCAATCAATGCTGTGAACCGTCCATCCTGTTTGGTTGCAGTTATTTCCGTTGAGACCAGCCATGTGCTTACACCCAGCCCACACGGCCCACCAACCTCCAACCTCAGTCATCTTCAGAAAGACAGACTCACCTTGCATCCCTCGACATCTCCAGCCCCTTTCCACCGCCAACGCGTCTCTTACTCATACTCTCATCATTTCACCTCTGATTTCACCTTCTCATGCCTGATAACGCGTCACCCTTCCATCATCGTCGCGTCTCTCTCACTTCCTTCCACTCACAATGAGACGCTCAGCATCTCTCTCCATCATCATCATCTCAGCACTCGCCGCTCAATGTGCACGCATAGTCCAATCAAATGACGACGGCTGGGCCGAATCATACATCCGCTCATTCAACGACGCGTTAATCGCCGCCGGCCACGACGTCGTCCTTTCCGCTCCAGCAGAAGACCAGTCAGGAACCGGTAATCCCCCCCTTGTCCCTCATCTCCCTCTCTCTCTCACACACACACCGCCATATATATAGGTCATTGACAAGTGATAAACGCCAGGTTCAAGTGATGCACCACCAACTCCGCGAACTGAAGCCTGCCACTACAACTCCTGCATCGGCAACGGCAGCTTAACAGGCCACAACGCCTCTCGCCCCGACCTCAACTGGGTCAATTCCTTCCCCGTCACCTCCATGAAATACGGCATCACCACCTTTGGCCCCCAATTATGGAACGGCTCATCTCCAGAACTCGCCGTCTCCGGAATCAACGTCGGCACAAACGTCTTCGTCCAGCTCCCCTTCTCAGGAACCGTCAACGCCGCGACATTCGCCGCCCGCGCCGGCATCCCCTCCATCGCCTTCTCCGCCGCATCTGTCGGTCGAGTCCCCTTCGACATCGACCCAACGCCTCTTCGTAGCATCCTCTACGGCCAACTCGCCACCCAACTGACCAACAAGATCCTCTCATCCGGAACCCCTTACCTCCCGCCAGACGTCTTCCTCAACGTCAACTTTCCCAAAGTCGAGGGCAGCTGCACCGACCTCTCCAGCTTCAAGTGGGTTCTCAGCCGCATCAACCCCGGCATCATCTCGCCCCCGGACGTCGGCCACTGTGGCGGCAATCGCCTGCCTACCGAGCTGACCGTCATCACGCACGCCGGATGCTTCATCTCCGTCAGCGTTGGCAACGCTCAGGACAAGAGGACTGCGCCCAATAGCAAGCAGGCCGTAGTGCTGAAGAAGTTGCGTGACATGCTCACCTGTCTCCCAACGCAACACATCCAAAGTCAAAAGGTTTTGCAGTAACGTCTCTTCACCCATATTGAACATATCCACCTGATTATCAGAGCAAAATGTATATGCATACGTAATATAATCGGCACATCGAAGTTACGGGAGAAAACGTTCTGAATAGGGCTGGGTCCGTTCGATTTATATTATGTAAAGGGGTTGTGTACCGGTACTCACTTTTCGTGATTGACAATATCCCTTTGTTGAGCAAGGCGTCACTATTTCATGAAGCCATCGTCCTCCGATCTGTAACCGAAAGCATATGCTAGCCTCGCCAGTGTATCCCAAGTCGGTCAGCAACAGCGCCCCGATCGTCCAAAACAACCCAATGCAGCTTCTTCCAGTCGTCTTCTCCCATGCATACATGCTCTGGTTCATCATACACTATTTCGTGATCGCGCAGCCAAGGGGGCACCAATCTTGCATCGCATCTGTGACAGATTGGCACCTTGGTGAGCAGGAAAGTCCTCAGAGACCAGAATGCACCACTGGTAGTAGCCCACGGACGCGGCGCGGTACCGATATTCGGCGAGTCAAGTTTGGCACCGTTCGTCAGTAGCAACCTCACTATAGCCTCGTGTCCCATCCCGGCAGCCCACGAGAGCGCCGTACTGCCAGAATAGTCCTGGCGGTCGACATCGGTACGGCTCCATAGTGACGGCGTCACAATATCGTTCCGAGATAATAGCTTACGGCGAGATTTGGCTGACATTTTGGAAGCTGTACGGCTCCTGAAATGTTGTCGTCTTGCAGCAGTTATGCGCCTCATACTGGCAGCACGGCGTCCTAAACGATCATCCTGGTGGGTATTGGCATGCGTCAATAACTGCTTCACGATGGCCTCGTGTCCGTTCTGAGAAGCCCACGAAAGAGGTGTGCGTCCAGAGTCGTCCAAATAGTCTGGGTTTACTCCGGCCGATAGTAAGGTGCCAACCGTGACGGCAAAGCCTCCCCGGGCAGCGGCTAGTAAGATCTCACCATGCCTGTGTTCCAGATGTTCTTGTGCAGGCCGTGAAGAAGCCTGGCCATTCGTCATGAACGCAACGGCATCATCGAGCCGATGTTCCTTCAATAGGGGATGGACGTGTTGCATTTCAGCTCTTCCCAGGGCATAATCCCAACAGTCATCGATGTGATGTCGCATATGGCAGAGAGCATAACATGCCAGCGGCCTCTGGTCCAGGTACTGCGCTTCGTATTCCACAAACTCTAGGATTCCGCTTGGTGTATCCGAGAAAGTTCTTTCGGACGCGCTGGCTGCACAGATCATAAGGTACCGGATGCATGCTAAAGCCAAGCAGAGACTTGCATGCGCCTTTTCAATGTGGAAGTGGGATCTCGCTGCAACCCCAGTAGCGTCGAGAAAAAACTCGCGGACTGTCTGGTGTATGACTTGAACTGTCCTTTTCCCTGTAAACCATCAATCATCATCTTCGCGAGTGAAAGAGATTGGTTCATACCGTCTTGCTGCTTAATCTCCAGAAAGTTACCCCCACAGGAGATGATCAATCTCTCAGATGTCGGGACACGTCTTTCCAAGGACCTATCAGAGAGGTCCAGTGCCGCATCGGGCTCAGGGTCATTAGGAACGCCCAAACAATGGAGCAGTTCGTCTACCGTAAGAGGTCGTCTCGCAAAAAGCACAAACCGGAGCATTTTCAGGCCATGCGACAGACACGGCTTGTTTGCTCGCATTTTGTCGAGCATTCGGGCGTAGACGTCCTCCAGTTCTGTAGGAATCTGCTTCAGTAGTTCGAAGATTTCCTGTTCAGAGAATCCGTCCTCATGGAACCTTATCAGCTCTTCTCCGACCAGCTTGACCCAGAGGAACACGCCGTGGGCATTACAAAGTATGTAACTGATCATTTGCGCAAGGAGATCTGTCAGCTCAAGGCCTTCAAGCAATGAATTGGCAAACCTGAAGATGTCCGAAGATGTCTCATCTTGTAGTTTGATGAAGTTGAGACATTTGTGTTGGCGAGTTTCTAGCTGTGCCACCGGTCGACTTGCAATAAAGATCTTGACAACACTGTACTTCATTTTGGAGCACATGTCGTCAAATAGGTTCAAAATGTTTCGTCTGTCTCCTTCTTCGGATTCGTCCACCGCATCAATCACAAGGTAGAACTTGTTGGATGTCAGGTAGCTCTGTAATGATCTTAAAACTTTCTTCAACGACTCGTACTCCCAAACTATGTCACGGCCGCCTCGCCTCTGGAGGCGATACTCAACTTGGCATTGGTGGTAGAAAAAGGCCTCGTCCTGATGCACGATGTCGTGGAGGAGGGAGGAAAGCATATTGAAGTGACATCTTTGAAGCTCGCCATCTCGAAAGCTATAAAAGAACTTTGCCACGATAGCTCCCTTGGCGGCCGGCTCCCTCATTTGAAGGTTGCGGTCAAAGTACTTGGTAAGAGTACTTTTGCCACTGCCGGGTTTCCCCTGGATGTAGAGAAGCCGTGAGGTTCCTGAAAGTGACCAACTCTCATACTCGCTGTGTGTCCAGATCCAGTCAAAGGAGCCCTCATGCTCTGTTGAGATCTTTCCATAACGTGTGTTCTCGAAGTGGAGGCTGGCCAAACACTCTGCATCCAAGACCGTCAGTTGGGTTCAGAACAAGATTCAGGTCAGATTGCAAGCGAACCTTTCCGCTCTTTATCGTGCTCAATCTGTAGGATCCGTGGGAAGTATTCCGAAAGTTTGAATGGTGTTTGGCCTGTAAGTAACACCTTGATGTTGTGGTTCTGTCGCTGAAGATGATTCAGAATCACACTGACGTGACGAAGAATTAAATCAGATTGGGCTGTCGTATCCAGTCCGTCAAGGACAATTAGGGAAGGCGGTTGCTCTGCGTCATTCAGAGTCGCTCTGAAAGAGTCCAGGAGGTCATTCGTCGCCATGTTGTTCAGAAGTTCTCGCAAGCCTTTGAAGGATCCCTTTCGGCAAAAATCCCCCACCTGGCTTACAATAACTTTGTCCTGAACTGTTTTCTGTAGCAGCTCATTCATAAACTTGCGGGTGATGAGTGCTCTCTTAGAAATCGGCAACAAATCCGCGATTTGCTTGAAGAACGTGAAAATGAGGGCAGCTGACAGGCCGGCGTCTTTATGTCCAATCGATTGGCTCGTAACATGATCGCTTTTGATGATGTTTGAACATAGGAAGTATAACACAAGGCGATCGGACTTCTTTTCTTCCTCAATGAGGCATGATGAGGCCCGAGATACTTCGAGATTTGGAGAGCCCGAGAGGGAGAGGACTGGGGGGCCATCAGTGGTTCTCCAAGATTGGTAGTCCACGTTTCTGAACACCCAGGCAAATGAAGGGTCGTCTGGCTCAAGCTTAGGTATTTCAGACAACTGTTGATCTTGCTCAAGCGCCGGCAGAAGCTGAAGCAGTTGTCCTAATTCCATTTGATCAACTGCAGACCGCAACATGTTCTGTGCACAGATATGAATCAGCGCTGGGGTCTCCCCTCTTCTCAACTTACACTTACATATGCAGCAGGAGGTTCAAGGGCGGCTGGCACAACCACTTCAGCAGCAGGAATAACCGACAGGATCTCCTTGGCGTAAGCAGCAGCTGTTACCGCCGCATAGGGTTGCCACTTCTTGTTCTTGTGTGAGTCGGCATAATCGCAAATGCCCCGGATCACAAGGCAGGGGAGGTTATCCATAAGACCTGCCGCCTCCATCTCAAAGCAAAGTATGCCCTTTTCTTTCCGGAGCCTGTCTCGGGTCAAGGCGTGCCTCATGACTTGATTTGCTGAGCCAATGAGTCCATAATGGATGACAGGGTCTCTGTCCTGACGAGGCTGTCGAGCCAGAAGAGCTCCCCTATCGCAGCGTTCGCATGTTGATTCGCCTTCAACATGTTCATAGTCGGCTCGGAATAGCTGGTCGTGCTCCGAACCAGGGTGGTCAAAAAGCCCACGCATCCTTCCATTGAACCGTAGCATGGTACTTGTATGTGTCGGGATCTGACTTTCTTCCCTCCGATGGCGTGCTCGCAGTGTTGATACGCTGGTCCTCAATGCCACCGAGGCTTTATTTAGAGAGCCTGTTTGGACAAATCTGCCCTGGCTCATGGTTTTACCAAAGTCATATTGTAAGACACCACCTACAAAGTTAATCACGAACCCAGAGCACCGAAGATTGATCATCCCTTACCAGAGTCAACAGTCGGGCAGCTAACCACCACGTCCCCAAGCCGAATATCCTCTCGCGGATCATCGTTGGGCATTCCCGGAGCTCCCCCTCCTATGCCCACCATCAAAGCAAAGGAGATGCTCGGAAAACTGCGCATCATGTTGGTCGCTGCCGTCGCCGCGGCATTCGTTCCTGTTGATCCCGCCGGGAGGCATGCCATTACAACATCATGCGCTCCCATTCGCCCCAGGGTGTAGGTATTGGGATCACCCAGAACATGAGACAAGGTCGAAAACTCCTCATCAAGCATAGCTACGGATGCAGCCAACTCCACCTCCAATGCGCATATCCAGCCCACGGCAAAAGCATCGTTCGTCAAGTTGCAGCAGCGAGGGTGAGCTTTAGGAGTCGCCTCCGCGGCTTCTTTCCCCGATGGGCCGTCGAGACAGATGCGCTTCGTAGTTGACTGCTCGGCTGCTGTTGCTGGGCGTTTCCTCTCATGCATTGTCAAGGTGGGTGAATCGATTATGAAGCGAGTAAAGACCAGTCGGTGTGAAAAGCAGGCTGTGTTTGATGAGAGACTCATGTGATAGTGCATACAACACAAAGAGGTGAAGCACTGTAGAAAACCCATTCATCGAAAATTAGGCACCCTGGGCAGGATTTCCGTGTCTCATGCGGCTGTGAACCCCTCCTGCAACAAATGCCACAATGATTGGACAACGCTCACTCAGCCGCAGATTTGACGCGGTCCCTTGGCCTTTTGATTGGCAAACCACAAGCACAGCCTGTCGGTAACAAGCTGCACATGGCAGGTTGATTTGCGTGGCTTGGTCACTTGGATTCCCTTGTCGATTGTTTCTTGGTCAAACAGTCCGGCTGGCTTCGCCTTGTTTTCATTCACTATATGCTCTCCTATTTAGGACCAGTCTTACCGGTGGGGATGCTGAACAGGACGACTCTGGGTCCCTTCAATCCAGCCTCGCCCTCGGCCCAGTCGTTCATACCCTTGTCCACTCTGTAGAATCCTCTTCGCTCGAGCTGGATGATGTCGTCCTTCTTCAGCTCGCCGACACCGGCCTCGCAGACGGCATCCTCCATGCTGGCCGTGTTGGGGTTCAGATAATCCTCAAAGTTGTCCTCCTCCTCGAGCTTGTCCTTGGTAATGAGGTAGTCAAACTCCCACAGCTCAGCGGGGACCAGCTTGAAGCCCTCGGCAGACAGCCAGGTGATCTTCTTCTCGGTCTTCTTGAAGTCTCCCTTCAGGTTGAGCTCGAGCTTGAAGCTGGTGATCGGGTCATCCGATGTGGAAATTTCCCGAACAAAGGCATTGCCCCAGCCCATCAAGGTGATCTCCTCATCCGCCTTGAAGCTCTTGGCATCGGCCTGGTCGATGTAAAGGCTAGGCGAGAAGATGACCTTCTTCGTACCAACGCTGGCGTTCTTCGGGTGCTTTGGTCGTTCCTCGGTAGCAACGGCGGCGGGAGCCTCCGGTCCCGTGACGGCAGCCTTGGCCAGGTCCTTGCGCAGGAGAGCTGTGAATCGGGGAGCGATCGGGTCAATGACCTTCTTGTTGTTGGCCCAGAATGTGGTCCAGTCCATGTTGACCACGTTGCGGCTGGGACCCTGCCTGATGATAAAGTCACGCAGGGCTTCAATGGTCATTCCTCGTCGTCGAATGCCGCGGATAGTAGGCATGCGGGGGTCGTCCCAGCCCCAAACCAATCCAGCGTCAACCAGCTTCGCCAGCTTACGCTTGGACAGGAACGTCCTGACAAAGTTGATTCTGGAGAAGTCCCACATATGAACCTGGCGCAGTTGCAGGGTGTCGAGGAACCATTGATATTGAGGGTTTCGGTCGGTGTACTCGGTGGATCTCAAAGCATGGGTGACTCCCTCGTAGCTGTCAACCACGGGGCACGCAAAGTCGTACATGGGGTACATCTTCCACTTGGACCCGGTGCGGTGGTGAACGTTCTCGATGTTGCATCGGTAGATGACGGGATCGCGCATGGCCTTGTTGGGGTTGTCGAAAGAGATCTTGGCACGAATGCAGTGTGCCAGACCTTCCTCGGAGGCCTTCTTCATCTCCTCAAAGATTCGCAGGTTCTCCTCGACGGTTCGGTCACGGCGCTTGGAAGGAATGCCGTCCATTCTCTGGCTGCGCATAGTCTCCTGGTCGGTGTCGTCGGCATATGCCTGGCCCATGGAGATCAACTTCTTGCACATATCGTACAGGTAGTCAAAGTAGTCAGAGGTGTAAGTCAAGCTGTCGGGCTTGATGCCCATAAGGGCGAGATCCTCAACGATGGCGTCCTGGAACTCTTCCTTCTCCTTGGCAGGGTTGGTGTCGTCGAGTCGCAGGCGCATCTGGCCCTTGTAGGCGACATGGCCGAAGTAGTCGCTGAGCAGGGCAGCCTTGGCGTGTCCGATGTGAAGGTAGCCACTAGAGAAGAGTTAGCACGATGTTGTTTATTAACGGCATCAAGCATAATGGGTATATATCATACGAAGGCTCGGGCAGGAATCGAGTAACGACGCCTTTGTCGGTGTCCTGAAGGGCGAGGTTGTAGTTGGCACCGCCCTTGGTGGCCTTGACAGCAGCATCGGCCTTGGGGCTCTCCTGGATCTCGGGATGCGACTGCTCAATGAAGGTGAACCATCGGGTCAGGTTGGGCAGACCATTCTTGCGGATGAAGCCAATGGCGACCTTGTTGGCCCGCAGAGTCTGCCAGATCTTGGTCTCGAGCTCTCCAAGAGCGTAGCCCTCGAGGTACGACCGCAGGGTCAGGTGCTTGTCCAGGTCCCTCAGGAAGGGCTCAATGGTGCGGAAGTCACCGGCCAGCTTGCCGGAGATGGCTTCGAGCTCCTCGTGCTTCATTTTGTCGGCTGAGTGGTGACACAAACTGTGATGAAGACGCAAGAAGCAAGACAAGCTCTATCGTGACTCGAACGACGATTTTCGGCGCTTTGGTGGTGGGGGGGGGGAATGGCGGGGCTTTGCTTCTAAGCAGGACGAGGGGCCAGTCGTGCCATATATTTCGTTATCGATAAGACTGCCCTGCTGAATTTTTAGCCTGATTTCCGAGGCATGGGGCAGCAGAATATTGGCGAGCGTCGAGTCGAGGTTCTGGCGCAAACCCCGATATCACATCTTCGAGGTCGATACCCGGCAGCAAACATGGCACCAATTGACCGGTGTCTGGCCTCCGTGGCCAGGCTGACGCTCTCACAACCCTCAATACGGCCGGCGGCGCCGCTGATACCCCGATTCCTTGCGCCGGCGCTGATACAGTCTCGACAAGCCTCAGTGGTGCGGACAAAGAAGGTGAAGAAGAAGGCTGTGCCAAAGGACTTTAAGCGACACAACCTGGAGAAGAGGGAATTTCCACAGTTTACACTATGCGATGCTATGCGGTATGACCTGCGAAAGCTGCGACAAGAAGCCAATGCTCAGAGTTGCTGACGAGATGATAAGGGTTCTCCGAGCCGTGGAAGTCGGCCAGCCTCCGGCTTCGATCAAGTATGAAATCCACATCAACCTCAAGACTGCGCGAAACGGCCCCGTCATCAAGAACAGCATCCGACTGCCGCATCCCGTACAGAGCGACTGGCAAATCGCCGTTATATGTCCCGAGGGCAGCGACATCGCGACTGCTGCCACCGCCGCCGGCGCCGTGGCTGTGGGAGAGGAGACCCTGTTCGAGGCTATTCGCCAGGAAAAGATTGACTTTGACCGTCTGATCTGCCACGAAAACAGCGAAAAGGCGCTCAACAAGGCCGGCTTGGGAAAGATCTTGGGTCCCAAGGGCCTCATGCCGAGCAAGAGGATGAAGACGATTGTAAGCGATGTGGTCAAGTCCATTCGCGACTCGGCGGGCGCTGCGGACTATCGAGAGAGGCAGGGTGTCATTCGCATGGCCATTGGACAGCTTGGCTACACGCCCGACCAGCTCAAGGCCAACATCCAGGCGCTGTTGAAGAAGGTCAAGTCGGAATGCGCTGAGATTTCTGAAGAGGTCTCCAAAGAAGTGCACGAGGTCATCTTGAGCACGACCAACGGCCCTGCGCTGAGTTTGAACGGCAGGCTGAATGATCCGGAGAGCGGAGTGACGGTCGAGGCGTTGTCAGGTGTCATGTAAACCAGTAACGACATGTATAAAGTGTACAATATCCAAAACATTGCATAAAATAGAACGCTCGATAGCAAGGTCTCGTTGTGGGTATCATTAGGTATGTGGTTTGTCTCATTACGTATCAGCCATCACCTGCCTCGAAGAGCCTTGACAGCATCGCTCTGTGCATCGAGAACTCGGTAGACGCCAAGATAGCCCAGAACTCGGCTCTGGCCAGCCATTCCCGCAGCACGCGCTTCTTTCAAGGCGTTGCTCAAGTCTAGTAAAAGCGTGTTCCGGCATTTGGTCAGTCGCGCCCTCAGCTTGGCAACGAATGCGTGGGTTTCGTCCAGCTTGCTGATTAGTGCCCCAAGTTGACTACACTCGCGAGCCGAAGCCAGCAATTTGGAGGGAGGGCTTCCTATCAAGCCTTCTACAGCCTCCGCTTCTAGCTCTTCATCGTCGTCGCTGTCGTCCTCCCACTCTGCAGCTTCCTTCTTTGGTAGGCTGTCCAACGCCAGGGTCTCCTCTAGAGTAGATAGCCGTTCCGAAAGCTCGAGCATTGTCCTTCCCTGCTCAATCTCTGAACGCACGTCTCGCAGCTCATTCGTAAGCGATTCTGCGTCTCTTCTGCGTTCGGAGACCTTTTCCTTTACTTCTTCCACGGCTCTGCGAAACCCAAGAAGAGAGACCTTGACATCCTCCACCTTTTCGTCACCCCCTCGCAGTTCGGACCCCAATGACAAGAAGGCTGTATAGTTCGAGTTGACGAGCTCCAGAAGCTCGTTGCTGATGGTCGCCGTTCGCTCGCGCAGGTCGGACCGCAGATCCTCTAGTGTCTGGTGACGATGGGGGAGGGCTGATAGATATTCGGCGGGCTCAAAGTCGGGTGCGAGGAAGTCGGACCGCGGGAGGGCTTCGGGGAATGGCAGGGGAGCATCGTCCTCGGTGTCTGAAGAGTCGGACGGGAGATTGAAGGTTGATCCGCCTTGTCGGCCAGGGCGAGACGGCAGCGAGAGGGGAAGAGCAGCCATGGGGGCAATGGAGTAGCAATTGGTAGACAGCAGGTTGAAGAGTCAGTAAATGAAGCAATTGCCTGAAGGAGGCGTGTCGACAGCTGCAATGCTGTCCTCAGCAATGGTGGACTATGGTGGACAATGGACATGTCGCGAATGGAGCTCATTGACGATGACAAGGGTCGTAGAATCGCATTGTTGAATAGCCCCACTACATGCATATAACGGTCACAGTTCATCAAGGTGCCTACGATGAGCTCTCCAATAGAGAAACGTCTTTATCACGATTGACACCCAAAGCGACTCAAATGTGCTCAATACATACCAAGCTCTTTTTGCAGTACCTTGCCTTGCGACCAGCGATGTCGGTCGGATCCAGTATTTATGATGTTCCCTCGCTCGGAGGTCGAGCTGCTCCGCCATGAGCTCGGCAAGCGAAAGCCAACGGGTGGCCATTGATCTTCACGAATCGCTCCATCAGGGCAAGAGAGTGGGCGCAGATCTGTCAAGCGAGCTCCTGCAGAGTCGCTATTTATGCTGACCAGAGCCCGAATACGAAAGTCGATGGGCGTGAGTCTTCTTCTCGCCTTGTTGTGCTGCTGGTACAACGAGGGCAGACACAGACACCGTTACTCGACTAGGTATTGAGGTATTCTGTACTTGCCAAGCACCTCACATGCAGCACTGACACGGTCGAGACCCAGGTTGACACTGGGTAGAGGCAACCATTGCTATCGATAGCCCCGAACCCTGAATCCAAAGCGAGACCAAAGTTGGCAACGCTGGATCAGACAAGCCGCGCAAATAACGCAATAATCCCACACTTTTCTCGGTCACAGAGCTTGCCAAGATGGAGAAAACGATGACTCGTGGTGGAGCTCCCACAGGTTGCAGCGGCATGATTGGCTGGCGTGAGACAAGTGGGGAGCGCCGAGTTTGGATGGCGCGTCAAATTTTTATCAATCAAATCTTATCAATCGATCAAGCCCACCTGCAAGTCTCCTGGAATCGGACCATGTCCTCGTTATAAGAGGCAGGCCGGGTACGCTCGGGTCACGAAAAAGAGACTTTGCAATCCCCTCTGCCCCCGCTTCCATCTCTGCTTCTGCATCTCGCCATCTCATCATCTCAAACATCTCTCATCTATACAAAGCAGCCCTGCAAAAGGCACAGCCTTGAATCCCCATCTGCTGCTCTCGCCTTTATTGGCCGGTTTGCTCGGTGTAAAGCCAACGAACCAACCCCCCCAAGAGCAGTCCGGATCCCGCTGCTTGCAGGCCGCACAAGTCCACAAAATTCGGTCACCACATCTCGGACATTTTTCATTCTACCTTTGTCCTGCACTTCGGAAATTTTCCTTTATTCCACTGCAACTACATTATCGCACCGGGGAAACCCCCAGCGACAGACGGCGAATAGCGACCCAAAGGCCGTGAGCGAGTGAACCTGTGGTGCATAAAGCGCCCCAGTTTTCCCTTCTCGGGCTTCCGAGCTGCCGCCGACAGCGAATCAGCGATCGCCCCCGAGCCGAACCCACCTGGACTCGCACCACCATGGCGAGCCTTTCTCCAACGTCACCTCCTCACCTCTCCCGATCCCTTGAAGCCTCATCCGCCGGCAGCGACAAATCACATCGTGCCGTCAAGACCGAACACCCTCCGCCCGAGGCTCCTCCAGCCGCGCCCAAACGAGCGCCGCTTCCCTCGCAGCCAAAGTCGGCGGCCGCGCCACAGGCCCCGTTTGTCCGCATCTCACTGCCGCCCGTCAACAAAATGTCCATGACGGCGGTCATCAGCCCGAGCCCGCAGACGGAGCAGCCGCAGCCAAAGATGTCCATGACATCCAAGGAGTGGGTGATCCCGCCGCGGCCCAAGCCGGGGAGGAAGCCGGCCACTGACACGCCGCCCACAAAGCGCAAGGCGCAGAACCGAGCAGCCCAGAGGGCGTTCCGCGAGAGGCGGGCGGCCCGGGTTGGCGAGCTTGAGGAGATGCTGGATGAGCATAAGAAGGCACAGGACTCGCGGGAGAAGGAGTTGACGGACCAGATTCGCAACCTGGAGCTGGACGTACAGTCGTTTAGGTCCAGATGCCTGCTGCTGGAGAGCATGCTGGAGCGGGAGCGACAGGAGCGCATTCGCGCTGAGATGCAAGCAGAGACGCTCAGCCGCAGATATGAACAAGCCAACTTTCGGTCAGAGAGCCTGGGCTCACTGCCGCCGCCTTACGGTCGGCAGCATCAACAACAACAGCACCAACCTCAGCAAAGGCACAGTCTGTCGGACAGTCGAATGGGTCAGCAGCAAAACACGACACGCCACTTCTCCATCTCTCAGATCGTCACGCCGCCTGAGATCTCCGACATGCAGTCTCCCCACGACCCATCCGAATCCCATCTTACCTGCGGTAGCTGCTCACCAAATGGACGGTGTGCCTGTGCTGAGGAAGTCCTTGCATCCGTAGCCAGTGGCTGCGGCAAGTGTGGATTTGGAACAGCCTGCCAGTGCATGGACGACAGCGGCAAGATGACTGGCCAAGGCCCCGAGTTGAAGCGCCCTCTGTCGCCATCGGGAGGAGCCTCTCAAGAGAAGCGCCAGCGGCCAATGGCAGCGGCCAGCAACGAAACAGACTTCACTTCCCTATTCTCGCGGACGACGACGCAGCAGCCGCCGCTACCTCAGCCCAGCTCCATCATCTCGCAGCTCCCATCAGCAGATACCCTCCCATTCAGAGACAGTTGCGGGTTCTGCAAGGACGGGACCTATTGCGTGTGTGCCGACGCCGCCATGGCAACTCCCGCCATGACACCGGCGGATGCCTCACCTCCAGTGACGAGACAGACCAGGACACCCCCTCCCCTGGACTCTGACGTCGTCACGCCACTGCCGCCCATGGCCATGGAGATGACGGCTGACGGCGCAGTCAAGCTTCCACGCCGCAAGCCAGCGCGCTCCCAACCGCAGCCGCAGGCAGACAGCACGGCCGCCCGCGGGAGCTGCGGGCCCAACGGCCCCGGCACCTGCGCCCAGTGCCAGGCCGACCCCAAGTCGGGCCTCTTCTGCAGGCTGATGGTGGCCAGCTTCAACCGCGAGCAGGGCGGCGCCAGCGCTGGCGGGGGCTGCTGCGGCGGCAAGGGTGCCGGCGGCGGCTGTTGCAAGTCGAAGCCCAGCCAGGAGAAGATTACGCTGCCCAGCCTGCCCAGCCTCGGCCTTAGCTGCGCCGACGCGTACCAGACGCTGTCCAGCCACAGCAACTTTGAGCAGGCGGCCGACGAGATTGGGTCCTGGCTGCCGAAGCTCAAGGCGCATCCGACGAGTGACCCGCGGGCGGCGCAGGCGGGCAGGATACCGATTGAGGTGGAGGCAGCGAGTATTATGAGCGTCTTGAAGGAGTTTGATGTTCGATTTGGGAGGGAGTGTTAGATATCATTTTCGCTTATTGTGATTCGAGTCGCCCAAGGAGTTTAAAAGGCTCAGTGTAATAAATCACTTCGTCCTTGGCAAGTTACTGCTACGTCTTTTACGTCTTTGTGCTGTGCGTGAAGCTTCATGTGTTATATTTACCTTATAAGTACCTAGGAATGATATCTAAAAGGAACCATGGCACCACCAGATCGTGTGTCATTACCCCCTTGCTGGCCGAGTCCATAGTACCAACAACAAATAATATTAAGGGTAGGCTGTATCACACTCTAGATTCCAGCAGAAGCATCACCTCCACGACAGTCAGACAAAGACCTGGATCAAAGAGTCAACATCACCTCGCCCTGTAATGACTATTATGATGGCACACACACACACGAAAGAAATTAGATGGGCCGGCTTTCCCATGCTATTCGTCACAAACATAAGCAAAAGGACTTGAAGCACCTATTCCCAAACCCCAGATCTTCCCCTCCACTCCTTCACCGAAACAACATGCAGTCAACCCGTCCACACTTACATCTGCACACACACACACACACACACACACACACACACACACACACACACACACACACACACACTTTGCTTTTACTAATTCACGCAGTCCCTCCTCAAGACACGGTAGATGTGGAGCAACATGCATGATTAACCAAAACTGGCTTCTCTTCACATCCCATCTCTCCCGTGATATTACGGGCTCTCTTGACTCTTCTGGTGTCATTCTCTTCACAGCCCAGCCTCGCCCAACACAAGGTCGAGTCACCAGCGTGAGCTCATCAACTTCTCACGTCAGTATGCCGTATCATTGGCTAAACGATCGGGAAGACATGCATAATGCTTCGTACGAGTTACATGCCTGGAATAGGGCGACGCCTGCTGCTGATTCACCAGCGAAGCAGTGAATGAGAAGAGAAAGCAACCCACCAGCGCGTTTGTCACCGGCCGTCTTACGAAGCAGTCATTGGTGTTTGGTCCTGTCTATGCTGCTTCTCTGCTCGTTTGCCCAAAGGTAGATACTCGCACCTGGTTGGCCACAAGTAAATGAATCTACCTCGTTAGGCTGACTTCTGCTATCAAACCTGCAAACGCAACAAGCCGAGTGAAAATTACGCCCGTTGATACCTTGCGTAATGGTAGGCCGCCCAATGCCATGATATGAACACTTCCCTGCTTGTTTTGTCTTCTCCTTTGGTTCTTCTTAAACGATCAACCCCAAGGCCCAAAAGCTGCATGTGTTCAGAACCCCATGCTCATGCTTCTTGACGGATCTCGTCTGTACTCGTATGGAGACCTGCTGCACGCCGACCAAGGCCTACGACAAAACAATGTCATCAGAACCCTCCACACACACACCGAGCGTGCCTAGCGCGCTGGAGACGGACACGCGAGTGTGTGCGGACGCGAGCGAGCGGCCAGGCCGCGTCCTCAAGGCGTATCTGCTCCAGAATGCCCCAGAGTATCGGGTGCTCGATGCCTTGCGGCAAAAGGTACGTTTACCTACTTCTCATGTCTGCTGACTCGCGCGCGCGCGAGTGCTGCTCCCAACCGCCAGAAACTCCCGTCGTTGCCAGCCAGGGTATCGCAGGAGATCACATCACTTGTATATACGGGATTTTTGAAGTACTATGTAGTAGTTGCAACCTGGCTCACTGTCCATGTCACACGTTAGGGTTGGGAGAACAAAGCCGGAGACGTCTTCTTCGCGAAACAGAGACAGCAAGCGGACCACGCAGATGAGAAAACCGTCCACTTCTTCTATAAGATGATGAAGGGCATTGCCAGCGATATGAACCGAGCCACCGGCGCGCTCCGAGTGCACGTAAAATGGCCCGGCAGGGCGCAGATCCTAGACTTCTGCGCAGCTCCGGGTGGGTTCCTCGAAACGGCCATGGCCATGAATGCTCGAGCCGAAGCAATGGGGTTCAGTCTGCCACCCACCCAAGGCGGGCATAAGATCATGATGCCGCTGGGCCCGGTCGTGACGTTCAAATACGCGGACGTCACCATGTTTGCGGGAGACATGGGCTTCACGGATATTCCTCGAGATCACCCAGAGGCTGAGAGCTTCGACCTGGTGCCCAACATCCAAGGCGAGCGGCGCTTCCATCTCGTCTTCTGCGACGGGCAGGTCTTGAGAACCCACGTTCGGGCTGCCTATCGGGAGCAGTGGGAGGCGCGGCGCCTGTCAGCTACACAGCTCGCCATTGGGCTCGAACACGTCTCGCTGGGCGGCACCATGGTGGTCCTCTTACACAAGCTGGATGCCGTCGACACCGTGCGCCTAATCTACACGTTTAGCAGGTTCTCTACCATCCAGCTCTTCAAGCCCACAAGAGCACATGCCAAGAGGTCTTCCTTCTATATGATTGCCACCAACATCCAGAGCACCTCGCCGCTCGCACGCGAAGCTGTGGATTCCTGGAAGCAGATGTGGCGGGTCATGACCTTTGGCTCTGATGAAGAACGGGTGAAGAAAGCATGGGAGGATCACATGGACGAGCAGGTGCTGGTGGAGCAGTTTGGGCCCCAGGTCGTAAGGCTCGGAAGGGATATCTGGGATATTCAGGCCAGAGCTCTCGAAAAGGCGCCGTTCATGCAGGCCGGCCAGAATGGGCATCGAAAGACCGGTTGAGGGGACCACTCGTTGGGCAGTAGCTGTAGTATGCACAGGTATCCGTAGCAGCACGAAGCACTCCGCAGTACGAACAAATACATGCAATAAGCCGCAGAGAAGCAAACAGGCATCATGGCAGCATGGCCATCCCGCCAGCCAGCTCCAGTACGAGGTCTAATGGCGCAAGGTAATAGCATCATCGGCTTTGTGGCGTCCCGCGAAGAAGCAGAAGCCTTGTTCTTCCCGTCCTCCGTCGTACACTAGCAGCGTTGTTGAGGTCAAGCCCCGTCCCGTTCCAGCTCGTCCGTGAAGCCGCCTGGAACGGGAATGGAAGTTGCCGAGGCTGGCTAGATTCGCCTGCGGTGCGTTGTCAACGACGTCCCCCGTTGCGACATGGTCAGCGCCCTGTCCAGCCAGACAGAGCAGAGCCTCGGAAGCCTTTGGCAGCCGCTAGTTACACCGCTTGAGCAGCCGGACAGTCGAACGATCGAGTGGCCGTCATTGGAGGAGCGCCGGACGAGAGGGATCGATAAGAAGGTCAGGCAAGATGAGCAGAGAGACGTGGGTTTGGTTCGATTTGTTGCTGGTTGCAGCACGGAGGAGATGCAGCAGGCAAAGGATCCCGGGAAGCTGCAGAAGAGCTGCTTGAGGTGCAGGTGATGAATCATGTGATGTGCGAGCTGCTGAAGAAGTCGGAAGCAGTCACAGCCGGGAAGGTACGGAGTACGGACGACATGCACCCACTGCAATCCTTCCGGGCCATGTACTACAAGCAACGTGTACCAGCTACATGTACCAGAGTATCTGCTAAGGTACCTTACCTACTCACCACCTCGCAGGTCCCTGTGCTAGCCGTACGGAGCTGCCTTGAAGATATTATCATCTCGTGCTTCATCTAAGCTTTCTTAGACTCCCGGAGGGCAGAAGCGGCAAATGAATGGTGGGAGATGACATTCGATTACGATATCACGAAGCACATATGCAGCCCAAAGTCGAAGCTCAGATGCAGAAGCTGTGGAGCATCTGGTTGCAGAAATGCCCTCGACGAGAGGTTAGGCGAGGCCCGCCGCAAATCCCACCACTCAAGCCCGAAATGCTTCGCCTCGCTGACTGGGACGGGCTTCCGTAGGGCATGGCATGGCAGAGGTCAGGCTTAAGGCAGAGGCAAGGCAGGGTAAGGTGTTGTTCGCGACACACTCACGGCGGTTGCATGTCAGGCGACGCGGCGCATGACGGAAGAGATGCCCCCAAACAAGCGAACTGCTTGCAGACGGCATCTGGCCATTGGCTGACAAGCGGTGGCCCACCAGATCGTGATTATGAAGCAGGACGGGGGAAGCAGGACGGACGACGACGGAGAAGAGGAGGAAGAGACGCAGACGCAGACGCAGAAGCAGAAGCAGAAGCAGAAGCAGAGGCGGAAGCGGAAGCAAGAGAGGAGCTCAAGGCAAAAGGGAAACGCGTCCGATGGCAATGGCAGAGAGGCGGTTGGACAGAGCGGCAAGCCTACGGCACAGTATACAAGGGCCAGACAACGGGACATGCTTTTTTGGTGCTACTGCTGGTGCCGGTGCTTAGGTTGCTGGGAGGCAAAGGGGAGCCGTTGGGATGCATGGCGGCATGGTGGTGTCGGGCGCGGCGCCTGATTGGGCCCTTGTGCGTGAGCTGGCATCCATCTCCTGCTGCCGCATGGCGTGGACGACGCAGATTGGGCGAGCCCTGGGGCCGTTTCGTGGTGGACATGGATTGGCCGGTGGATGCGATTGCGTCCGGATGGGGTTGAGCAGATGCCAATGCAATGCACTGCCAACTCATCGAGCCTCCGACCACTGGCGACGGGGAGGCGACCAGACAACCGCGCGGGCTCAGACGCACCACGACGCACCGCGACGCACCAGGCGGGCACCCTCGTCGTCTTCCCTGGCCTCGTTCCCTCTCTGCTCGCTCGCTTCTTTCCTGTGCTTGGCCGAGCCCACTTGCGCGCGCGCGCACAGTCTGGCTCCCACGCTTCCCGTACGGCTGCATGCCATGTATGTACGTGTGGACGCATGCGTGTGTCTGTGCAGAGCGGGAAAGCTTGAGGGTGAGGGTGAGGGTGAGGGTGAGGGTGCTTGAGGACGAGTGTGAGGTTGAGAGTGTGGCCCAACCCGAGGCCTCTCCCGTTGTTGTTGTTGTTGTTGTTGACAAGAGGGGGAGCAGACGAGCTGTTCATTGTTGTAGTAGCACCGCGAGGGCTCTCGAGACAGGCATCTCTCTCATGCTTGGCCATTTGCCTCTGCCTGTCATGGCAGTCATACGAGCGCGCGTGTGCAACCTCGCCGCATGTCTTGCCCCGTACGAGTAGCACTCAGGCAGACATGTACGAGTACCTCCGTGGACGCAAGGTATGTACCTATGATGATGCTGCTGCTGCCATGAGCCATCCTAATGTAAGCCCGCCGGTGTGGGAGAGTAAGTATATCATGCTCCACGCTGTTTGTGTAATTTGTATCGCATCTCGAAGCAACCGCCACTCCTCCCTCCTCTCAGCCAGGAGACCAAGTGTCTCTCACGCTGCCTACCTTACCCGTACACTGCCGTGTCTGCTGTGAATGCCCTTCCCTTGTGTAGCGCCAGCCGTCAAAGCCAATCCTCGCCCGCGCCAGCACAGAGAAGCGATCGTATCATATCAAATCGTTGCCACTGCGCTAGACCACGACAAGTCCGACATCTGTCTTGAGTCAACCCCGATACTTTGCGGTACTTGCCGATATCTTTGCTCGCTGTCCGTCGCCTCTGTACATCCTACGAGGCACGTCACTTGTTGCGAAAACGCAGCAGCATCGTCATCAGCAGAGCACGAGGCCTTTCACCGACGTTGCGCTGCGACACGTTGACCATTCGCCGCCCGTTGTCGTCTCGTCGTCAGCCCTATTCGCCCTGCCTTACCGCCTGCTCTGCACACCGTCACTTGCACCGAGCAAAACCTGAAGATGGCCACGTCCAGTCCGGACCAGCCCGACGTGTAATAATAGGTACTACTACTATTAGACACCATCTCAGCCGGGATACGTACGGTACTTGTGAATATACGAGTGCCAGCACGCACTTGCAAGTACCTACATACCTTTCTGCTTGCTGTCAGGGACAGACAGGCAGCTGTCACCAGCACAGCAGCACCTGGAACATCGGTCTCATCCAACTCATCCGCGCACAAGCGACGACATCCATCGACATACGCAGACGGGACAACCACCGCATCAGACTCCACCGCGAGCCGCCGAACCCTCGCGATCCAGCTCCTTTGAATTCAATCTCAATCCATCCATCCTACCTAGGTATACTAGCAGTACCAACCTACCTAGGTAGTGCTTGGAGTAGTATTATTGCCTTACCTTGAATTAGGTAGATACAACCTACCTACTCAACCTAAAGCTGCACCTACTCCTGCTACTGCTACCAACCTCGACCCCAGCAGCCCCCCCCAGCTGCAGTGCCGTGCTATCGGTGGGGCCCTAGCCCGGGAGCAGCGCTAAAAAGCTCCAGGCCTGTGCTGCTGTTTTTTCGCTACCCCACGCCTGGCTCCAGCGCCTCCGTCTGCTCCAATTGTCTGAGGTGGTGCCTTACAGCTTCCACGCTTCCAGTCGGGTTCACCTCTGGCTGCACTCTCTTCTGCTCGGCTCTCTCTCCCTTGGCAGCTCGCCTCCAGCCTTCTCTCCTGCATCCGCTCTGAGCTTCGTCCTGGTAATAATAGCAGTGTTATTATTAGCTCGTCTCAGCCGTGCCTCCCGTGGCCTGCATCGGATCGCAACAGGCGCTGGCTGTGCGCCAGAGTCGACTCTCGTCATCGTCCAGCCGTCTTTGCTTTGCGTCTTGTCCGCAGGTACCTACTATCGGGATTGGATCGATACCTTCAAGTCGAGGCGAAACCTCCGCACTTCGAACCCCTCCAAAACTCTGCCGCCGAGCTCTTTTGCCTGCCTCCCAACCAAACCCGCCACCCTCGACCTCTGCTTTTCACCTTTGCAACAATCTCCCACCGACCGCCGCCGGGCTTTTACTCGCCAACTCGAGAAGCTGTCTCCGTACCGTCACCTCTCTCCGTTTGATCCTCTCTCGCCTGCTCGCTCCATCGCCCTCGAACACGACAAGAGAACAGCGCTGAAGCAGCGGCGGCCGCACAGCTAGCCCGCCTACCTAGGTTATTGTCTGTCGAGCCACAGTCACAACGGCCTTTGGAGCCTCGTCTACCCGCTCGCATATTCTCCCAGGGAACAAGAATGATCCCCATGCAACGCTCTCTCTCATCGCCAGACTGTGTTGACTCCTCCCCACGTACGTTGCCGCCGTCCTCCCAGGCCCAGACCTCCTCCCGGACGTTTGACATTGCACCCGAGTACTGATGGTTTATACCACTGGTCCAGCCGTGTCACCCACGGTTGCGCACGAATCGAGATCCTCCACGCCGTCACCGGACAAGAACAACGGCGGCGCCAACACCAATAGCAGCAGCAACGGCAACAGCGTGGATGCTCAGCGGCCAAAGCGGTACGGCTCGCGAACGCCCAGCCCGACGCCCACCCGCTCCTCCGACATCCCCCAGACCCTGGCCTTGCGCCTGAGTGATGATGTCCCTCGCCGCGGACGTCATCCCCGCCATCAGTCTCCCATGGCCTCGCGAAAAGCCATTGTGGCTCAGCCCAACCTGCCAAACTCGAGCAGCGCCAGGCACGGCCCCAGCTACCGCCCCCTGACTCCCACGAGCTCGTCAAACGAGACGCTGCCGGGCTCAAAGTTCACCAAGAAGCCCCTGCTGCAAGATGCGTCCTTGTACACGAATACCCACCTGGTGCGGGACAGTGACAACACCACGCTCGAGGAGCTTGCCCACGTTGTGCGCCTCTCCAAGTACCAGGAGCGCAAGCGCGCCAACACTCGCATCCGCCTGCAGCGAAGCCTCATCTCCACCGCATTGAGCGCCCGCTTGACGCGCTGCGGCGAGATGGCGCACCGCTACCTTGTCGAGAGCTTCCGAAAGGACGACAAGGACAACTTTGCCGCTCTGTACAATGCCATCCACGACGTGCGCAAGAGCTGCGATGAGCTTAGGCGATATGCCCTTTTGGAGCCCGAGCTCGAGTCCATGTCTTCTGGTGCCCTTGGCTCGTCTGATAGCCTGGACACTCCCACTAACTCAACAGTTGGCGTCGCTGATTCGCTCAAGTCCATCACCCCGTTTCTGCATGACATCTCCGCCTCGGCCCGGGAGACGTTCATCGAGTTCCTGACACAGATTCGAACCAATCCGGACTACCTGGCCACTCGCATATGTGCCCTCTCGAGCTCTGAGCTGAATGTCTTTTTGAATTTCCACAAGGGTCTGGAGCCGGTTGAGTCGGTTCTCCCATTTCCCACGCGAAACCCCAACCGGCCTCATGCAAGTGCCTCGGGCCGTAGTACCTCCAACACCGACATCGAGAGGCTCCTCTCTTTCCAGAGACATGATCCGCTGTCGATCCTGATTCATGCCTGCTTTGCCAACTCGGCTGGCCCCGATAGCTCCGAGGATCAAAGGCGAACCGACATCTGGGCGACAGTCCTGGCCAAGCTCATCGCCGAGCCCAAGTCTGCCGGCGAGCACTTTTTGATCTGCGTGCTAAACATCTGGACAGCTATGCGCGACTGGTCTGGCAAGTCCAGCATGGAGTGGTACCTCATGAAGATACTTGAGGACGGCGCTTTCCTGCTTGATCGCGCAGAGGATCAGCACGGCACGCGATTCAACCTCTCGGATTGGAACCAGTCGGATGAGCTTGCGGCCAAGGATTTCTACGATCGCGCCGTCAACGGGCTGTTCGAGCTGGTTGACGACGAAGATGCAACCGGTATCCCGGAGGGCCTTCTCGAGCTCGGAAATGCCATCTTGAGCAAGCTCGAGAACAAGTTTGTGGAGAATACCTCCAAGTGGCTTGTCTGGAGATGTCTCTTCTTTGTCTTCCTGCTCGGCGTCATTATCCACCCCGAGTACTATGGCATGCTGGCTGAGTATCACATCACCCCCTACGCCAGGGAGAAGATTCTGAAAAAGGTTGCCATGAAGGCCCATGAATACGTTTCAAGCATGTGGAGCGGGAAGCCTTCGGCCACCTGCGTCCCCGTGAACATCCCGCCCAAGATCAAAGGCCACGTGGAGAACATCCTCGCCAGGTTCCAGGGGACCCGGTCCAAGATTCCGGCCGCCAAGCTCCTCCCGGCGAGGTCCATCACCTCCCTGCGGGAGACGGTCGAGGTCCGCCCCTACCTGGTCATCAGCCCTGCCGATCTGGCAACGCTGGTCAACGCTCTCTTCCCGGAGAAGCGGCCCCACTCGGCACGTTCCGGCCCAGCCTCCATCTCCGGGCTGTCGGCCATTTCCCAGCCCATCTCCATGTCCAACCACCACAAGAACAGCTTCGACACGGCCTCCATCATCAGCACCAGCGCCTCGTCCATCCTCAGCGACGCCACCACGTCTCGCGACTTCATGTACGACCTCAACACCGCGACCCCGCGCTACTCCCCTCCTGCAGAGGACCCCGAGGAGCAGCGGCGCCTGAGCAAGTACGAGGACGACGGCTACCGTCTCAGGCTCGCCATCCACGAGATGCAGCAGAACCTTGGCTCGGATGTCGTCCGTGGATCAAGCCACCCATGTGCCGAGAGGTGGGTTGTCCTCTTCATTTCCCCCGATGGAAAGAGCCTCTCGACGCAGATGACCTACGATCCCGACGATGAGCTCGAGGATGAGGAGAACTCGTCCAGCACAGACACCGACGAGGATGAGACGCCGCAACGCCCTGAGCTGGACAAGGATTACCATCAGCTGCGCAACTCCGTTCTCAAGCTGGTGGAGGACTATGAAATCCCTCGCAGCCTAGAGCCCGAGCGTGGACGGGCACAGCTCAGCAATCGCGCCTCGGGCCTGCGAAAGTACACGTCGAGGAACAGAATCATCCAGCCAGAGAAGACGGTTGCCAGCCGAAACCCGTACCGGAAGCAAATGGGCGTTGACGGCACAATCTCCACCACCGACCTGACGCCAAAGGAGCCCGAGGAGTCCGAGCCTGTCCTCATCACGATGCTGAAGGCGGCTTCGTCCCAGTCAAAGGCGCAGGCCGACTTCGTCTCCGCCCACATGTACTGGAAGACGCTGAACCAGCTGACCGCGCTGGCTTCGAGCTCTCTCCGGCAGGACGGCTTCGCCGCTCTGATCAACATCTTAGCTAGGGGCCCCCGCGACGCCATCCGCCGCTCTGCGTCGGCCATTGAAGAGTACGACGCCTGGCTCGTCTGGCTGAAGCAGAGCCAAGAGCGGCACGAAGGACTCATCGACACCATGATGAAACGCGTCAATGCCATCCGCGACAAGATGTGGTATGTGACCGACGTCCGCAATTCCAAGGAATATGCGCACAGCCGTGACATCTGTCAGGCTCTCAAGACCATGGGTATGCCGCGTCGTTGGAGCTCGTTTCAGCGCTCAAGGGCTCACAACAACCGCGGTCCTAGTTCCTCCTACCTCTACCGCACCGAATCGCAGATTATGGACCTCTTGGCCGCTTCGGAGGAGCAAGGCGGGCCGAACAAGCTTAGCGATGATCAGGCAGAAATGACCTCCATGTGGCTGCACCAGTACGGCATCGAGAATTTTTGCCAGGGAGAGGAGAGGATCCACCGCTTCTGCTGCGAGGTGGACCGATGCATCTCCAAGCTCGTCGGAGAAACCCTTCGCGAGGCGCCAGTGCTATGGTCCAGCGAGCTGTATAAGCGAGACAAGCTGGTCCATGACCGCAGCAAGGCACGAGACCGTGACCACTCATGGGGCGGCGATGACTCGACGAGTATCATCAGCGAACAGGACAGGCGCCATACGTCATCGTCGTCCGGGCGATCCAGCTCGTTTGCGCGCGATCTGAGATCCATGACGAGCAACAACACCAGCCACCACTCTCTGGACTCTTCGAGGCACGGCCATTCGAGGACTCATGGCATGCTGGCCGACATTCCCGATGCGCCCGAATACTTTGACAAGGCGTCGCCCGTCGATTCGTCAGGCACGTTCTGGTCGCCGTTCCAGCCAGCCATGTCTACCAGCTCGGCTCCATCACGATACTCGCCCACCACCAGTCTGACCAACGTGTCGACTACCTTTTCGGCCCCTCAGCATCACACGATTCCATCAATCACGAGCGTCTCTACTGGCCGACCAAGCACGGCGGCGTCGTCCAATGACACGATCCAGCAGCATCGCAACGACGATGAAAAGACGCGGTTCTTGAACGAGCTCAAGCAGACACTCACCAGCTTGCTGCTCTCCGACCTGGGCAATCAAGTTCTAGCACGGGGCTCGGAGACGGATGGCTGGTTCCAGAAGCTCGGGCAGCAATGCATTGACAGAAAGGACGCTCTCGAGAGACGAGCTCGCCGCAAGTCCGACAAAAAGTCGATGCAGAAGCCGGGACTGGCTAGGCCGAGGGGGCTGGAGAAGAAGAGGAGCTTTGGAAATCTCCGGAACGCGGGCGACAGCACTGCGGAGAGGATGTCGGAGCCCACCGACAACACGCCTGTTGCTTCTCCAGAGACTCCCACGGCTACTATCGATCCGCCGCCAGCGCCCAAAGAAACGTCCAACGAGTTTCCTTTCAAGAAGGCTTACCAGCGTCTTCTCAACATGTTCTGTGTGCATCCCAACCCTTATGCCAAGCTGAATGCTCTGAACGAGCTGGAGCAGCTCATCATCGCATCAATGATGTCGAGCGGTCCCAAGAGGGGCCGATGGAACAGATCTGATGCAGGCTCCAGCATCGTGGAAGACCACAGCTCCAGCAGTCGCCCGACCCCGTTGGAAGGCATGATTGACAATGTCAAGGAGCGCCGATTGCAAGCTCTTCAGTCTGGCCTCCCGACGACTGGGTTTTCCTTTACGTCCCGAGGCTCCAACTCGGAGACACGGTCCATTGTATCCGGGGGTGCTTCCAACTCGGACCTCATCACCAAAGAGCTGTACACTCTGTTCCGAGATGCGTCGATTCGACCAAAGTCACTTTTCCGTGACCTGCAGTTCATTGCTGCCTTTGTCCCTGCCTCTGTTCTCGATAGGCCGGAGAAGGGCAAGGCATTCTGGAACACAGGGCTCGCAGCCCTCAAGCTGAAATCGGAGGTGTGCCGAACCATGGTGGAGATGGCAGACGAGGTGGTTGCGGCGCATTCGCATGCGCGCCAGTCTTCCACGGACAATGCCACTCCCCTCGACACGCCTCAGTCAACGACTGGTACTCCCCCGCCCCCATCCACTACCTATGGACTGAAAGATGTTGGCAAGATGTGGACCATTACCGCTAAAGAAGGCTATCCCACGGCGCAGCGCGAGCTGGCCTTGTTCTACCTCTCTAACCCGGAATCCGTTGAAAGGACAACGCTTCCCTTGTCCAAGCCAAGAGAGGTGTTTAAGCAGACCGTCATGGAGAAGTATGGCCGCACCAGAGGCGGCCTCGGCGGCTCCGGCTCCGGCGGTCTCGGCAGCGTAGGTGTCTCTTCGAGAGGGTCGGGCGCCGGCAATGGCGGCTCTGGTGATGGGCAGCTCTCTGGTGGCAACGAAGGTGATGTGAGAACTGATCCAGGTCTGATGTGCGTCGCCGTCCACTGGATGGAAGCGGCAGAGCAGGGCGGCGACGAGCTTGCTTCGAGCTTCCTGCGACAGAACGAGTTTATGGGGCTTGGTTGATTTGAGGGGGAGTAACCCCACGGTGACCGTATTCGGTGGCCAAGCCGGCGCGCGAAAGTCTTTGCTCGGCCATCGTTTCCTGATGATTTTGACGTTTCTTCTTCCTTTTCTTCATCTTCATCTTCATTCTCGGCGGTTGCACTCTTGCGTAGGCGACAGCAATGCATCCTTCAACGGGGCATCCTTACCACACTCTCTTTGTCGCCTCTTATCAAGCTGACCTTGACGCATCATGACACGAAAACCTGAAACCGGCAACACGAGTATGAGTCCACGACATGGTATGATGGCATCATAACGATCTTGAGCCTTTCTTTTTATCCTTTCTTTCTTCTACATTCAGAGGACGACTTGCATTCTGGATCATGTACCAAGCGACAAAAAAAGATGATACCTTTTCTTTACCCTCCTTCATCTTGGTTCCACCGCGGCCGGTATAGAACATGAGGGAATAGCGGGCCAGCTGGCTGGCTCCTCTGATTTTATGATACCATCAATGACGGGCGCGAAAAACACGGGCTTTGGTTCACTTTATACCATTTATATCACATTTTTAAATCATGTGCAACGCCTGCCTTTCAGTACTTTAGATAGACGGACACCCACGATCTTTTGGCTTTTGCTTTCTTGTTTTTGTTTTTCTGCTTTGGTTCCGAGTGTGTGAGGAGGGAGGACGTTGGGCTTGGGCTTGGAGACGCGAGGTCAGTTGTGGCGGAGGATATACCACGAGTTGACCCTCCCCCCCCCAAAAAAATCCTGGACAGCACGTTATGTAGCTTTTGCACTGGCTTTTAGAAGAGGGGACGAGAAATGCACTGAAAATGAGGATGATTAGATGCACGAGTGTCCATTCTCTGGTCCTGCATGTGTCCCAACTAATCATTGATGCTCAAAGGTCTCCGAGCTGAGATGTTGAATTGTTTGCTTTGATGCATACCGGGGTTAGGTGCATGAGGCGCAGGCTCCAATGGGGCAATTGGCCAATCAGCGACGGCGTGTGGTGGATACTGGAGCTGGGCGGCAGGCAGCAGGCGGCAGGATCCCGATTCAGCTGGCAGGGGGGGGACCTGGGGGGGCTGCTGCGGGAGGCGTCCAAGGGCCTGGAGGGCCTGAAGAGAGCCTGAAGAGAGCCTGGAGAGCCAGAAGGGCCAGACGGGATATATAAACAAACAGGTCCATTGCATTCATTCATCCAGTCCTCTCCTCTTCTCTTTTTTTTTCTATCATCGTTCAGTTATTCTCTCTCTTCTCTGCTCATCATCATCATCACCATCATCATCATCACCATCATCTTCTTCTTCTTCTCCTTCAACACCCATCACTCTCAGTTCCACTTTGCTTGGCTCAACAGCTGTTGTCTGCCTCTCCATTCACTCAGCCCTACCAGTCTCACCACCTACTTGTATACCTACCTATCGATGTACCCTCCTCCTACCCTCTACGGCTGAGGCACCCACGGCAACAGCTTCACCTTCATCTCCCCTCAAACCACCCAGATCCCTCTCCATATCTACATATACTTCTTCTCTTCCAATCGCACCTACAGGGGCACCATGTCTTTGTCTCCCGGTGAAATCACCCAGACCTGCGGTCTCGTCAAGATCCCTCCGGAGATTCTCGACAGAATAACAAGGCATCTCACCACGACCGAGTACTGCAAGCTCCGCCTGACGAGCAAGGCCGTCGAACATGCTCTCTTCTCCAAGTTCGCGTCCGAGTTCTTCACGCGGAAGCAGTTCATGGTCTCGGAGTTCAGCCTCAAGGCCCTCAGGGACATCTCCAAGAGCCGTCTCGCGGGATGCTTGCGCCAAGTACACTTGGGTCTCGATGAGGTCGAGCCGATGGCCATGTATGCGTCAAGGGGGGTGGCGGCAATGAAGTCCCTCCGCTTGCTCCAGCTGCGCTTGGCCGAGCAGGAGACGCTCTGGACGCTGGGGCTGGTCCCAAAGTATCTCGCCGAGGCCTTTTCCCGCCTCCCCAACCTCGAGACTTGCGTGGTTCGCGACTTCAACTCCGACAGAAGATCTCGAGATGGCCGCTACCGCCACTGGCTGAGCTACGGCACCAACACCATGCACATGGAAACCGGGATGCGCCCCAGACCTCGCCACGGGCCCGGCTGGAAAGACATCGGGCTCTCGGAGAATGCCACTCGCATGTTCAAGGCCGTTGTCCATGCGCTAGCCATGGCACAAGCAAGGCCAACAGCCATTGAAATGATGGAGAGGCGCGGGCATTTTCTATTCGACTCTGCGTTCTACATCCATCCTGATTTCGAAGCCGCCGTCGCTCCTGTTCTCGGACGGCTCAAGAGGCTGCACATTTGCCTTGACATGGCTTGGGACCCCTTTTCCACGACAAGTCAAACGTCAGAAGCCTGGCACCATGTCAACGCGGCCAAGTTCTTGAGATTATGCGAGAACCTGGAGGAGCTGCGCATCAACGGAAAGCGCGACTACATTGCCAACGGCGGCCGTAACGCTCTGCATCACCTGTTTGACTGGCTCGCGACGAAGCCTCAGACAGAGGCCTTATCGCCACCGGTGGCAGACGGAGAAGAAGAAGAAGAAGAAGAAGAAGAAAACAGCGCGCTTGTTCCTCCTTACGCAGAGCTCGCGCGATTGAAAACCCTCAGCCTGGGAATGACGGCCACTACCGTTGAGGATCTTGTGCGTGTGGTTGCCAGGTTTGCCGACACGCTCGAGAATCTCGAATTGTGGAGGGTCCATCTCTCGTTTGAGGACAAGGCCAACGACGAAGCCCTGGCGGAAACCGGGCCTACCTTGTACACTGTGCTCCTGCGGAAGATGCTGGAGATGCCCAACCTCAACCTGCGGCACATTAAGCTGGGCAACCTCCATCAGACCCTGCGCCCCATTGGCAAAGAGGCAGTCGCGGGGGCCGTTGATTTCAAGCCCGAAGCCAGCACGCGCGACAGGGCGGTGATGAAGGGCGAAGTGAGCACGACTACCGTGTTGGAATATACGGGCTCGGACTGGAGGCATTTTGTGTCCCACGAAATGATTCCTAGATTGTACACGCCTCGGGCCATACTACGTAAGTGATTTCTTTGGATACCTCGGCTGCCAGAGTGGCGTGCTTGCTGGATCCTCTCCTCTTTTTTTTTTTCTTCATTCGTCCATATGGCTAACATTGTTGTAGTAAAGCAGGAATCAGACATGGATGTGGATGAGGATGAAAACGAGAGCGATGGCGACGCCCACAACTATTGGTCCAGTTTGATTTAGAACAACTTGTTTGAGTCTGGTAACAAAGGGCTCCTCTTTCTTGATCTGGAGGGATTTGGAGTCTTTTTTTCCTTTTTATAAAGTGATGATCATGAAGCGAGGATAATCAATGGACATTACTTGAAGAATGCTGAAAAGAGCCTGGCTGATTGCTCAATGTGGCTTTTTCCTGCGTCTCCTTTTCTGATATTTTTTTCCTCTCCCGCATTGGCTCATGGAAGAACTACATTAGGGGGCGTCTGGTGGCGTAATAGACGCGAGCCTTTTCTTTCACACTTTTATCAATTATTTCCTTCAATCTGGGAGCAAGATGGGTCAGTCTGTTTGATTTCTACTCGGCGAGCAAGCATATATGCTCTATCAAAACGATGTATGTGAGGTCTGCTTGTACGGCTTTCCGGCATGGCTTGACCTTGGAATCGGTCCGCGAGAGGCGTAATTCTCTGTGGCTTTTTGACAAAAGAGTTCGTGTGCGAATTATCTCTCTGCAATGGCAAGAAATCAGCCACATGTTTTGTGCTGGTGTCTTGTGTGGCTTACATCTCGGTGAATTATCTACCGCATCGATCCTGGCGAGAGGGGTTGTGTATAGATCTGTCAAGATATTAAGCTTATATTCTAGCTCAAATGGCAATAGAATGGCTCTGAAGCTGCCGATGAAGCCGGTGGTTGTCGTTTTCCATTTGCATACCATATGTGCTTCTGTTGCGTAGGTAGGTAGGTATTGTTCAACCCCACGGTCCTCCCATCTATGCCATCTCTCTCCTCCTCCTTCTTTTCTATCATAAGACAAGCTCAAGATCGAGACAAGTTTCGACGATAAGAAGCACAAATTCTCGTTAACAATGTCATTCTTCAACGTCCTCCTCCTCGTCATGCTCCTCTCCGCAAGCTCCCTCCTCGCCCTCCGCCCCTCCGAAGCCGACCTGCCGAGTCTCCATGTCCCGGGCCATTGGGGCAACGACACAAAGGGCGACGAGGTGCACTGGCTCCCGGGCGAGCCTGCGCCGATAAACGATGTGGTGTTTTCGTGGTGTCGGAAGGGCGCGGTTGGGTGTCAGAGGGCACCGCTCAAGCATGGGCGGTGCTGTAAGTTTTATTTTACCACTTTGAATTCTTTATGTTTTTGTTTTCTCTTTTGGTCAGTTCTGGGGCACTTGAGGCTTGTTGCTGACATGTGTTGTTTAAGATGACTTGAGTATGCTTGATGGCCCGATGAGGGCGCATTTGAATACTGTCGGGGCGCAAGATGGGAGGTGTATGCTGTTCCAGTGAGTCCTACCTACATGTACTGCTTCCAACACCTCTTTCCAACTCCAATCTTACCTACCCTACAATTATCATCTTCCCAACGAGTCTCTGCTCTATGAAAAGCATCAAGTCACTAACAAAAACGTCTTGAAGGAACTACGACTGCAGCGGCGAACACACAGCCATGTTCACGGGGAGAAGCCACTGGACAAAGACCATCTGCGCCAACAGCAAGAACAGCAGGGTCGAGTGGAATCGGCAGGCGAGCGCGGTGCGGTGCTGCGCTGGCGGGCCGGAGAGGAGGTGGTGTAATTATGGGATTAAAAAGGCGGATCGGTGTACGGAGGGGTGATGCTGGTGACTATTGATGGCGAAGATGGTGGTTGAGGTTGGGGTGGTGATGCTTCTCGTGGTGTTTTTGAAGTTTGTGTACTTTGTTGTAAAGCAAATCACCTGTACTCATGGGCGACGTACATTTACAATGATGAGAGGCAATGAATACGAGCAAGCCATGGTTAAATGTACGTTGGGTTGCACGAGGATCCAAGTGTCAAATCAACACTTTTTCCAATGTCTGTGAGACACACATGTACCTTCCATTGAGCCAGACCTCGTACGACTTGGTGATAGCTTCAAATCAAAGGACACACAGTCGTTAGTCATCCTCAACATCCCCATAAAATCCAGGCAGCAAATCCACTCAACGACTCCCCCCTCCAAACCACGTGACGCCGCGTCCATCTCGCGCAACCAGCCACCAGCCTTCAATGATCTTTCTTGGCGCGCTGGTGCCTGAAACCGGGCCTGGAACGGAAAATTGGCGCCAGGGGTCCCCCGAACTTCCAGCGGCTTTTAGTGGGCTGCAGCAGCTGAGCTCCACTGAAAGCTAGGCAGCTCCGGGGCATTTTTGAAGCTCTGGGGAGATGGATGTGACCCGATGCGAGCTGAGCTGAGCTGGACTGCCCGCCCAGCTTGGGGAGGAAAGGAGTATTAATAGAGGCCGTTGCTTGTCTTGACCATCGAGCTGTTCTCTTTTCTTTCTCTGTATTCTGTTCCATCATCGTTGACGACGCAATCAATTGAGTTCTTACCCCCGACTCTTCTGTATCGCATTCAATTGACAAGTGTTGTCCTGTCCTGAAGCAACCATTCATCTCTCTTCCATCCCCTCAAGCTCAGGTGTCACGGCCAACGACGCTACACCTACCTACAGACAGCTAAGGTAGCCAGGAGACACATTAGTAACGCGTGCCTCTCTCTCTCTCCTTTCACCTCCCATTCTACCCATCGTCCTCCACCTCTCCCAATCTCCACCATCACAGACCCTCCCACCATGCCCCCTCGAAGAAGAGCTGCTGCTGCTGCTGCTGCTGCTGCTGCTCCTCCTCCTCCAGCTGCTCCCACAGTCCCGCCGCTGGACGGCTGCGTCATCGCCATCAGCGGCAAGTTCGACGCCTCCAAGCACACCCACGCCTCTCTCGAGCAGCTCATCCGCTCCCTGGGCGGCAGCGTCACCAAGAGCGTCGCCAAAACCACCACCCACGTCGTCTGCTCCGAGGACGATTACAACAACGACTCGGCAAAGGTCGCGGCTGCCAAGGCCAAGGACTTGCCCATCGTCAGCGTGGAGTGGATTCAGGAGGCGGAGAAGCTGAACAAGGCAGTCGATCCTCAGCCGTATGTCTGGGGAAGACCTAAAGCTGCCGCTCCACAAGTCAATAGCAAGAAGCGGCGTCTCGTGGAGTCGATGAGCGATGAAGATGAAGAGCCCCAGCGCAAAAGAGTCAAGATCGACACCTCCAACCCCAAGCCCCAAGGGGCAAAGACCAAGGCAAAGGCAGACGCTGCGCCCGAACCCGAGACCAGAGAAGAGAAGCAGGTCGCCGAGGGCCAGTTCATCAAGAAGAAGGATGCAGCCATCCCGGTGGACGAGCACTGCCCGCTCCTCTACAACCAGGTGCACATCGACCCCGATACCGGGCTGATATACGATGCTTCTCTCAACCAGACCAACGCATCCGCCAACAACAACAAGTTTTACCGCATCCAGGTGAGTTGCGCTCTTTCCCGGTTTGCCTTTGGTTTGCGGCCCAGTATTGATGCCAGGCTGCCCAGGTCTTATACGACGCCAAGTCAAAGCAGTACAAGACTTGGACACGCTGGGGCCGCGTCGGAGAAGTCGGCCAGAGCGCCATCCTCGGCAACGGCACCGCCGCAGATGCAATCAAGAACTTCGAAAAGAAGTTCAAGGACAAGTCTGGCCTGGCCTGGGAGAACAGGGGCGACAACCCGAAGCCGGGCAAGTACGCCTTTGTCGAGCGGAGCTACAATCCAGACTCGGACGACGAAGACGACGAGGCCGATGACAAGGCCGTCAAGAAGGAGAACGACGACGAAGAAGAGGTCAAGCCCGCGGAGTGCACTCTTCCGCTCGAGGTCAAGTCCCTCATGGAGCTCATCTTCAACCAGCAGTACTTCCAGGCCACTATGACTGCCCTGAACTACGACGCGAACAAGCTCCCCCTGGGAAAACTCAGCAAGGCCACCATTACGCGCGGTTTCCAGCAGCTCAAGGACCTCGCGGCGTTGATGGACGACGCCAGCCTGGCAGCGAGCAGGTGGAACACGACCGTGGCCCGGGCCACCGAGATGCTCTCCAACATGTACTACTCCATCATCCCCCACGCCTTTGGCCGCAACCGCCCCCCCGTCATCAGGGACAACGTCATGCTCAAGAAGGAGATTGAGCTGTTGGAGAGCTTGTCCGACATGAAGGACGCCGCGGACATCATGAAGCTCGACCGCAAGTCGACAGACAACATCCACCCCCTCGACAAGCAGTTCCAGAGCCTGGGCCTCAACGAAATGACCGTCCTCGACCACGGCAGCAGCGAGTTTGAGTACCTCGAGGCCTACCTCCACGGCTCCCGCGGCGAAACCCACGGCCACAACTACAAGGTCCAGGAGATTTTCCGCATCGAGCGGCAAGGGGAAAACATGCGCTTCGACGACTACGTCGAGAAGAGCAAGATTGGCGAGAACCGGCGCCTCCTCTGGCACGGCTCGCGCGCGACCAACTTTGGCGGCATCCTCAGCCAGGGATTGCGCATCGCGCCCCCGGAAGCGCCCGTCTCGGGATACATGTTTGGCAAGGGTATCTACCTCGCCGACATGTCGTCCAAGTCGGCCAACTACTGCTGCTCGTACATCTCCGGCGGCCAGGCCCTCCTGCTGCTGTGCGAGGCCAAGCTGGGCGATCCCATGCAGCAGCTGACGAATGCGAGCTACGACGCCGGCAGCAGTGCCAAGAAGGGCGGCATGGAGAGTACCTGGGGCATGGGCATGACGGCGCCGCCCAAGTGGATGGACGCCGGGGTGGTGCACGAGAGCCTCAAGGGCATCCAAATGGTGAGTTTTTTCTTTTTCTTTTTTTCTCTCTTTTTTTCTTTTTTTTCTTCTTTATTTCTTCTTTTAAAAAAAAAAATCTTTCCATTGTTGTCTTTGTCTGTAATGGAAGCGTGTAACTGACGTGATGACAGCCCGATATCAACGAAAAGCCGTGTGCGACGAATGTGGACGGCGCATATCTGCAGTATAACGAGTTTATCTGCTACGACGTTGCGCAGGTGAAGCTGCGCTATCTCTTCCGCGTCCAGATGTAAACGGTCTAGACTTGATGATGATGATGATGCTCGTAGTCTGCTTTCCATGTTTTACTAACGATGAGATGCCGTTGATGTGTCGGTTACTATTTTGGGCTGCTTTAAGCCATCACGGAGTTTTTCAGGGGTGGTTCATGTGTACAATACTAGCTTGCTAATGTGTCCTTTTTAATTTTGATGACCAGATGAATAAACTCATATTTACGATTTGCTTTTCCCATACTCATACAGACATGTCCCATCAAGTCATGACACTCACCATCCCAGCTCACTCTCCCAGATCTAATCACCCAGGGGATACGCGTGCAACACCTGTCCATAGAACAGCTCGGCATCCTTTGACGCCAAAAAGATGAAGCTGGGCGCAATCTCGCTGGGCTGGCCCGGCCGTCCAATGCCCGACTTCTTGCCAAAGCCTTCCATCTGCTCGGGCGGGCGCGAGGCCGGCTGGAGAGGCGTGTGGACGGGACCGGGAGCGACGGCGTTGACGCGGATGCCCTTTGGCATGAGCTGCTTGGCGAGGGACTGGGTGAAGGAGGTGATGGCGCCCTTTGTGGCTGCGTAGTCGACCATGTGGGCTGTGCCGCGGAAGGCGACGGTGGAGGTTGTGTTGATGATGCTGTGTTTTTTTACATGTCAGTTCAGTTACCATCCATCAGATGTTCAAACGTCTGTATATCATGAAGAAGCAGGGGGGGAGAGAGATAGTATGACGGGGAGAGGGATCACTTACGAGCCACCCTTTTCCATATGCGGCACCGCATATTTGGTCATGGCAAACATCTGCAGGATGTTGCTCCTAAACGTGCTCTCCACGTCGTCCAGGTTAATCTTTGCAATGTCCTCGCACATGACCTGCTTCGAGGCATTGTTGACGAGCACGTGCAGCGCGCCAAAGGTCTGCATGTGCTGCTCGACGGCCTTGCGGCACGTCTCGTTGTCCATGAGGTTGCCCGGGATGAGGAGGCACTTGCGGCCTTCCCTTTCGACGAGTTTCTTGGTCTCCTCGGCGTCGGGCTGCTCTTCGGGGAGGTAGACGATGGTTACGTCGGAGCCTTCGCGGGCGAAGAGGACGGCGACGGAGCGGCCTATGCCGGAGCTGCAGGATAATATACACACCTTTGGTCAGTGATATGTTTTTTTTTTTTCATTCTTCTTTGCTTAAAATAGATTTGATGAGGAATGGGCTGGTGAGCGGGTGCGTGCGTACTCTCCGCCTGTGATGAGGGCCTTGTTGCCCTTGAGCTTGCCGGCGGCAATGTATTCCTGGTGGCCGCCCTTGCCCTCGAGAGCGGTTGCTTCGCTAGATGGCTTCATGTTCTTCTCCAAGCTGTTGCCGTATATATATATGCTGTCAGTCAAGTATTCCCCTCTTAAAGAAGCAAAAGCTGCGCACGGTAAGGTGGACTTACCCAGGAAGATCCTGCGCCTGAGGCTCCTCAACGGGCTTGAAGCTTCCAGATTCGCTGCGCGACATGGTGAAGAATCTGGTCGTGTTTCTCGATAATTTGGTGTTGTTGAATCTCGTGGCAGGGAAGTAGTAATTGCGTGCAAGACGGATGCTGCTTGTGCACTGGAATTGAAGGGTTGAAGTGGGAAGAAGAAGGAGGCGTTTGAGAGAAGATTGAGCAGCAGTACTACTAATCATGACTTTTATTGTGTTTTCTTATCAATTGGGATTGAAACAAGGCAGGCGGTTGCACGTGCGAGAGCTGTTTCCTTCTTTTTGGTGTATCTCCATTGTTATGTGAATCTGGCTGACAAGGTTGCGTTTTCGTGATGTCACTCGCCTGGATCTTTTTCTTGGTGGTTGGATAGGCATGACATCAATCTTGGCAAGCGGGCGGACGTCGATGATGCTTCAATTGCTTGTTTTGCCCCACTGCAGTAATACCATGAAGACAGAAGGATGGATTTACTTACATACAGAGTTTTACAAGCACCTTGAAGGTGAAGTGATGCCTTGTTTCATGAGACGAAAGCTGAGGTAAAGCTCCGGTGATGACGCTAAGATGAGTGAGATGAGATGAGATGAGGCTCAATGGGCGTGAGCTTGGGAGAGCTGCTGTGGCTGAGCTATTGCTAATGCCTGAGCTATTGCGCGCGGTCGCGTCAATTGATGTTCAATTTTGTGTTAAGAGATACTCTCTATGGCTCTATTCTGGAGAGATCTGTTTGAAATTGTTAGTACCGGGAATTGAGCTCAATAAATGAACAGCATCAATGGAGACTTGGCATGTGATTCGTGCATCAGATACAATCCAGTCCAAGTAAACTTGTCGTATTCACAACCAATGAGTAGAGTGAGAATGACACAGGAACTGCACATCAGGCAGACTGAATTCGAGCCATCGCTCTGTAGAATATCGATGAAATGTGAAGCTTTTGACACAGAAAATCGCACAATGAGTGGTGATAGTACGTTCAATTGGGTCATTCAGTCATTAAAATACAGATCATCAAATCTACAATCCCGCAGCAAGCGTATGTCCTCCATCAACCACCACCCTCTGCCCATTCACAAACTGGTTGCTCGCCAAAAACAGCACCGCCTGCGCCATGTCCTCGTCCTTGCCTGGCCGGTTCGCGGGAATCTTGCCCTCGTACTGGCTCTTGTCAATCTTGCTCTTCTGGCCCTCGTCGCTGCCCTCCGTCGTCATCTCGCTGGGGAAGACGCCCGGGGCGATGCTGTTGATGCGAATCTTGAGGCCGGCGGCGCTGAAGTCGGCCGCCATCATGCGCGTCAGGTGCTCCGCCGCGCCCTTGGACGCGTTGTAGCTGAAGTGGTGCTGGCTGGTCTTGACCAGGCCCGAGATGGAGCTGATGTTGATGACCGTGGCCGACCAGCCGGCGTGCGTCTCCGTCGACTTTTGCAGCAGCGGCAGCAGGGCGACCGTTGTGAAGTAGACGGCCGTGACGTTTGTCCGGTACACGCTCAGCCAGTCGTCAAACGTCGCCTTGACGTTGTCAAAGAGCTCCTTCTTGAGCTCCTCGGCCGAGTTGGCCTCGGCAACGCTGAACGTCTCGCCGCTGATGCCGGCATTGTTGACGAGGATGCACAGGCACTTTTCGCGCTTCTGCAGCTCGTCAACGAGCGACTTGATGCCCTCTTTCGAGTTGATGTCGGCCTGGATGGGGATGATTTCGCCGGGGGCGTTGGAGCCGTGGGTTGAGGCGGCCTTGTCGAGCTTTTCCTTTGTGCGGCCGCAGATGTAGACCTTTGCGCCGTTGGCGGCCAGGGCCTGGGCGGCCATCAGACCAATTCCAGAGCCTCCTCCTGCGAACTGTCAGATATAGATCTTTTGGAAGAGTAAGTGAGCAAAGACGAACCTGTGACGAGGGCGACCTTGCCGGAGAGGTCAAAGAGAGCCTGTCCCTTGAGAGCTGTAGTGCTAGCCATGGTGATGATTGTTTCTGTAAAGTCAAGTGAATAGTTTGCTAATTGGTCGAAAAGAATCGCCAAAGTTGTTTTGATCTTAATTGTTAAAGTATCCAGAGCTGTTGAGGTGCTGCTGAGGTTTATATAAAGATTGTGTTGAACTTTGATGTGAGCAAGACGTCATACACTCCAGCCTGCACGGGCATGATTGACAGTCAGCCAAGAGCCACCCGGGTGGCAACTTGCCATTCCAACGGTTACACATCAAAGGATATCATCATACCTGTTGTTTCATTACGTCCTGGTGGTGCAATTGCTCCGGTGGTCGGTGAGGACGTACATACAAAGGTCACCACCTATCGCGGTTGGCTACAGTAATACTAGCTACCTTAGGTACTATTCCCAGCAAAGTGCAACAGGACATCACTTTGTATTGAAGGTATTGTTGCATTTGATATAAAATCTTGCTATGTAGCTATGTGTCAATTCTAGATGCTTCTTCACTATTTTCTCCTTGATGATACGACCTGATTGTCTGTATATCAAACATGTAAGTTGAATTCCGGGATGGGGTAATTGGTGTCAATATCCGCCTCAATGCATGTCTGCAGCTTACAAGATGGACTGCATAAGGTAGAGATACTCTATCTCATGTCTACACTTGTTAACAGTCCGTTACTATTATACGAAATCGAAAGGACAGAATCATGCATTTGATACATTTGTTGTGCTAGTCAAGGCTCATATATATCAGTCCGCACATATATACACATATATACACCAACCTCACCCCCTTGTACACACTCGATGATCAAACCCTTCCTCATCTTCAGTCTCCCCCCCTTACGACTGGACAAACTTGAACCCAGCAGCCGAAGCCTCCGTCGCCCCATTGTTGATCAACGACCCGTCCGACGCGAGCGTCACCCACTTGCCGTTGCTCCCAGCCTTGATCGTGTACACGCCCGCCGCGGCGCCGACCTTTTGGCGGATGGTAAACACCTCCCAGGACGAGGCCGTGGCGCGGGCCGCCTGCAGCGCAAAGTTGCCCGACTGGTCCGCCGTCACGAACTGGTTGTTGCTCGTCAGCTTGAGGTTGCCCGCGTTGGGCGTGTACGAGCTGATGAAGACGCCGGCGCTGGCCTGCGAGCCCGAGGCCACGAGGTTGGACGACGCCGTCGACGCGACGACCCACTGGCCCGTCGTGGCCGACTGGATCTTGAAGTTGCCGTACGGGTTCTGCGGGAAGTTGGAGCCGCAGATGGGCTGGCCGCTGGGGTTGGGCCGGGTGCCGATGAAGAAGAGCTCGTTGGAGAAGGTGTTTCCGGAGCCTTGTAACACAGTTAGCACTGGGGAACGGACTGACTTGATATCAGCTTCATCTATAAGACTGATGGCTTACCCCAGGTGGTCAGGTTGGCGCTCCAGGCGGCAGCAGTCTGAGGGTTGGCGTTGGAGTAGGCCGCAATCATGACGGAGCGCCTATGTACGATGGAGCGGTCAGTACATATATATATATATATCAAGTCTGGCGGGCTGTCTCAGGGAACAAAGCAACTCACCAGTCATCGGCAATCGACGGGTCGACAATCTCGTTCTGGGCATACGACCACACATTGTTGACCCACTGGGCGTCGTACAGCACCTCGTTGATGGGCGTCACGGGCAGCATCTGGATGGCCGCAATCTCGCTCTTCTGGTTGCCCCAGAACAGCCAGGCGCCCGACTGCCAGTCCTCGACGTTGCCCATGGTCACCAGGTTGCGCACCGCCGGCTCCGGGTACGGGTTGTTGGGGTCTGTCTGGCTCTGCTGCGGGTACAGGTGCCAGTAGACCTGGGCGCCCTGCTGCTCCGTGGCGACGAGCAGCCGGGCGTAGTTGACGTAGTCCTGCGACAGCGCGACCGTGGCCCAGAGCAGCGCGCCGTAGTAGCCGTTGACGGCCTCGCCGGTCGACTCCTGGTCTCGGCTGCCGGCCCCGTTGGCGATGCCCGAGGCCCACGAGTGGCCGGCGAACCAGTCGCGGCAGCGGGTGACGGGGAAGTAGGGGTCGTTGGGCGACGGGTTGATGATGTCTCTGTTTTGCTCTGGTTAGCCAGAACTGCAATACGCAACAGAACTGGAAGTATGGGTAGTATGCTTCAGGGGGGGAAGGGGACGAAACGTCTTACCGGGCAAACCAGTTGATAAAGTCCTTATGCTGCGCCAGCCAGTTGGCGTCGTACTTGGCAATGACGGCGGCCACGTACAAAAAGTAGCCGTAGTGGAAGTGGTGGTCGTTGTAGTAGCCGTTGCCAAAGTCGATGCCCGAGTTGGTGGCGCCGGCCTTGTCGATGACGCCGCCCCAAGAGGTTTCGTACGCGGGAGACGCGCCGGTGCTGGGCGTGAACCAGTTCTGGAAGCTGGTCTTGAGGTAGTTTGTCACCGTGGGGATGAGGTCGGTGCGGCCGACAGCCTCGCTGAGGAGCAGGTCAGCGGGATGAGAAAACAGAAGAGATAGGAGAGGGAGAGAGAGAGAGCGTTACGCAATGAGGGCAAGACGAGCCTGAGCGGCGAGGCTGCCTCCCCAGTAGTAAAACTCGTTGGGCACAGGAGGAGTAGAATTCGCGAGCAGACCAATCTCGTACTGGAGACCCTGGATGACGGCCGAGCTGCACGAGGAGTCGAGCGCGCGAGGAGGGTTCCAGGTGATGCTGCTCAGCTGGTACAGGAGCTTCCACTGGTTGCCGATGATGGGGTACATCCATCCCTGTGTTACATATCACCTGTCAGCTTCCCTCTTCTTGCAACTTGAGAAGAATCAAATCCGATGATGCAATTCTCTGACCTTGGTGGTGAGGTAGCCCAGGGACGAAGTGGCCGGCTGGTTGGCGCCCTGCAGAGACAGACGGTGGTGCGGCCAGGTCAGCATCAGCAGCTGGCTGCCGTCGCCCACGGTGTTGTAGTTGAAGATGAGCGTGCCGGTGGTGGTGGTGAAGCTGTAGTCGAGGCCGACGCCCGTGGGGTAGACGGTGTAGTGCTGGTCGAGGAGCGCCTTGTGGCTGGCCTGGGTGAGCCTGACGAGGCGGAGCACGCCGTTGTACGTGCCGGTGGCCTTGATAGTGCCCTGGGCGCTGTTGGTGGCCGTGGCAGTCAGGGAGATGGACGAGAGGGCGTAGATCACGTAGGTGGTGCCGGTGGTGTCGACGACGGTGAACGAGGTGCCAGTAGCAGTGACTAGGGGGGTTCAGCGTGTTAGTCAATCCTTGAGTACATATATATATATATATATATACACATATATACGGGTGGAACTTGGCAGTTTCCTATCATGCCCATGCCCATATTAGTATCAGCAAAACATGGATTGCAACTCACCACTCTGTCCATTCGAGAGATTCTGTCCGTTAAACGACGCAATGCCCCCGTTCCTCGACGTCAGCAGCGGCGTGGCAGCCTGGTACTGCAGCGTAATGTACGGCGATCCGGGAATCAGCGGCGAGGTCATGCTCGCGCCGCCCTGGAAGTACTGCACCGTGACCGAGTGCGTGTCAAAGGCCGTCGCCTTGTGGTTGGCAAAGGCGCCCGAGTGCTCGGCGAAGCCCGCGCGCCAGTCGTTCTGCGTCGGCTGCTTGATGGACGTGCCGTCGAACTGGCGGCTGTTGCTCACGCCAAAGTTGATGCCCAGGCCGTCGAGCTGCGACTCGTAGGGAAAGGGGCCCGAGGCGGTGCCGTTGCCGGGCGTGGCGGCGTACGAGGCCCACCAGGAGTTGGTCGGGAACTATATAATGATATCGTTCAACTCATCAGCATCTCTCTCTCTTCTGTTACCTCACATGGAAGACTGTGAGGATCGCGTAAGTCAGTCTGTTCGTACCGGAGGCTTCAGGCCTGCGAAAAACGAGCTCACGGGCGCTCCATCGGCGCCGGTGGCCGTGGTGCCGCCCGAGATGCCGGCCGGGTTGCTCGTCGAGATCGGGGCGAACAGACCGCGTCCGGCAATGTTGCTGAGCTTTGCGCCATTGGGCAGAGCCGCAACGCCAAGCGCCGAGGCGATGACGAGGTTCACAAGAGAGGCCAGCATCCTTTTTTTCGAAGCTCGAGTTGCTGAACACACAAGGGTGCTGTGCTTGGCCACACCTGGAGGGACAGGAGATCGCCAAGGGGAGAGGGACGGAGGAACACGCCTCCTTATATCTCAATCCTTCTTCTCTGCCCCCGTCTGTGTCAACGAAGGAATGGCTTTGGATAGGTTCATTGCGTCATTAGACGACGATGCTGGTCTCTTTTTGCAGCATTGTCCCCCCCCCTTGCTTGCTTGCAAACATGTGCCCACCTACACAACAGCGGAATCTCGCTCCGATCTAGGTCCAACCCCGGCGGTAATCAGGCATGTGCTGCTGCCCTCTTCTCGGCGGTACTGGGGGCCATCGTGAACAAGATTGCGACAGGGAGGGTGCCTCCAGTTCGGCTCTCACGCTGCCGGGCTTAGACATAGCAAAACGTGCTCAAGATACAAAGGCCGCAGAGCTGCTGCTGCAAAGCACGCATGAGCTGGGAAGAAGAGTAAGCCAAGCCTGTCATGTATGTAGGTGGGTGGTAGTATGTCTCTTAGGCATGGCTATCCACTTCGCCGATAGTTCCGATCAATCTCGTGGGATTTACCCCCTTTGACTAGACCAGGGGGGGAGCCGACCATTGGCTTCCAAGGCACTTCAGCATCGGACCGAACGAGCAAGGCGTCAAAGCTGTCGAAGAAGTTGCAAGTGCCCTCGCAATGAGTTGCCGTCGCGGGATTTCCATCAATGAGGATAGCTGAAAACTCGTGTAAGATGGAGTTGCAACGGGGATCCTCCCATCTGTCTTGTATTGCCCTGTTCCTGTTGATCCTTTCTACAAGACTGTGTCCTTGTTCTCAACTCTATCAATGTCTCGTAAAGCTAACGGCATGGGGGTTTCCTTTACCCCAGTCAAGCTCATCCAAGTCCCGAGATCATGAGTCGCACAGACCAGAGAGACGTGGGGTTTAGCTCTCACAAAATCCCAGCCCCTGAACACTTCCTCGGTGTGGAGATCACAAAGGCCCATGACTTCCAGGAATCCCTCCTCTGAAGATATAGAGAGGATAATAACAGCAGATAAAACAGCAGATAGGTGGACATGGAAAACACCCGCCGGGTAAACCCTCAAGGGACATACATGATCGAGCTCCATAGCACTTTACTCGTACAAGGTAGCACGGGATGCATGCAAATGTCTTGTCTTGTCTGTTAATCCCCCCCCTGTACAGTAACCTTTTGATTACAGTAGTGCTCTTCTGTGTCGTAGTCTCTGCACCTTGGGACTGGGCCACATTTATCGAATTGCCTAATTAGGAAGTTCCCCTGGCTCTGGCTGGTGGGCCGGCACCTCTGCAGTTGACAGGGAGGCGGCTCGATCCTTTATGCCTAGGGCTCACAAGGTGCTGCAACCGTATGACGGTTTAATTGCCGGGACCGTCTGAGTGTCATGGTGAGACAGAAAGGAAATCATGCTGCACAATGCACAAGTCCGCGTGTGTATGCCGTCCAGCCGTCTCTCTGTATTACAACCCTCTCAGTCTCTCTTACCAGGTACCTGACGTTGACTCAAGCTCTCAAGCCAGGAAACAAAACAAAATAAATACCATCATCAGGAAAAGAACCTCTGCTCGGCCTTGACGGGTTGAACAGGGAATAAGCTACTGTGATTAGGTGCCAACGGTCTCGGCTCTTTCTGCCCTCTTCCCCACAGTCGGCCGCCCTCTTCGACAATGGCCGTGTCACAACCCTGTCAGTGCGGAGAGACGCGCAGATTTTCTTTTTGCGCGTTCTTCGGCTCCGCATCTCCCCGCATTCGAGCCATCCCGAGACGTCGGGACTTGTGGCAGGATGAGGGTTGAGGTAGAGTTCTTACCTGTGTTGTGCTGACCGTTTATCCCAGCAATGACTACATATCTTATATATACGTTATACACATGTGAAAGGTCTCTTTTAAACCCTCAATACTCTCATAAAAAGCCCGTACTATCATCAACTGTTCGCTCGTAGACAAAAGCTCATGGCCTAGGTACTGGAGCCCACGCCTGAAGTCCTCCCCGTCCAGACAGCCCTAATGACCGGGGAGTCGCGGCATTTACCCGCTGCCAACCCTCATTTTCCAGCAAGACAAAGAAGGAGAATTGCCAGTGCCTCGGCCAAGCAAGTAATAATGCCGCGGCGCTAAACAGCTTTGCATCATCTGGGGTTTGCCAGGGAGCTTTTTGTGTCTGGTGTGTGTGTACAGTAAGGTTCCAATAATACCCATCAGCAATATGTAGGCCAAGCACAACACAAAGTTCACTCTGTAATACCTTGTGACGCCTTGCTTTTTTCCCTCCTCCTCCTCCTCCTCCCCCTCTCCCCACAAGCAGGGGAGTGACAAGACAAAAGTTGCCATTGAGAGTGGATATTACCACGGCTTCGATGCTCATTTTACGTGACTGGCTACATAGGCCTGTCCCTGTTGAAGGTGCCTTTTTCTTGGTTGGGGGAGCAGGGAGCAGGGGGCAGATCCGGAGAGCGGAAAGACGGCAGCCTTTGCATCACAATGTGCCAAGCAAGCGCAAATGCAACACAACATGAACATTCTTGATGAGAAGCCCACCAGTCAAGTTGCTGCAAGTCGAGAGCAAAGCTGGCATAAGAAGCAATGGGTCTGGTGTCAAAGGTGCGATCTCATGGAAATTTGGAGGCGCAAAGAAGCTCGGAGCTGCATGGCGCGGGGAGAGCCAGGGCCCCGGCTTGGTATGTTATGGAAAGGGCCGAATTGGTATGGGGATGGACGGCCTTGCATACGGGCCTACTTGGGCGAATATGGCGATGATGGGCAGAGTCTCGATAGGAGAGAGCTGAACTCTCCAGGCGCTGTATTGTTTGTCTTTTGCAAAGCTTGGCTATGTAATGGTGTGTGTGTGTGTTTTTCGATTTGAGGTAGTCTTTGGCTATGCTTGACTTATCCCACCCTGACCTGATTGCAAGTGGCAGGATGGAGCCTCTGGACGGAATTAAATGACTCGAGGAAACGGATCGGCGCGAATCATGGAGAAAGATGTGCCGCCAATGGTTGATCAGATGCGACAACCGCAGTAGGCCGGGGAGGATCACCGTCTATCCCCGAGTTGCTGCCATTAGCTGGGGCCACGGTGAGGTTACCTATAGTTGCGAGAAGTGCAGACAGCCATGTAGGGCTTGTGATGTCCGCATGCGATGATGCCATATGTAGGCTGTGTCGCGAGAGCCGTGCAGCCATGAGCCAGTAGATGTTGATGGAGCGTCGTCGGTGGCACGGACTTGATGCATAACTCACTTGCCGTTCGATATGATCATGAGCTTACACAATCGCGAGACGAGGTTCGACCTTTAGAGTTGAGGCACCGCTGAGGGTCGAAATAGCTTGTCTCCTGGAGTGCACTATAAACACTTGTCGATAAGTGCTGTGAAAGGGGTAGCCTCATTTGCTATTCCTTGATGAGTTGATGGGTTTTCCTTTTTGGTCAGAGAGTTACGTTATAAGAAGCTGTGTCCTGTCTGTACTCTATTTACACTCACCTGTTGTCTCACTCATACTCCAGCTGTTCAAGTCCCATTGGCAAGCTGAGAGTCATAGTTTATGGTTCCAGAAACCATGATGGAAAGGGAGAATTTTGTATCGATGGCATATCACTATTGGCTGATCAAGGTAGCTACACAAATCGTGCCATCAACTCGACAGACTCTAGCGAGTTCAGCCGCCATGTGATCTGCGTTCCATACAGTCACTCTGTCTGCAGGAACAAGAAAGCTGCTCTTGGCAGTGCAAAGTAGTGGTGCAAGTAATAGTCGGATAGCTGGATCCGGAGCGAAACCCGGCACATACCTCCTAACGATACGCTGTCTGTCCAGTGAAGCTCCAAGCATATGAGTGATGGTGCCACAGAGCTTGTTCAGAAAAGGCTTCACTCATAAGTGCGGCTGTGAATCGGAGCGCACAAATACTGGCCGAGCTTTTTCGCCACTCTGGCACGACAAATAAGGAACAACCTTCATGAAGCCCAGAGACGAGAAAGGGGAGTGACGACATGTTGCAAGTGCCAGCCAGCAGCAAAGCCAATCTACCTTGATGCCTGAGTCGCGTGTGATCTGATCCAACGGTCGAGGTGTGCAGATCGAACGCTAAGCCGGCACACACTCTGTCTTATGACGCCTCTTGCCTCGCGTCACGAAAGCAACTGATGTCAGAATCATGCTTGGACCGGGGCTGAGTATCTGCAATGCCCAAAGTCCGGAATCTCTCGAGTACAAAAGAAGCGGAAATCGTCAAGGAGATGTTTGACGATGCTGGTGCCGGTTTTCCGGACCGGCACCCTTTTGGCTGCCGGACTTGACTCGGGGTCGAGGTGGAGAGACTCCGGAGGTGCCGGAGACGCCCGGGCGGCACGGAACGGCTGGTGGTGATGAGTGGCTTGTGCCCGAAAAAGGGTGGTTCGCTCGCCCGCTCATGAGTTATGTAATTCCAGAATAAACACAAAATCGCCAACACACAAAGGATGGATGCTGTGCCTGTACTAAATAGCGATCCTTTAGTTGTCAAGTGCACTCCTGCTTTTGAGGCCTCCCGAGTCCTGAGCAATCATGGGGAGGATTTGAAGAAATCAGCATGCCCAAAATCCAGGAAAGTCCTATAATGCGTCAATGTGTGTCTACAGTTTGTCGTAGTCTGCCTTTATTCTCAGACGATTGGTGCACCTATCAGCCATGGGCATCTCTTCTATCTATTCATAACTCCTCAAACCTGACCTACGCACACCTCGCCAATCTGCAGCATAGCCTTAGATCAACAGATAAGAACATCACTCTGTGTTTCTGTGCAGGGCCTTAAAGAAAGCCTTTGAGTTGCATGCCGGCAATTCCGCTCATTAATGCACATATATCTCTCCCATCGGGGATCCCAGGACGAAGCGAATCAGAAGCAGTCTGCCTGATGGAAACGCCGGCAGCTTGCAAACAGACAGCCACTAGGTAGTGGCGCACTTGGATCCAGCCAATACAAAACGGGGACAGCAGATGCAGAATAGAAGGAAACATGGAAAAGCGAATAGAACAAAAGAATGATGCTCGGCCTCAGTGAGGCTTCTCGCTGTTCGCTACTTCAAACGTGCCACAGCCGGTCTTACACCAGTTATTCCCCGGCCTCGGATGGCAGCGCCGGCTTATTCCCAGGTCCTATCAGCTGGCGTCTTTTTACTTCCATCCTCTTCAGCTTGCGCTTGAGCTTTATACGAGTATGCTACCTAGTTTACGGTGTACAACTTACATTCTGTACTCACCCGGTACTCTCCTCTCGCCCACTTTCCGCACCAACGGAGAGAAATGGAGATGGAGACTGGCGGTTTAATGCCTTCGATGCCGTGTATTATGTTTTCCAGTTTCTTGCAACTCCGAATGCCGGGCAAGGCTGAGCAAAGCCTCTTTTCGAAACCGGCAGACTCTTGAAATGCGGCCTCTACTTTTTGCGTCCTGGAGTCAAAGAATGACGATGGCCTGGCTGGAGAATCAGAGTCAGTGTGCCGTGTAGGTAGGTAGCAAGCATGGCACCAATTGCCGTATCAAGTGCTTGTTGCTGCGCATATGGGACCAAGTGCAGCTTCCAAAGGTGTTGAAACAACTGTCCTTGTTTTAAAAACGTCTCGAATTCCCTGCACTTCGCATCAATTGGCATCTCCAACTCAACTCTGCATCTCTTGCCCATATCTGTTCAAGAGGCAGATTGTCAGCCTCGACTTATACGAAGCGCACGAAAAAGCATCGGACCATCGGCATCGCGCCCAGCTCGGGCCGTCGGCACAGGCTGCAACGGCGTGCGGCTTGTCGCTCTTTGTCCCCGCCGGGTATCGCTGCTGTCGCATGCTCTCCAGTTTTCGTGCATTACCGCAGGAATGGAGGGTGCAGACCGTGGCAAAGGTACCTGGATGTACCCGCCAGCGACCGCGACGCCATACCTTCCCCAGCCGGTGCAGGTGCGTCGATGCTTCCTTCTGTCCAGCAACAGCAACAGCAGCAGCACGACTCCAAGCTTCATTCTTCCACGGCTTGACTTTTTGCATCTCTGCAGCTTCATCCACCTCCATTGATCGTAGATCGTCAGATTCCCATCACATCAAATCAATGTCACTGACTCACACTTCCAGCTTTCACCCCTGACTCTCCGTCCTTCGCTGCTTCCGTCTCTAGACTTGCGCCTCTCACCGAGTCACCCCCAGTTTTTCCGCTCGCAGCTTGAAGCCTCCACCTCAACCTCGAGTCTCTCTGCTCCTGCTTACTTGCTCGCCGCGCATTGCGACAGCTCCGAGACTCAATCGCCTCCCGCGCTCTCCTTTTCGCCGTCGACCGCGAGCTCGATCGCGACGCCGTTGCCCGGCTCAGTCGCAGCAATGGACCTCGACCCGCCTCCCGACGCCGACATGCCGTCATTCGACCTCGCCGGATCGTCGCTCCCGGAAGCCCAGCCGAGCCTCGCCAACCCCGTCGAGGGCTCCGGCCTGTCGCTCGACCGCCGGCCCAAGAAGTCGTCGACCACCTGCGCCGTCTGCCGCTTCCGAAAGGTGCGCTGCAACGGCCAGCGCCCGTCCTGCGGCAATTGCCAGCGCCTCGGCTTCCCCTGTTCCTACGACGATGCCGACGTCGACACATGGTCCATGTCATTGCCGCGCCGCCGTGTCAAGCAGGCCTGCTTGAGCTGCCACAGCCGCAAGGCGCGATGCTCCGGCCATCTGCCCTCGTGCGAGCGTTGTCGAGCCCAGGGCATCGAGTGCGTCTACCGGCCCAACAAGCGAGCCAAGCCGTCGTCGGCGGGAGCCGGCATTGCGGGCTCAAAGAGCCCCAACAGCCCGGATCAAGAGTCGGATCGCGACGGCGGCAGGGAGGCACGGGGCCATGGAGAGAGCCGCGACCACGATGAAGGGCGCAATGATAGCCCGGCATTGACCGACCGTGCCAGCTCCGCCAGTCCAGGGGCAGACAACCAAGGGTAAGTGACTCGGACAACAACTGTTTTCGTGATAGGTACACTGACGGCCTTGGAACTGGCAGTCCGCAGATAGATGAAAGCTTCAGCTCCATCGTCAGCCGCGCATTCGACCTCTTCTTCCGTCACGTCCACCACATGCCCATGTTCACCTTCCTGCACCGCGCTTCTCTAATGGAGCAATATCACGCCGGCAAAGTCGACAGGGCGCTTCTTCTGGCACTGGTCGGCATCACGTCGTGCTTGACCAACATGGGCCCGGGCATGCGCAAATATGGAAACCGCTGCATCAACGATGCCGAGGCCCTCCTCCTTGCCGACTACAGCCGGCCCTCGATTGTCAAGATCCAGGCCCTCGTCTTCATCATCAAACACCGCATCCTCTGCAATAAATTCTCCAGCGCCTTTGTCCTGCACAGCTTCGCCTCTCGGTACGCCTCTGCTTTGCGCCTCAACTACGAGGCGCCCCATCTCCGCTTCCTGGCTCAAGAGTCCCGTCGGCGCCTTATGTGGGCCCTGTACTGCATCGACACGAGCATCTGTGGCGGGTATCCGGACTTTGTCCTCTGGAGAGCCGACCAGATCCACGTCTATTTGCCGTGCAACGAGCGCAACTTCGAGTTTGACCTGCCGCAGCAGACGGAGAAGCTTGTGCCAGACTCACACCAACCCCGGCCGCCGCTGGCTGAGGATATCGGAACTCTGGCCCTTCATGCGCGCATCCTGCACATTCGCCAGAAGATCATCGAGTTCACAAAGGTAGCTCAGTATGACCGCGGCATGGAAGCCGCCGAGCTGCAGGGCCGTATCTTCGCGCTCGACAAGGAGCTCAATGACTTTGCCACCAACCTGCCGACCTCGTTCCAGTTCTCCGAAAACTCGCTCCGTCTCCGTGCCTACTCGCCGAGACTATGCATCTTTGTCATGATCCACGTCTGGTGGCGCCAGTGCTACTGCGACCTCTATCGCCTTGCCTTGGTCAGCATCAGTGGAGGTCTGCCGCAGTCCATGCTCGACATGTTCGACCAGAGCTTCCTCGAGCACTGTCAGAGGCAGTGTGTCGACCACTCTCTGGCGCTGACTCTCATCTTTTCACTCATCCAGAAGCTGGGTGCAAAGCCAGTGGCAGACATTGATCTGGCCATGTGCGCGTATCAGTGCGCGCGGATGCTCATGTACCTTTTCCAGTTCGGCATCTTCGATCGGTTCGGCGTCACGGCAGAAACGGTCATGGAGCAAGCTCAGCTATGTCTTCAGACCATCAAGGACTGTTGCGTGGGGCCCGCGGTGGACTGTATCGTGGCCGATTTGGAGAGGCTCATCAACCAGGACCCCAAAGCCGCAATACGAGAAGGGCTACCGGGGGGGCCGCCGAATCTCCAAATGACAGACGGGCCAGATGTTCTCAGCGCTCCCGCTGCGACCGGCCTGCAGCCTTTTAGCTCCCCTTCAGGCGCTGTCAACAACACCGTCTCGCCTTTTACTCATCCCGTCATGACTGCTCCCTGGATGTCGGAAACGGGCTTTGCCTCAGGACTGGACCAGCAAAGTCTCCCGCCAGAGGTCCATGCCAATCCTAGCAAGGGCGGAACTCCCAGTCTGTCTGCACCGCGGTCGGAGTTTGGGCAGTCTGATGTGAACGCATACGACAGCACCTTTGCAGGGCTCGGGCTGGACGATGGATTTGATTATGCCATGGGACTAGACATGAACATGTGGGCGACCAACGGGGGCAGCTGGACTGCGCCTGGCTATGGGAATACCTGGATGTGAGGCAGAATCTCGAGGCAGAATCTCGAGGAAGAAGAGCAGGAACAAGAAGAAAAGGAGGAGGAGGAAAGAAGATATGGGAAGCCCTCTGCCTTTGACACACGTATATACTATGATGGACGGGGGATTGTCGAGGATGAGAATGAAGAGTGCATGTCCGTCTCATAGCTCGCTCTAGTAAGAAGAAAAAGCAAGGCGAATGGAGCGGGCGGGATGGCGCAATCGCAGGGACTTGGACGAATAGGAAACGATGACAATAGAGCTAATGATACCAGATGCAGCATGTCTTGGGACATGGAGAAAAGATGTCACTTTGACATGAGGATGAGATTGCCATTTTTCTTTCAAAAGCCTCTGGTTAAGGCGTCTTGCGTAATATCATGATCCGATGGTATACGTTTTGACTGAGAGAGACGAACTATTAGAACGAAGAAGATCCATGCTTGTCCCTCATATCGCAACATTTCATCCCCACGTTGAGCCAGCACGAGGTCCGTTATCGATAACGCGTTAGCCAGGGTCAAGCTCTATGTACTGTAATCGCTTCAGCAGGGCAATGGCGCCCAAGCGACCCCGGATAGCGCCCACCTCCACTAAAGCTAGCGAGTCTAGGCTCGCGGCTCGATGCGAGACCATGGCCCAACCTGGCTTAGCCCTTTTGGCCCTCCTCCGCCTTACATATCAACCTTGTCAATAACCCAATCTCCCTCGTTTCTGTACTTTTCCAGCATCTACAACAAACTCGAGCAGTGCAGGACTTCAACCAGCTCGGACTGCTCCATTTGCGATACACCAATTGGCCAGATACGCCATTCCAAGGTTCTTCTCAGCCTTCAACATGGCTAAGTAGCCCCTGACTCTCCACTTCCATGCAGGGATGAGGCACATGCCACCACTGATGGCTTCTACTCAGTTGGGAGGACTGTTTGCATCGCCACGCGCGTCTCAGCCGCACAGCCGCACCAGAAGATGCTGGGGCCAGGTCTTTCATCTTTCCTTCTGTTTGCCCTGTCTGACGGTTTGTCATTTGGCACAGCCTGGCAATAGGAGACTGAAAGGCCCGTGAAGAAAGAGTTCACGAGGGTCTGAACGGCCGTCTGCTGGTTCGTCCTTCCTCTTCTGCAAGCTTCCAGGTGGACATGGTGCAACATGCGTCTCCTAGACGCCAGAACTCTGGAGCTCGTCGATGTAGTCGACAACAACGTCCCTCGCTATGCCATCCTGTCGCATACATGGGGCGACGAGGAAATCACCATCCAGCAGCTGCGGCGCCTCGGCGGCTGCTCGCAGGTCTCGCTGGCGTCTCCCCAGACGCTCGACAAAAAGAGGCGGGCCACCGTCCTCAAGAAGGGCTACATCAAGATCTCCGGAGCTGCGCAATTGGCCGTGAGCCGCGGCCTCGACTATCTGTGGGTGGACACTTGCTGCATCGACAAGACCAGCAGCGCCGAGCTGTCCGAGGCCATCAATTCCATGTACCTGTGGTACGAGCAGTCGGCCGAGTGCTACGCCTTTCTCGCTGACGTCGAGCCGCCTGATGATGCAAACCCCGACGGCGACGTGTTGCACGACAATCTCCGCCGCAGCCGCTGGTTCACAAGAGGATGGACGCTTCAGGAGCTCATTGCCCCAAAGCTCGTCCTCTTCTACGCCAAGGACTGGAGCTTGCTCGGCCAGAAAGATGCCCCGGCCGACTTCACCAACATCATCAGCGAGATTACCAACATTGACAAGGAGGTCTTGAATGGCAGGATAGATCCTCTTCAACTAAGTGTATCCGCTCGCATGGCCTGGGCATCTCGCAGGAACACGACGAGGCCCGAGGACACTGCGTATTGCTTGATGGGCTTGTTCCAGGTTAACATGCCGCTGTTGTATGGCGAGGGCCAGCGGGCATTCACACGCCTTCAGGAGGAAATCATCCAGCGCACCGATGACCAGTCGATCTTTGCCTGGAATCACTTCGACGACGGAGACGAAGACCCAGATGCCCTTTTCGGCTTGCTCGCACAGTCTCCGGCCCAGTTCAAGCATGCAGGCTCATTGCAAGTCCTGCCGCCGTTACCCGTGTATGCCAGCGCGCCATCCGCAATGACGAACCAGGGCCTTCGCGTGCAGCTATATCTGGAGCAGCTTGTCAACAACGATGAAGGTATAATGGAGGAGGACTACTATGCCATTCTAGACTGCGTCCAGCGAGATCGAGACGTCTACCGGTGCCCAGCTCTGATTCTGCGGCGGCTCTCAGAAGACCAGTATGGAAGGCTGAGGCCTAAGTCGCAACACTTCAAGCCTCCCCCATCCTCTCCGTATTGGCCAAACGATGGCTATCGCTCGGTCTACGTCAGACAGCAGCCAGTCTATTACCATCTCCCGCAATTTCGGCTCTCGCCCCTGAATGTGGAATCCGGCCTCGGCTCTTCCGATGGTGTTCAGTACCGGCTGCTTGATAAGTATCCCGCCCACAACTGGAACTCGGCCACCATGACCTTGAAGGTGCAATATTCCCGCAAGCTGCAGGCCATGGGCATCTTTCGATTTCAAAGCATTGACAAAACGCACGAAAAGGTGGATGTCGTCGTCGGTCTGCGTCGACTCAACACGATGGAATGGGAAGGGTGGTGTTTCCAATTATCCTATCGCGACAGATCTCTTGAGCACGCATTCCACGAGATCAACAAGCGGATAGAGAGCGAACTTGCCAAGTCAAGCAGAGAAGAGATTACGCCGCGAAGGCTTCGCGACGTGCTTGGCGAAGACTCTTCACTGGCAAGCAGTGCGACGGTGGAGGGAATCCAGCTTCAAGGACGCCTCTACATTTCCATCCTCGTGACGTTGACAGCTGAGATCCATACATACAGGGAGCTGATTCAAATCCCAAAGCATGTGAGGATGCCTTCCATATCCAGCAACAGCTTTACATCTCCCGCAACGGGCGTGAAAGCTTTGACAGAGCTGTACTGTTGTACTACAAGCTCACTCTTTGCACTGGACCACTACGGTTCCAATGCCTGGGTGATACCGCCTGTCCGGTCAAAGTATCCTGAGGACGGAATGGGGACAGTCCGTGGCGACTTTATGAAGCCTCTTCACGACTTCCTGGCGTTTCTCAAGCAGAAGTCACCCTCGAGGCAGTTGAGTGTGACAGAACAGCTAGCTAAGGCTCTTTTCACCGGTGAGGCATCTCAGGTTCAGTCTTTCTTAGCCTATTCAGCGCCAAACATTGAGACGCGAACGACTGATGAACACGGTTTTGCGCCGCTTCATTGGGCTGTTGCTGGTGGCTCCCAAGACTGCATCACCCTTCTCCTCAGAAACGGAGCCAACCCCAAGGCGCTGACAAGCAAAGGACTGTCGGCGATCCACGTCGCAGTTCTCTGCAATAACAAAGTCTGGACTGCCATGGAGAGGTTCTGCGTCCATTCAGAACCCGGTCAGCTGGCCAACGCAAGAACGGAGCACTTTCTCGAAACACCCTTGCACATGGCCGCAGCCTCGAGCCCTGACACCGAGTATGGCGTCTCATTCTTCAAGGAGCTGTTTGGTTGGAGCTGGGAGCATACCGGCAATGCCCCTCGCAACAGGTTTGACGAGACGCCGCTCCATCGTGCCGCTGCTGCGAACTGCGTGGGTGCTGTTCGAGCTCTCGCCCTTCACCCCGGAGCCCCGTACGTGAAAACGGATCAGTACGGCCGGACTCCCCTCTGGCATGCAGCTGCTGCAGGCGCTCTCGGCGCCGTCGCCGAACTGATTGATTGCGGTTACTCTGTCAGCTTGACGGACGACCTGGGAAGGAGCCCGTTACATGCGGCCTGTAGGGGAGGCCATCGTGAAGTCGTCGCTCTGCTTCTTCGCCATGGTGCAAGGACAGACACGGAGACCAACTTCCTCAGCCTGTTGCCAATGGATCTCGCTGCCATGTTTGGGTTCGCCGAGTGCCTGGGTGAGCTTCTGTGGCGGATGACCACCCAGACACAATTGGATAGGACGCTTCAAATAGCGGCTTCGTTCGGATGGTACGACTGCGTCGAGCTGCTATGCCGGCACGGTGCTAATCCATTCGCAACTTCTGACTACTACCTGCGGCGGTCTGAAGATGGCCACGCCGTTGTTGTTGAGGCAGAGATGGATGCTTATTCCATCGCGCTCGCACAATGCCAGCCGCAGATCGTGAATTTCTTTGATACATCCGAGACCTGCAAACATCTTCGACAGAGCGGGTTTCCTCCTGGGTATAATTCCAGTGATAACAACGCCACACCGGGCATGGCAGACCCAATACCTGCTTCCTCTACTCCTGCTGCTTCACCTCCACCCGGCGCGGCACCTCTTCCGTCTGAAGCAGCATCGGCACCGGCGATTATACCGGGCAGCTTACTGCGACATCAGCCTTCCTATGGCGATGCGCCCTTATACAGCGGTCCAGCGTATGGCAACTATAGCAATGCGCCTCAGACAGGCCCGGCGTATGGCAATGCACGTCACAGCGGAGCGGTTTATGGCACCACGCCGTCTAATAGCAGTTCAGCCTACACAGGCACCCCTTCCATGACCGCACCTTCACACGGCAATCGGCTAAGCTACTCGTTGCCCTATACATCTCAGCAAGGGCTGCTCAAGTATCAGTCTCCTAGTCAATACGGATCCGCCAACCTGCCCGCTCACAGAAACAGCGCTTATTCCTTCATGCCGCCGATGGCTCCCACCATGTTTCAACGGCTACAGGAGCTGGCGAATACGTACGAACGAACAGTGCCGTACATCGGCTTCTCCGCCCCAGCAGGGGAGACTTCAAACCCGGCGTCGAGCAGTTCTGGTGCAAACGCTTCAATTTCCCCTTACGTGGAAGCGCTACCACAAACATCAGGATCAGGAATCCCTGTGCGGCGTGTCTCTGTCCGCGACCCATCGCCCGTCGTTGCTGTCTATCCGCAACCTCGGACCTTTTGGCCCCACCGGCATCACCTCCATCGTCTTCGCAGTCGGGAGTCCCTCAGATTCAGCCGCCGCCTCTCCCCCTTCGTGCCGCATCAAGATGCGGCCGGCTACCTTTGAGCCATGCATACCCTTTGGTCTCCGCGGGGGATTCCCCTGCTCTACTTTGACATCTCTGCGGAAACATCCTGAGGTTTCCCCCATGTTCTAGTGTCAAGCAACCGATTTGAGTTAAAGCGTGCCAGAAGGGGCAAGAAGGTGGCAATCTTTCTGGGTTCTAATGGTAGATTATATAGATATATCAATGAATTTATAAGGATATGCTGAGCTTCTCCCTTCCTTCTTAATTCCTCTACGTGTAAGTCCATCGTGTATAAAAGTTGTTTATGTTATATATATATGTATATATACATGTATAATCATCATCATTACCTGCTCTTTCCTTCTCTTTTGGTTTCTTTTCTTCCTATCTACCTTCTACAAGGTAGCCTTTATATAAGATAATAATCATGAAGACACATTTTTAGATGGACAGGCTGCGCCATCACATACGGATGCAAGAATTCTTACAAAGAGCAAGAGACAACACAACTCTTATACGCTACATAGATTTTGTAGAGTTTTATATAAAGAAAAAAGGAAGGAAAGGGGGGTTTGGGGGGGGGGGAAGCACAACAGAATGACTTTTCTCGACTCCAAGACTTGTCTTTCAGCACCTTACCTGTAGTCGTAATTGAGATTTCGGATGAAAAGGGGCCATGTATGAAGATTTATGCAATCAAGTTATACTTTTGTATTATTCTCATTTACAAATCTGTATCATGCTTGCATCACAAATGCTATTCCGTGAACCATGACCACGATGCTGTGAACAGCAAAATGTCCCATGCCGCCACGATTCGCCTTCGTCCTGCCCTTTTCTGGTGTGCAGGAGTCGAAATCCGAACAAACAGGCGCACCATTTGCAAAACTCCACCCAAGACCTCCAAGGTCTTTTCTCTGTACTTTCATAGACAGAATATCCTCTTTCCGTATATACCATCTCAGGCATCAACGCCCGATTGTGTTGTAACTCTAACTGTAAAGAATTTCCATGCTGAACTTTTGTTTGATGAAGACTGACGCCGTGACAAAATGCCGTCGCAAAAAACCAAAACCATTGCAAAAACACACGAAAACTTTTTGTTACAAGTGTCGCATAAATCAAGGCTGCTGTGCTGTCGATGCCGCGATAACGTATTATGACTGGGGACGGGGGCAAAGAGCCTCTCAGGGCGCTTTCTTTTCGGTTGATCAGACCAGGTCGATAGTGACCGGCAAAGAAGACGTGATCCGCCTCAGAAAACCCATTGGCGAGTCAAACGGTTTGTTGCGAGAAAAGTCAGAAGTCGCAGTAACCTCAGAAAATCCAGCTCCGATAACACGGCTGCCGTGTATGGTCAATCGGATCCAGATCAGCAATGTCTCGCACTCCGTGCAATCGAAGCGTCATGACCCGGTGACAAAACTACCCGGCCTGATGACAATCTTTGAAAGTCCCATCTGGTGAGAAGTTGTCGTGCTGGTGACAGTGCAACGCATAAAGCGGCCCAAGGCGCTGACGAGTGCAATCCAATATGCAAATAGATGGCATCAATCATGAGCTTGCCAACTTTCAGAGCAGAAACTGGCGAATCAAGGTCGGTGCTCCAAAGTGCCACCTTTAGGAACACCGACATGCCTTGCTCTGAATTCGGCGTCAAGTCGTCTTATACACGATAGTGACGATTTCATTATTTTTTTCTGTCGTCTTCCTTTTCAAATTCTTTTCGTGGTGCCAAGGGCTAATTGAAGATGGACGCCGCCTCGAGAATTTTCAAAAATGCCGAGTTCTGAATGAGGTAGTCGCCTTGACTGCTGGCTTCCATGCTTCCCTTGGACGGCTCCCGAAGGCCACAGCCCTGCATCTGGGCAATGATGTGAGCAGCAGCGTCGCAGGACATGGTTTGCGGCGCCTCGAAGCCGCCGTCACTGGGCGAGGGAGCGTTGAGGCTGCTCGAGCTGGGCGTCACGGGCCCCGTGCTGGGCCCCGTTGTCGAGTCGTCCGAGGTGATTGTGCCGTCAGAGTCGTGGCCGCTGGCGCTCTGCTGCATGCTGGCACTGGCCAGGACGGCCAGCTTGTCGATGTGTGCGTGCTCGGGGAAGAGCGTGGCGACGGTGGACGGGCGTCCCAGGGCGGCAATGGACTCGGCAGTGGCGATGCGGGCGGCGTAGTGCTCGGCCTCGCTGGCGTCCTGGCCCTTGAAGGACTGCAGGAAGCCCTCGATGGCGTCGGCGGTGACGCCGCTGTGGGCGAGCAGCAGCCGCAGCCGGGCGTTTTCAATGGCCACGTCCCGGGCGGCCTGCTGCATCTCGAGCGTGGCGGCCACGCCTTTTGTCTCGTAGTCCTGCAGCTTCCTCTGCATGCCCTCGACGTATTCTTTCCGGCGGGCTCGCGAGCGGCGCTGGTTTTCTCTGATGCGGATGGCTGCAGCACTGGATTTGGCTGAGCTGTCGGTTTCCTGCTGCATGATGGGCATGTTAGGAATGAGGAGAGGTCATGTGAAGAGTGAGATATGCGTTGTGTGAGGAATTGGGGGACGAGGAGGAAGAGGCAGATTGTGGGAGACGGCAATTGGTGTGAAAATTTGCTGGTGACATGCTGCCAAAAGCGAGAGACGTGGGGGGCTCAACTGCAGAGAAGAAACAGAGACGTACCTTGGCTCTAGGCATGGTGACAGAGTCAATTGGTCGAAAGAACAAAACTGAAAGATGAGAGAAAACAGGTAGAAAAGTAAAGAATGGAAAAGGATAAAAAACACCGGATTCAATTGGGAGTGCAATGAAAAGACAAGACAAGACAATTGGTGGGTGGTTTGCTTTGGTTCTTGTTGCAAAGAGTCGTGTCAAGCCAGTCAAGTAAAAGAGAAAGAAAGTGCAGAGGAGGAATTGGTTGAGTAATAAGAAAGCGTTTTGTCAGCAGTCGCGTGCGCGCTTCTTCTCTCTTTTTTTTTTTTTTTTTTCCTTTTTTTCCTCTCACACTTTCATTTCCCTCTACTCGGCTTTTCCTGTTATTCCACTCTCAACTCGCCCTTCCATCGTCGGCAGTACTACTGCTACTACTACTACTCCCACTACTACTACTAATAGCAACGACACGGAAACGAGAGGAAAAAAGAAAAATCTGTCACTCACTAGGTGGCAGCTCCACCATCGACGCCCCAGTCACGGAGCCACTCTTGCGACCAAACGGGCAATAAAGTCGGCAGACTAGCTGTGCGTCACTGCGAACCCGTTGCAGCCTGTCTTGCATTCTGGCCTCTGTGATTCGTCGAGAGCATGAACCGTCGTGGGATCATCTTCTTCCAGTTGATGTGTAGTTGTAGTGTGTACCTGTTGTCTAGTACTAGTACTAGGTAAGGCAGTACTGTAGTTGTAGACTAATAAGCGAGACTCGACAGCCATGAGATGAGATGCTGTCCGATGAGGGCATCTGGATGAAAGGCAGGCATCTACTAGGTATGTAGACGCTTCCTCTTCGTCGTGGATCGGAGCCACTGCCCGCCTTCTCCAGGCAATCGAGGGGAAAAAGGACCCTGAAAAAAAAAAGAGCACAAAATGCATCCATTTCGCCTCGCTTCCAACTCCACCCGCGCCAGTCGTGAAAAAATGCAGAAAATGAAAAATGAGACAAAACGAGAAAAAAAAAAAAGAGGCCTAGCTCCATCAGCGAAACAGCCTGTTCCCCGTCCTCGTCGAAAATCTCTCCACCCCGGTCCCCTGCTGCGCGTGCCACAGTTGCTGCACTCCAACCCCTCGGCTCTCGTGGCTCAGCTTGTACCGCCGCCACGCCTCCCTCAGGTGGTCTGGTCGGAGCGGACCCCTCCGGAGATCGGGCTCTTCGTCGTTTTCGGCCTCGTCCGTCAACGGCGGCGGCGTCGCGACCTCGCTCTGCTTCTCTCCGGCGAGGATCCATTCGGCCTGGACGCTTCGTGCTCCCTCGATGATTTCTCCGGCAAAGAGCTTGGCGACTGCCTTGACGGCGGTGGCCACCATCTGGGGCACCGACTGCGAGACGGTAGCATTGACAACCTGGTTTCCCCGGTTCTCGTCAGTAACTGGATATGAAGGAATGGTAGACTGCAGACAAGAGTGCAATGCTTACCCTCTTGACAACCGCTTCCGACAGCTTGGCCGCTCTCCAGAACTCATACCGGTCATACTGCACCGGGTCAAACGCTTCCACGAGCATAGCCCTCAATCTTATTTCCTCTTGCTTCTGCTCCTGCGTCCGCGCGACCGCATCCTCCAGCGCCATCTCCTGGTTGTCATCCTCCTCGTCCTCCTCGGCATCCTTATCGCCCGCCCCTCCTCCCTGCCCGCTCGCCGTCGTCATCGCCTTGCCCCCGACCAGGCTCGGCGTCTTCTCCCCGCCGTCGTCGCCGCCCTTTGCGCCTTTTGCTTTCCTACCGCGCTTGCGCTTCGACACGGCGCTCGTCGTCGCGCTCACCACGCTGCCGCTGACGTGCGATGTGGCGTCGACAGAGGGCGACCGGGCATATGGCGAGCCTGCTTCTGGCGGAAAGGACGTCTGCCGCAGGGGATGCGTGGGCGGCTGTGAGATGACGGAGCTCTTCCTGCGCTTGCCGGGCGGCATGTTCATGTCCATCGTCGACGGCCGCTTCTTGCTGGGGGCCGGGGCTGGTGATGAGTACGGAGGCGACATGGCCGATGGCGACGTGGCGTATGGGGGAGACGCCATGATTGCCGTGGGTGAAGAGGAAGAGGCTGAGGCTGGTTACGGCAAGTGAGGGCTGAGGTGAAGCTGATGAAAGAAGCAGAGATGCAGCTGGTGAGCCCAATGTGAGGAAAGCCCGGCTCTCAGCTTTGCCAATGACGAGGCACGCGTTTCCTCATTGTCTTCGAGCATGAGCCGTCAAGCGGGATGTCACGTGAGCCAATATCCGCTCCATGACTAAGCATCGCTTGGCCGTGAATGCCCAGTTTATAGGTACCTAGATTGGTGGTCAAGGTTCCATCTTTCGATCTCTGGTACGTACCTTTGAAACGTGCTTTCGGTTCACAACCTCTTCAACTTGCTTCAAGCTGTCTGATGAATTAATTTACGGAACACAAAAGTGCGTCATCTGACTACAGGCCCCAAGGCAGACTTGTCAAGCTGCGTCTCAAATGGAATGCAAAACAAGTTGAAGGCTGAACATGACACTCTGCAGTAGACATGGAAAAAATTTCATCAGTTACTGTATTCGCCTTTGTAAGCTGTACGATTCATCGCAACCTGTCACAACCATGTCAAAGACATCCGCCAAACTGGCCCAATCGTCTAATTAGCATTTAATGATCCGGCTTTTGCCGATTGTCTCAAGCAATACCTAACCCAGCCCTCCCTTTCCCCCAAAAAGCCGCAACTAAACCCTGGCAGCGAGTAAATCTGAAAACAAAGCAGTCGAAATTGAAATAAACCATTTGCAAGAACGCGATGCACATATAATCTCGACCCTCAAGAGATGAGCATCATTCCCCTCCCAAGTGCAAACCGTTCCAACCAGGCCCTCTTCATGCGCCTCATGTCGTCAGCAGACAAAGCAGTAGAAGACATGCCACCTCCAGGTATTACAAGCATAGGTTCGCATAGTGCGTTCCGATTGGTATCGATGACCAAAAACTCCCGAGTCCTCCATAAAAACAAAGGCAATGAACCGATAGGCCAGGAGAAAGAAAGGCAATGCCCCAAGCCGCGTTGCGGCCGCCTTCCTTCTTCGCCTCTCCCGTTTCCCAAGCATAAAGAAATCAACCTACTCCCCGTCCAGCATTGCGTCCAGCCCGTTGCGCTCGCTTTCTAATAAGTCTGCTGTGACGTGGCCATTGGCCATCGTACTATCTTTCTTCTTGTGATCTTCGTCTTCGTCTGAGTGGATCATTTCTTTGAACATCTTCAGGTGAGCCTTGTTGGCATCCTGCTGTTTCATGGTGTCGTCCAGGTCAGCGGGGGTCATGGACCGTCGCTGATCACTCATGGATCTTTGTCTATTGCCCCAGACGTCGGTGCCCCAGATTCTTTCTGCCGGGTCTTTGCCCAGCTCAGTGTGCTTGAAGATTCCGGTGGCCTTATTCTTGTCTGCCTCTGTATGCAAGTTCATGCCCATGCTTGAGTCATCAGCAGCGAGGTGAGGGCCACCAGCTTCCAAGAAACTGGGATGCAAGTTGCTCTCTGCCTCCGCGGAACCCAGCTTGAGACGACCATTCTCCGAAGCCGACTCGGATTTCTCATCTGCATGGCCGTGCGAAGGGGCCGAGACGCTCGGGGTCGTCGAATGAGACGCGCGAGAAAAGTAAGTCTGCGGTCCGTACGCGGAGTTGTGAGGGTTCGGTACACTCGGCATGGCCGTCGGCGCTTGCGCCGCAGCTGCAGCCGCCTCCGCATTTGCTGCTTTCCGTCGCAGGCTGTTGGCCTTGCCTTTGGCATGCTCTGGAAGGTCATCCGGGTTGTCAACTCCGTACTCCACCAGCATTTTCTGAAGCTTGGTAGGCCGAGGCTTGCGCGTGCTCAGCGACACTTGCAGGATTGGCGGAGGTTCCGGCGCGACAGGGCACCACTTGTGAAGCTCCTGGCGAAAGAAGTTGGTCTCGTAGGAGAGCAGGATCTCGGCGCCCTCAAGCTTTCGGAGAAAGAATCGCTGCGTTTCGGCCTCGGCTTCGGTCGAAAGGAGCGGGTTGCAATACTGAGCAATCTTGTCTCTAAAGTTCTGGGCGTTGTCTATGATCTGCCGGAGAACATCTTCCTCCTCCGGCTGGAAGGGTAGGCCCGGGATCTCGTCGGCGAGGGCAATAAGATCCTCCAGCTTCGGACGGGAAGCATCGCGAGGTATCTTCATTCTCCAGTCACATATCGGGCAAGTGTATTTGTCGTCCTCTTTCACCTTGCCCCGGGCAATCTTGAGGCATTTATAGTGATACCTAATTGAGGGTGTGTAAGCCTGCGACCGCCTCTCACTCTAGGGGGGGGCTTAGGGGGGCAATGCATCCAGGTAAACTTACCATTCGTGACAGAGTTCGCACTCAATCATCATACCAGCTTCAACCTTCCGGCATATGCAAAACACCTGCCTCGATCGTGGGTCTTCCCAACGATTGCCCCCGGCCTCTGGACTGGCTTCTCTTGAGACAGGCTCTCCCGGAAGACGAGGCGTATCGTGGTCCGTATCGAAGCAGTCGGTATTTCGCTCGAGCACATGCTCCAGATGGCTTTTGAGAATATGCAAAGGCGCATTCGACTTGCCGAAAAGCTTCTTTCCCCTCCGCATCCAATCTTCGTGCCGTTTTCGCTCATTCTCCAAGTCGACAGTACCGGCGGGCTTGGAGTTGAGGTCATCCAGCTTCCTGGTGATCTCGACGACTTCGGAGTACTTCGGTCGCTTTCTATAATCAGTCTCACGGCACCGTTCGATCAGATCAAGGATCTGTCGGTGAGCCTCGCGCTGCTTGTGAAGTATCTGGTCGACGGCGGCAAGTGTTTCGCGGGAAACGGGAAGAGCATTAGCCTGTACCTGAGCCGTGAGTGCCTCCAGCTGAGGATAGTGGACAAACTCGGCATGAGTGAGTTCCCTGGCCTTTGCCTCCCAGGCTTGGCCAGCCTGCAGCTTGTCGCGGTAGTACTTCAAGTGATCGTTGTAGTTGGGGATCTCTAGCCGCTCTCCTTCTTGGATGATCTCCTGCACTTCCGCCAATAACAGAAACGCGCCGCGACTTGCTCTGGCTTTCTCGTTCCAGCGCAGCTCTTCCAGTCTCCGAGACAAAGCGTCCAGCTCCGGAGTGTCAATGTTGAAACTGCGTCCCTCTTCGATCAGCTCTTCAATCACCCCGATAGGAGAGGCGATATTCTGTTTCAAAACCGTGGCGGCATTTTCTTGGAATTGCTTGACAGCGGCTGCTCGTTCCTGCAGTTGTGCGATCTCGGGACAGTCGAAGCCAATGTGCTCTGCTTCCGCAAGAAGACGATGAATGTTGCTGACGTGGCGCGACTCCTTGTCTTTGTCTTTCTGGTCATTATTGGCGCTTCCACGACGTCCGCTACTCTGCCAGACCTTTTCGTTCTTGCGGCGATTCTGCTGCTTTCTGACAATGTAATTAGTGGCCTCCTCAACCCAGTCGTTGCATTTGTCGACGAATTCCTTTAGAATGGGCAGCGACGTTAGCTCGTATGGAATCTTCTCGCCCTCATGCAGCAGCGTTCGCAAAGACTTGAGAGAGGGCGTAGCCTCCTCCTCTAGAAGCTTTTCGTACTTTTCTTCCCAGGCTTCGGGAGTGCGTGCTTTTTCCGACACCTTTTGGAAAATCGACGTCATGTCTTCTTCAGTCTTGCGATAGATGAGAGTGTGCTCTTCACCTCTCAGGCGCTTCTCCTCTGATAAGTCGCAGCACGGGTGGCTCCCTGCATGGAAAATGCACAGGATTTTTCCGGTGCGGTGGCACTTGAAGCGAGATAGGAAGGCGAAGGCCTTGCAGTAGCTGCAGCACTGCTCTTCTTCGTCATGGACATCGGTGTCGTCGATCTTGAACGTAAGTGGGCATGAGTCCTCGCTACCGCCGGTGATCTGACAATTGTGAGGGAAGTCTCTGGTATGCCTTGCGAGGAACTCCTCTCTCTGGGCTCGTTCCCGTTGGCCGATGCGATCAAGAGCTGGCGCAAGCCACTTTGCTGTCTGGATGGTAAGACCCGAAGTCACACTCCCTTCGGCGGCTGTCCACAGAAGCTCGTCGTGCGAAAAGCACGGCTGCCGGCGGAATAGCTGCAGTCTCTCAACCCCAGCCTGTCCGAATTTCTCCCAATCGCAGGGAGCAAAGTTGACTGCCTCGTTAAAGTTGAAGCCATGGTTGAATCCCGCATGATAAGCTTGCGGGAATGTGATGACGAACTGGCCAGCCCTCTGGTCCAATGCATAGACACGCACGCCTGCTTTCTTCAGCTGCTCTGGCGTGAGGAGGGTCACCAACTGGAAAAGCAGATCCGGCTGGGTCTCGAACAACTCCGGTACGGCCTCCTTCATTGCGTTTTCGAACTTCTCGGCGTCTTCTCCAGGTATACCATACCACGTCTTGGTAGCACCCAGGTGCTGGTAGTTGGCCGAATAGGCATAGTGATCTTCGTTGTGCCAGCAGAACGTCGAGAAGATCATGCCCACATAGACCCAGGGCACAGTCATACCCGAAATGTCTGATTTGATATGCCTAAAGAGACTGTCCGGGTGGAAAGGCAGAACGTTGAGGTTCCACGGGTCGGTGGCATACGGGTTGTTCGGGTGCTTCTCGACGGTAGGGAAACCCGAGCCGTGCGTGGTGCAGTGGATATCGGCGCCGTACTCGACCTCGACCGTCTCTTCCAAGTCAGCTACCAGGCGCCAGAACTCTCGCTCGACGTCTTCTTCGGTGACGGGTCTGTGACACTGGAGAGTCTCATCATACGGCATCTTTTGCTCAAAATAGCCCTGCTTGAAATCGTTTGCCTTTTGTTGGAACTGCTTCAAGGAGTATAACCCGCCCTCCTCGAAGCCGAAATGGCCGTCTCCAACCAGGCAGCGCGGGCAGTTCCATTCGGCCTCAGGCTTTCGCTTGAGCGGCGGATCCAGGCAAGGGCCATGGTATGCATGGTCGCAGGACTCGCAGACCAGCAGAGCTCCACTGTCCTCGCCCCGTCCACAGTTTTCGCACTTGCCTCCGGCAGCGGCGCCCTCTTCCCGAGGTATTCTAGGAACAGAAGGCCGGAAGACGGTCATGTGAGAGCCGGCCACGGTAGGCACATTGTCTTTCTTGAGGCGCTTGCTGCGGCGGCTGGCCATGTCGGCATCGTCCTTGTCGGCATCGCCTTCCTTCTTGATAGGGTCTGCCGGACTGCCGACGCTCAACTGCCGCTTCAGCGCAACAGCAGAGCCGAGGCCGGATGGCCGAGCTTCAGGGGTATTTCTCGCGGACGTGGCGGGGCTGTCGTAACGCTTGGAATCCGGCGTGAAGCTTTTGCTCTCGCCATTGGCGGGACGGTTGACGCTGGTAAAGCCCGAATTGACTGCGGTGAAGCCGCTGTTGCTGTTGATGGCTGTGAAACCAGAGGTAGGCTTTGCCGCGGTGGGAGCCGGCGGTGCATCGGCCATGGGCGTGTCTCGATCCGCCTCTCTTTTGCCAGCGACGCTGCTCTGAAGGGCATCCGATGCCTGTCGGGCAGGCGAGGCCCCTCGCACGCTGCTCGGGGTGTTGACGGCAGACGGCTTTACTGGCGTATGTGCGGGGCTCGGGGTCAAAGGGCCGCCATACTCCTGCTCCAACTGCTGATGCACGCCGGGTTTCGCGAGACGCAGATAGTCTTCATATGGGCAAAGCCATCGCTGGAAAGAGTTCTTAAGTGACGTGGACAAGGATGACATGATCTTGCCACTGTAGCCGAGATCTCTGCCAATCTCGGCCCATTTCTTCAGCTTGCACACCTTGTCGAATCCGCCTCTAGATTCGACAGCCTTTTTCAGGCGAAACAGATCGAGGGGCTTCTTGTCCACATACGGCAGACGATGTAGGTTGTTTCCCTGCTGCTTGTGGAACTTGGAGAGACCATCCAGATAGGTGAGATTGGCCCTCGTGCCTAGAAATAAAAATATTAATAAGCAAAGGGAACTCGTCGGGGGGTTTCATCTTCCTCCTCCTCGCCATGCGTCCCCTTGAGAGGATGGGCAGGGTTCTGCGTTAACAGGTGAGAGACTTACTGCCTTCGACAGAGTTCAACTCTTGCTTTCGAGTTCGAAAGTGAAACTTCTGGTCAACTCGTTAGCGAAATGTGCCGCTAGGCACGTCAATCAACCCGGGTTGGCGCAAAAGTCTCCATACCTCAGTATCAATCGCGAAATCAGGGTTCCATGAATCTGGCGGGATAATCTTGCATATGCCATATTGAGATGCCTCGGGAGCGATTTTTTGAATATATTGCAGGGGGTCGCGCCATTCGCTTTCTGACGGACAGTAGGTCGGGGCTTCCGATATGCCGTGCGGTCGTGTTTTCTTCTTGAGCGGCTCCCGCACAGCCGTGGGCTGGCCGCGCCTCTCGACTGAGGTGAGGTCCAATGGCGCGCTGACCATGGAGCTCAGCGGCACGGGTGGGTTTGTAGGGTGATAGCCGTTGGAGTTGACCTTGTGCTTCGGCTTCGAGGAGGAGGAGGAGGCCACGGGTGCCCCAATCGCAGGCGAGCTGCGCGAACTGGCATTGGTACTGCTGGCGGCAGCGGCCGCAGCGCTGAGGGAGGCAGTCGGTGCCATGGCGCAAGCGGGAATCCGGGCCCTATAGTTTCGGTGCGTCACAGGCGTGTAATGGGGGCAAGCGCAGGCGCAGGCGATTTCTTGGTCGGATGCGAAGACGGGCGAGGCAGCCGAGCAGGCTCATATGACAAGACACCTATCGTGAAGGCTCAATCCATATGGCATCATGTATACGAGGGGAGGATGCGTCTCGAGCCGGGGCAAGTCGAGACGTGATGGCCGCGGCTCTTCTATCTCGAACCTGCACAGGCGAAAAGAGGCGATGGCGACGAGATGCGGCGGATCGCGGGCTCGACTAGCGAGGTGCCTTGTGAGCGTAAGCGTGTGAACTCGAGAAATCGAAATCGGTGCTGCAGAAGGATCACGACGTAAATAGAGATATGGAGCCCAGCACGGGCAAGTGGAACATGGAAGAACGGCGCAACTAACACGAAGGGCAGGGCAGGGCAGGGCAGCGTGAGAGACAAGAGACATACATACAGATACAGGGCCGGGGGCGTGCCGATCTGTTAGAGTCAGGCCGTTGGTAGGAGGCGAAGGAAAGATTGAAAACGAGGGCAGAGGGCCAAGGGAGCCGCAGAGGCAGAGAGGCTGCGAGAGTCTGCGAGTCTGTTGGCCCTTTTTGGTGGTGTAGATGCCGGAGCGAGATTGGATATGGATATGGTAGGTAGAGAGAGAAGAGAGAGTGGGCGGGAGTGCAAGTGCAGGTGCAAGTGCAAGTGCAAGTGCAAGTGCCAGTGCAAGTGGGAATCAAAAGCGGATGGGTCGAGGCTTCCGGCGTCGAGGTGCAGCAGCGCGAAACGTTCCTGGCAGAACCACTGCACTCAACTGCACCGGGCTGCGCTGCGCTGAGGAGGGGACCGGCCGGCACTGTACTTTGGTACCTGTAGGCTCAAGTGCCAGTGCTGGGGCGTACAAGTACAGAGTACCGGGTACGGCGCGCGCAGAGTGACCGACAGGCACGACGGAGAGTCCACGCCGCTGACCGGCTCGTCAACCACGGTAGCAGGTACCTCTGCCGGCTGCTCGTTGCCTGTCTGCTTGTTCTGCATGCAGCGCCTTGCCGGTGGGCGGTACGCGGACGATGGCCAGCAGGCGACCTGCTCCAGGAGGTATCCTGTACCTCAGCCGGGCTGCGCTTGCCCTGCCAGGAGCTGTGCGCTGCAGCCAGCCAGGTGGTCCGTGTGGGTGGACGCAGGCCATTCAGCAGCCAATGGATTATCACTATTTAGTGGACCCCGGGCGTTTTTCACTGGAACAAGTACCGCCGCTACGCCGTATGCAGCCTCTCGACTGCGCGCGTGGCTTCGAGAGTACATTGAAGGGACTGCTGGTGTCTTGCCTAGTGCCGCGAAGGGCAGCATGATGCACGGAAGACGGAGGTATCTGCCATGTGCCTCAGCCCGGAGAACCACAGGCGACGACGCCCCTCCGACTCGCAAGGTACCTTGTACTGTCCCTTGCGGCGCGCATGGTCGCGTACTCGGTACCTTGGCCGGACCGCTCTGCAGTCTCTTTTTCTCGATTACGGTGTCTGTCGTGATGCGCTGTTTGTGAGAGGCTCTGAGGCTCTGCTACTTTAATTGGTGCAGGTAAGCTGTGCTTTATAGGATCCAATGGCGCACATGCTCAATTGGGCTTTTTGGCTTCTGCGGGCGATCCGGCCTACGTCCTTGCGCTCGGGTCCGCTGCAGTGCTGCCACCAGGCCACCGACTCTGCTGAGCTGCGCAACAATCTGATGATTATGAAGTTGACATCAACCGGATCGCACATGTCATGACCGCCATCGAAGTACAGGTATGCAATTCATTCATGGCAACTTGCCGAGACATGCAGATCCTAGTAATAGCTGAGTAGTAATGACTGATATCAAAGGCCTGATGCAATGCACAACAGTCCTGCTTAAGCCTGCATTGCGCCGCAAACTCCTGCCAGACGTCATTCAAAAGGTTCCGCTGCCAATTTTGGCTTTTAATTGTATCGCAGTTTGTCTTTGTCTTCTTCCCTCCTCTTTTGCGTCCTACAGCGTTTCAATAGCGGCGACCATCTCATGCGCACACGACACGACAACGACACGGTCCATGTGCAGGTCATCGGGCCATGCAAGTTACAGAGCAGCCCCACTGAAGACGACATCCGGCGCTTTGTCGCAAAAAAAGAGCCAGTCAGTTGGTCGTTTGCCATGCCATTTATTAGGCTGCATAAGCACCCGACACCTCGTCAAAGCGAGGCGTCACTTCCTCAACCAAGATGTGCTTTATATCTAATTTCCCTCCTATTGTCCATTAGCCCCCGCATGAGCTTTACGAGGCACAGGTCCCAAATTGCAGCGTCGCTTCATACAATCGTGACTGACAGTCGAGGCCATCAGCCACCTCGCTCCTTGTTACCAACAGCATGATAATACGCAACGTAAAAAGCACGGAGCAGAAATCAACTCGCGCCGAGTCAGATCCAAAACGCAAGCATGAAAGAAAAAAAACCCATCCGCCACCCCGTATTTCCCACATCTCCAACATTTCCAGCCCCAGACAGTCCCTCTCCCATCCAAGCACCAGCCCACAATTCAACCTCAGCCCATAAGTTCACACAAAGAAAAAGGAAAGAAAAGAAACCCGGCTCAGCCCAATCTCCCAATTTCCTCCTTTCGTGCTTCATCCCCTCCACAGCCCAGAGTCCCGTTTGACTCTGATATGCGTCGTCGCACAGACAAGGATCAGGCCCATGGCGTCCAGCTACCGAACCAATCACGCACCACTGAAGTCGGAAACAGACCAGGTCCCCCCCGGTGTCCACAAATTGCCCAAGCAAGACCCGGCTGAAGCAGCCTCATGCGGCAGCTAGAAAAAAAAAATAGAAAGGTAGGTACCTCCTAAGGATTCGCTTCCATGATTACGATTCGCGATGAGGTTCGTCCGCTCGTACAAAGTAAGCAGATCAACAGTCAGGTGTCAAGTATTGCCTTTGTCTCTCTTGTGCAATACTTGAACCCAGTGCTACCTTTGCTGCATCTTACCTGAGATTATAGTTGCATGCGGCTCTACCTTCACACGACACGAGACACAAGAAGACGTCCTCTAGAGTCCCGTGCACTGAAAACCCCCCCCAAAAGAGTCGGCTTGTGTTTCGTCTTGTCCGTTCATTTTCCTTCCAGATCTTCCATTTTCTGCGCCTTGCCCTTCCCCGCCTCTTTTCTCAGCGTGAGAAGTACGAGACCCGACGAAAAGCCCAGATATAACCGACCTGAGAAACTTGGTGCGATCAAAGTAGTAGAAATCCCCCACTCAGCTTTGTGCCGTCATCACCCCACCATCGTCAGATCACACCAGAGCAATCATGTCTACACTTTGGCATGTGCCTCGGGTAAAGCATAGCCTCTTGGCTCTGGATGGGGCTCAATCTACACCATAATGGCCTACAAACGTCGCCGGAATTCCTTGTTGGTCTGACTTGATCCGATCGTGCAAAGCACACATGATACCTCATGGATTGATTGTAGGTTAGCCCATACGAGATTCGAGAGCAAAGTTCAGCCAGGGATATTGGTAGGATCTCTGTTCACACCATCAGCCGCATCCCGCTACTCCATTGAGTCCCAAACGCAATCCGATCTTGAACCGAAGAAGAGCTGTCCCATAATCATTGCACTTTGCCCCCATAAACGCCATATGTCCATACCTTATCCAGATAACCTCGGGAAAAACCCGCCCCTTTACGAGTCCTTCTTCGCCCGCTTCCTCTTCCTCAGCAGCTTCTCCACCTCACCAGCCCCCCGCGTCCGCAAGCTCAGCTCCTTCATCATGTCCCCCCAGCGTATCTCGCCGCGGCACGAAGGGCATTTACACCTATTCGGTATCACGGCCCCTGGATCATCGCTGGCCAGGGCATGCCTGCTCCAGCAGTCGATGTGCCCCATGGCCTCGCAGCCCTCGTTGGGGCACATTGCGTACAATCCTTCATCAGGCTGCATCTCTGCGTTGCAATGGACACACCGTCCTTGCCTCTCGAAAGAAACCACGTTGTGCGTCTTCTCAATGTACTCCTGCATCGAAGAGTAATCCAGCGGTAAGGCGTGAATCCCATAGGAAGTCGTCGACGAGTCACCCGCAGATGAACCAAAGTCGGTCAAAATCCTCAAGCTCGAAGACACGGGAATCTTGCTCGCCTTTGTCCAGTGGTCCCATGCTTTGTGAGCGTCCGGAGTAAAGAAATGCAAGTTGAGCGGCCATCGTGAAAAGCTCGGCACCCGGGTAAGGAGGTGAAGGTTCGAAACAATGGACTTGAGGGTATGCGGGCTTCGCTTGGGCATGCCACTTTTCTTCCGCTGCGTAGCCACCGTGATGCGTTCGTCCTTTGGTATATGAGTTGTGAGATGCGGATTGTTGAGGGCCCATCTTGTCAAGTTAGCACATTGACGCAACTCTCTCTCTCTCTCTCCTTTCACGCTATCCATCTGGCGTTTGATGGACCTACTCAAACTTCAAAGCTGCTATCGAGCTCGGGAATCCAGAGACCACAATGGCCATCTCCCAGGGCCGGAGCGAATCGCGTGACGTGCGCACCGCGCCGCCCTTGGCCTCGCCGTTGTGTTGCCTGAGCCGCCTGGGCGGATTTGGCGTGGATCCGACGTAGATCGATGCATGCCTCACGGTAGACCGCAGAACGTAGACAGCATACAGGGCCGGTATGGGCTTGGCGAGGCCTGACATGCCTACATCTGCTCTTGCTCACCTCATGGAATTTCTGTGTCCGACCGCTTCGATATCAGTGTTGATGCTGGGTATGTAGGTTGTGTAACTGGTAGGGTCGTCAACAACAAGAAGAGCTTCTACATAGAGCGTGGCTACACACACATCCTAAATGATGACTAAGCATGCCAGACATTGATACGGCGCCCTTGATGCGGGAGGTTGAATCCATACACAACAACATCCAGGTGAGATGATTATTCCAGACAAGTAAAATTAGTCCCTTCATTATACATACATGTACTCTAGTCGCCCATGGTACCAAGCAAGTTGTTCCCTAAATGACATATCCACAAACTCCCAACTATGATCACCAAAAACAACTTCAAAGCAGACCCTGCTTCTGTAAATCGTAGTAGACCTTTTCCGGCATGACGTTTCCTTCGCCGTCCTCCATCTGGATGACGCTGCCGTCGTCAATCTTGCCCCTCTTCTTCTCCTTCTGGATCTTCTCCCAGAGCTTCATCGCCTCGTCAATCCCCGTAATATCCCTGAAGAGACTGGTGTTGGTGATGCCCAGGCATTTGAGGCCATACACGTGGCGGGCCTCGTTGAAGTGCTTGTCAAAGGCACGACGGCCCATGTAGACAAAGTTTCCGCAGATCTCGCACGGGAACTCCACTCCGAGACCATGCAGTCGATACAGCCAGAACGGAATGGGTTTCCCATCCCAGGCCAGAGGAAGCTTGAGAGGGTTGTATATCTTCTCTTCGCCGTCCTCGCCCTCGCCGTCTCCCTCATCCATCGGCTCATATCGCTGCTCGCCCACATTGAGAAGGTTCTCCAGTTCCTGCTGGCGCTCCCTTTCCGTCATTCCTTGCTTCCGTTCGACATTGACGCGGGTATCGCTGCGCTCCGTACTCATGGCACTGGCAAGGCGCTTAATTCTGAATTCACGCTCTGCGACGGCTCGCTCTTTCAGTCTGGTCGCGGAGACGACTCCCTTTCCTGGCCCATTCGCTGATGGCGCAGAGTCTGCTTGTCGCTGGGCTCGCTGTTCAGCGGCTTTGATGTGCTTTCGTCCCTTGAGGTGGTTCTTGTAGACGTTTTCGTTGGCAAATTCCTTTTCGCAGTCATCACACCAGATGGCATCTCCTGTGCGCTGTTTGGGTTGCGCTGCCTGTTCCAGGGTCCAGCCCTCCACTTCGTCCTTTGCCCAAGCCTCTTCGAACTCCTTGTCAAAGGACTGCAGAATCTTGTCGACGTTCTCCAAGGGTCGTGTTCGTCGCATAAACGACTCGAGGTAGTCGCTCAATTCTCCGAGGTACTTGAAATATTGATCGTTGAGCTTCTCGTTCCGCTTCACACCCCCGGAGCCGGGAGCAAAGTTGTCAAACTGCTCGAGATACTGCAGATAGCTCAGGCGCTTGACGTTGTTCAGGTTGAGGAAAGTCTCGTGGCAAATGTTCAGGTCGAAGAAGCGTCCGTAAGCCTCCTCTCCTGTGAAGAGAGAGTCGACAATGGAGGGCAAGGGTTCTGATGGATCGCCATGCTTCGACACCTTGTATCGCTGCTCTGAGTTCTCCGCCTGCTCGTTGGGGTATCTCGCGTGATGCTCTCGAACGTCCTTGAACTGACGATAGAACTCTTCAAAGGGGTCTCCGGTGCCAATCTGCTGGATCTCTCGAGCCCTGCTACCGTTTTCATCCTGGTAAATGTTGATTAGGTTCTGAGACTGGGCTTGAATCTGGTCCAACAGCTGGGCGACTTCGTGATCGCGGTTGAGACGGTCGCGGATCTAACGCAAGATGAATAATTAGCAGCCGCAGGAGAAGAGGCAAACGCAACATGGGAAGCTCACATGCTTGGGATCCTCGCGCATGCGATCCGCGATGCCCTGTTCGAGGCGCTCGAGGTCCTCGTGGATGTACCGCTGCTCTTCTAGCACCAACATTGTGCAGCGCTCTGACAGCGATCAACTTGAGCAGTAGAAGGTGGGAGGAAGAAGAAAAAGAAGAAGCAGAATCGATGAGAGATCAAACGAGGATCGCAGCGTTCGCCAAAGGCATCAGTGGTTTGGTCACTCCATAAAAAGCACCAAAGGCTGGTCGCGTTTCTAGAAAGTTGCTGGGGCGAAGGCGCCTTATCAGTTTAGCCGAGGCGCTTCCGCCACCAGACCCGTTATCGCAGCAAGCCAAAAGTTTCGGAGCAGTGGCACTGGTGCCAACGACGAACCAACCTGACATCAACCACGGGCTATCGGCGAGCTCAACAGGAAGAAGACGACGACACATCCATCTCAATCCGTATCAACACACATCACCGCACATCGCTTCATCATGGCTGAAGGCGCTGGAGGCATTGACCGCAAGGCGGACGAGAGGATGGAGTTTTCCACCTCCAAAGAGGTGACGGTACACCCAACTTTCGAGAGCATGTCGCTGAAAGGTAAGAGACGCCACTCCCATCGAGTCTGTCGATGTCGCCGGTTGCCTAACGATGGTGTGTGTACAGAGAACCTCTTGCGCGGCATCTACGCTTACGGCTACGAATCGCCATCTGCCGTCCAGTCGCGAGCCATCGTCCAGATCTGCAAGGGACGCGACACCATCGCACAGGCCCAGTCCGGCACGGGAAAGACGGCCACCTTCTCGATCAGCATGCTGCAGGTTATCGACACAGCCGTGCGCGAGACGCAAGCCCTCGTCCTGTCGCCCACGCGAGAGCTGGCGACCCAGATCCAGTCGGTCGTCATGGCCCTGGGCGACTACATGAACGTGCAGTGCCACGCGTGCATCGGAGGCACCAACGTCGGGGAGGACATTCGCAAGCTGGACTACGGCCAACACATTGTTTCGGGCACGCCCGGGCGGGTGGCTGACATGATTCGACGACGCCATCTTAGAACGAGGCACATCAAGATGCTCATCCTGGACGAGGCCGACGAGCTCCTGAACAAGGGATTCCGAGAGCAGATCTACGATGTATACCGCTACCTGCCGCCGGCTACCCAAGTCGTGGTCGTCAGTGCCACTCTTCCCTACGATGTGCTCGACATGACGACCAAGTTCATGACCGATCCCGTTCGAATTCTGGTCAAGCGAGACGAGCTCACGCTGGAAGGCTTGAAGCAGTACTTTATCGCCGTGGAAAAGGAAGACTGGAAGTTTGACACTCTGTGCGACCTCTACGACACCCTCACCATTACGCAAGCCGTCATCTTCTGCAACACGCGCCGCAAGGTCGACTGGCTGACGGACAAGATGCGCGAGGCAAACTTCACCGTCAGCTCCATGCACGGCGACATGCCTCAGAAGGAGCGCGACAGCATCATGCAGGACTTTAGACAGGGAAACAGCCGGGTTCTCATCTCGACCGACGTCTGGGCTCGCGGTATCGACGTGCAGCAGGTCAGTCTAGTTATCAACTACGACTTGCCCAGCAACCGAGAAAACTACATCCACCGCATCGGCCGTAGTGGACGCTTCGGCCGCAAGGGCGTGGCCATCAACTTTGTGACGACCGAGGACGTCCGCATCCTCCGAGACATTGAGTGTACGTTTTGCATCTTTTGCATCCCCCCCTTCGCAGCCCGCATGTGACCAGCAACTAACACGCTTTGACTCAGTGTACTACTCGACTCAAATTGACGAGATGCCGATGAACGTGGCGGATCTCATCTCGTAATCGGCCGTCTCCCTCGTGCACAATGACGGCACATGGACCGAGTAGCATAATGACGGGCACAGAACCGGGGTAGAACGTACAGAGCCGAGGACCAGGGGCATGCCCGGCTCTCTAATAGTGGAGGAAAGGGGTACCAAGATTGATCAGGTGAGCCACGTTCTGCCCAGTTCCGGCCTGTGTTCTGATCTCGCTGACTTTTAAGTGATTAGACTGACTATTCCCTCTATCGTTGTCGACCAGCTTTGTTGGATCATGGGTATTCTGGCTGGTATCGAGCTTTTGATGTGCGTAGCAGATGTATGGCCAGATGCAATGGACTACAACTTAATGAAACTGCCAATCCAACTTGCTCAAACTCGTGGCAGATGACGAGCTTTACGCATAGAGGCCTGCCTTTGATGTGATCTGCCTTTGTGGCCTGTCTCAGTGTTTCCATGACGATCAAGACGTGCCAGCGAAGCAAAGTGACGAGGAATACGAGAAAGACAAGCAGTCGTCTGACAGTATCTGATATTTCCCATCAAATCCGGCTCCTGAATCCAACAATCCGTCAAGCCGCTCCTCTACTGAACAACATGCTCTACACCCCTCCTCCCCACGAAGCCGATATGGAAGCTTCTCCCTACTCGGTACCGAACTCGGAATCTCGGAAAGTGACCCTCTCGAGTATATATATATATATATATATATATCAATGTCAATTTTGACAAGTCCAATCTCCCAGACCCGACATGCTGGAAAGAACAAGGGAGAACAAGGGCAAAGCCATGTGTTCCATGTTCGCAATGGCATCATAGGTATTTGGAGATGGCGAATCTCCCAACGACATTGGTAGTAGTACATATCACATTTTCTCACAAAGTGAGCGTCGGGGCGGTATCCATGGCGACATGGGTTAGGGAAATATACCACGGCTCTATTGTAGTATATTTCCTGTATTAGCATTTGCCTTGTTCTTGTTTGTGGTGATTGTGACGTGCTCTTGGAATAGGAGACACATGGTTTGGATCTTAACCTGCCCTGGGTCGTAGGAGTAGTAAAAAAAAAAAAAAAGGACAGCAAGGGATCCCTATCCTTGCCTGGAGAAGAGCAACTTTGGTAGCGAGAGGCCAAGAATGCCCACCTCATGGGATCTCGTCCCCTTACAGGGAGATATCGGGGCGAGGGGCGGGGGGGCTTCAGAGAATAAAGCTCTTGCTCCTGGAAGAACGACATTGAACGGCGGTGGAAAATGAAGGGACAGGGCGAGGATTTGCTCGCGTGACGGGCTTCGGTACAACATTCACCGGAATCATGTAATACTGTATAAGCAGTGGGTGCCTCTGGGGGATCGG